CTAATCATCCTATTGATTGGTCTTTCTCCACAATAATCTTTCCTGCCTATACTCTACACAGACGCTGTCTTGTTGAATCGGCTCTGATACACAACATACCAAACATGAACCTAAGTCTTGGCTTTGTTGCCTTCCATCCCCCCTTACACAGACCGACACCCCTTATGAGAAGCCAGCCAACAAGCAGAGCAAGCATTGCTCTGCAGGCAATTGCTCTGCAAATGCCCCTTACGAGAAGCCGGCCAACGAGCAGAGCAAGCATACCAGTTGATGCTGGCGTCGAAGGAAGTGCTGGCTCAGAAACTGACACCAAGGACCCAACCAGACCGGAAGAATCCCCGAGCCCTGGTATGACCCTGCTGAGATGCCCGAGAACAGCCACCCAGGAGAAGCAACAAATCCGACATAGGACAACAACTAGACGAGGCCGCCTGCAGAAACTGAGAGAGCGAGTACGGCCTGATGACATGCGAGGCAAGAGCCAAAGAACAGAAACACAGCCTCCCAGAGAATCGACACAAATAGTTTCAACAGGGCGGCCGACGCCCTAACCTCCAAGCCCAGCGCCCCAGACGAAGGCCCCGGCACTCAACACCTCCACATTCTTCCCCATGCCAGTCCAAGGACAACTTGAGAAGGGAAAAAGAAGCTCAAGACCGAGGTTAAATGGGTGCGAGCGCGCAAGTCCTCAGCTGCCAAGGACGCTGAAAGGATGGGAACCTGCACGTGCAGCTGTAAAAGGCCAACATCCCAAGGAAGCACGTGGGCGAACAAGCACACATTAAAAACACTCAAACTCGCCCCCCCAGGTAAACCTGCAGAACAGTAGAAGCCTCCCACCTTTCGAGCATGCGGGTCCAACAAAACCCATGCCAATGCTCCCTGCGAAAAGAAAGGACAGTCTGCAAGCCAGGATGACTCCTCATAATGTCACCCAAAATGGAGAAGAACCCTACTCAAACTAGGAGGGATCCATCACAGAGGCAAAATCTGAGTCATGCAGATGGTAAGCTGTAAAAGCCTCCCGTACTTCCTTAGGCGGGATTTGGGAGGCAGAAAACCTCCGGAAAGGAGAAGCTGAGGAACCCAAGGGAAACCGAGAAACCGGAACAGAACCTGGGAAAGAGCTGACCCCAAATCTTACTCATACAGGGATGGGGGGTGGGGGGTAAGAAAACCCCTCCCCCTGCAACAACGAACCCCGTAAAGAGGGCACCAAAACCCAAGCGGGATCAAAGGGGGAGCCCAAGCACCCCAGGTCAACTCCTCCCCAACCCCGGGACCCTCCAATCCAGGCCCCGGGGCAGAGCCGTCCTCCACCCCCTCTATCCCTGAAGAAACTGCGAGTCCATGGAAAAGGCAGCAAGATGTCGGGTCTCTGCTGGTAGGATCCAGAAACTTAGGCAGGAACAGGCTCAAATGCCTCCATCTACAACTCGAATGGGGAAGCCCACAAAGCCGGCCGAGCCTCAACACCAACTAAACCCTGCCCCGACTCCAAAACCCTCAGAGGTTTGGGCGCCGGGAGCTTGAGCAGGGTAAACAATGCCAACCGGGAAACGACTTGAGCGCACGGACGGAACCAAAGTTGAAGTATCTAATGCCCCCTAAGTCCGGGTCCTTACAACAAAAACGGGGCAGCCGTGAGGTATCCGAGTGAACAACCAATCTAGCGCGTTGCAGCAACATAAACCGGGCATGCAATGCGGATGCCACCTGAACCCAACCCCAATGACAATAGAATGGGTAAACTGGAGCATGAGCAGAGAGCATGTCTCGCAAGACTCCGGGTCAAAGGTGTCGTTGACCCAACAGGCAGCATGACATTGGCAAAACAGGTGACTGTCACCCTGAGACAAGGGCACAGAACAACCTTCAAACTCGCACAAGGCAAGGTGGAACTCGGAAGATACATCCATCAGTCAACCGAGCCCTGACAGGGGGTTTCCAGGGCCCGTAGGCTGTCTGCTACAGGAAGCCCAGACAAGGTAAAGTACTGCTAGCCGGTTGAATTCAAGCTAACAAAGGGGGATGAGCTAATAACTGGACACCTGTGACGTACAAGCATGAGGGCCTAAAGGAGGGCCACCAATATACCCTATGTGGACTAATAGCCAAACAAGGCAGACCCCCTCCTGGCAAGAAAAACAAAAATAAAAGAAAAACCCAGCTACCTAAGGCCAAACTAAGGTCACGAAACCCCAGCTGGCTCCAAGGGCGGGGTAAATGTCAAGCAGCAAAAACCCCTATGGAAGTGGAATCCCGAAGGCTCTATGAAAGGTAATCACAGAACCCAAGGGTAGTACTTACAGGGCACCTAGGGAAAGGAGCCCTAAGTGCATGCAGCCCCAGTACACTGTAGTTACTCCTGGCCACTGCACCACAAAGAGCAGGAACACCTCGAATGCACAAAATCTGCCAAGAAATCAAGACCAGAGTTGACGACCGCCCCAGAGAGCATCAGCCTACAAAATGAAGGAGTGAGTAGCTGATGCGGGGAGATCCAGGACTTCCCTGTTCCTCTCCCAAGGAGGGGAGGGCTGCACAGACAAGCGGCGCAGCGGTGGTGTGTGACATTTGCTTTGTTTCCTTATGTTTTCAGAAGAGTTCTGTCTTCGGTTGCAATTTCTTACCAGGTGGGATCTGTTTTGTTATGCCTACCTTTCTGGGTGCCTAACCCCAGTTGATGGCAAACATGGAATGCTCCCAAACACATGGGGGGATTCTATAGGCCATAGCTCCCTGTACCTCTCTGAGGGGGGGCCAGGTTCTGGCTCGTGGTCCCCGGTAGGCAGAACTCCATTGACTGATGCCCCAGACTAATATGCTGTATATCAGTCTGATAGCACTGGGGAGCCAGAGGGGCTCCCCACAGAAAATAAGGCACTAATCCGTATGAAACTAAACACTGGCAGTCCTTCAGTTGTTTCACTGGTCAAGAGTGAAGTGGTCATCCACCCAGTACACTAAAAGTTCTAGGCTCTGGTTGACTTTGAGCCCAACTGGAACAAGTCAATTTTCAAATGGTCCTATCCCATAATAGGGGATGATACTGTACAGAGCATAATTCAATAAACCACCAAGAGAGAGACTGCTCACTATAACATCAAATAACAAATTAAACCACTCTATACCCTCTCATAGTTTGGGGATTAATAAAGAGCATCAAAATACAAGAAGCTTGGAGATACTGACACAAAGCATAAACCAAACAAAAACTACTCCAAGACTACATGCATGGGACCAGATGAAGAGACCCAAGGAAGCATCAAGCTTAAACTGGGACAAAGTGTAAACAACTGCTCCGATCTTAAAATAGGTCTCGTCAGACAGTTACTAAAACTGAAGAGCAGTTGATGGGAACCAAGAGACCCCCTCAGACCCATCCACAAACTGGATACCCTCCTCCGCTAAGGAAAAATTACTAGCTTTTGATCCCAACCCAGACACTGCCTTCCAACACGGGGTGGAAGGAAAAGTTTAAGTGCCATCAAGAAAAGCCTCTGACTCATCCTGGAATGAAGGTCTCTACCATATCAAAGATGTGAGAACCTGAGAGTCCAGGTGTGGAACCTGGCCCACCTCTAGGCCAAACATTGTTGGGAACAGATCCTGAAACATCAAGTTTCCAGTGCAACTCCAGCTAGTACCTGCATGGCTGGGTAGACACAAGTGAATTGCCCCAGTAAAATTGGGGCACCAATATGAAACAGGAGAAAGGGCCACAATTAGAGAACACAATGTAAACATCAGAGCCCTCAGCTGGAACAATGAAGTTAGGAGAGAATTGGGCAAGTTTCTGCTGGAGTTTCCAGATCAGTCTGGGCTACGAAGACAAATTGCTTTAGAGACCAGGCAATCACCAGGTAAGACTACAGGTGTAGAACTCTCAAAATCATTGGCAAAATCAATCCTCAATGTCCAACTCATAAAATAAGGGGAGCTGCTCAGACTCCAAACCAGTCAATACAGGAGACCTAAGGCACCTGTAACAAAGTGCATGAATCCACAAATGACCTGCAGCCTCTTAAGCTGCAGTACAGGAAGGAGGCTTGAGCAAGACCGATGTCCCACTATTGCTTATCACACACATACATGGGTGAAAATCATCTCTCACTCAACAAGAGGAGTGCTGGAGACAACAGGGGATGGCTTTCAGAGCAATATTCACTGAGGTATACCTTGAAGACTGCACACACACACACACACACCAAAATCAGGCTTCAAAATTGGATGGGGACTCAATCACACCTCAAACAACAAAAACAAAGGAGGAGATAAATCAAGCACACAGTTAAACCCCAATGCAGAAGTTCAGCTGTATCGAAGTGTACTTGGTGTAGTCTCACTGACGTCTGAACAAACAATGATGTAGAATGGAGGGTAGTCATGGACTATACAAGCCATTGTCTTCTACAATCAGTGGCAGGAAAGAGAACCCTGAAACTAAGCTGAAGTAGATAGCAAATGCCAGGGACATGCAAAAACTACCAAGCACCATGTTGTGAAATAGACCCTATAGCATGGAACACTCTGTGCAGACTAAATCTTAATGCATAACCAATAACATAACTAAACTGACCCCTGCAGATCTGGGTGCTTAGAAGTAGATGCCAGGAACAAATTTGAGGTTGCTGCCTCCTCCGATTTCGGCATTCGATACAGTGAATAGTTTGCTAGTCATGTATTTTCAGCAATGATCATTTGAAGAGAGCACCAGGTATTTTGATCTGTTCTTTGCTATCATAGAGTGTAGACTACAGACTATGTGTAGACTCACTACACAGTGTGTGTGTAGTGTATACCTCAATGCACCATCTCCCAATGGTGCATTGAGGTATACTCTCCACTTTCCTTAAACTCAAGTACAAGACCATTTGTAAACTTGCTTGTTCTTGTGGGACTCAAAGTCAACGTCAACCAGAGTATGGCATGTTAGAAGTAACCTGGGTGAACCTATGACTTTGGACAAAGAAGCTGTACAAGAGAAAAGAGCATACCTAATTAGGCCATCTGCCAAACTTGTTGCAATAACATTGATGGCAGTGCCCTCAGGGGCAGAGGAGAATGTAATAGCAGTTACGGGTGCAGGAGTGACTGCTGAGTCAACCAAGGCCCCATTGATTGTATAAAGACGCAATACAGAAGCAGCAGACCCAAGGGGGCTGACAGAAGCCCAGTCTCCCAGTGTCTCGCTCATAGCCAGTAGACAAACTTCAATACCACTGGAGCCAATGTTTCGGATGTATGACAACCTGTTAAAAGAAAAAACATGACCACTTCATAAACAGCCAAAATCTTGTACAGATCGATAAAATATCACCATTTTTTTAGCTGGTTAAAGAATTCTTAATGTTAAATAAATGGATTTTAGATTTTACACAGTAATATTCTACATGACAATAAATGAGACCATTAAAATTTTATGCACAACAATTTAATTCTACCTGTTATGAAGAAAATCACACGTTAGGTGGAAAGAAGAGTGTTTGTGAAATTTGTGCACGAGTTTGGGGGTGATCTACTTTATTATACTATACTGTACTTACACTTCATTAATTTTATTCTACCATTTTTTTTAGACTATTTTAACATTCAAACTCTTAAGTATTTTTACAGCCTTCAAGTCTTGATGGCCACAATATTGTTAAAATCCTTCATATATGACAAACATATAAATGTCTTATTTTAATTGAATGATAAAGAACAAAAAAGAAAGAATGTTATCCGTTTGTAAAAGACCAGCGTTAAATGCTATAAAATTCCATTTTCTGGGTGAGCCCCGGAGGCTCCCTGGCGCTATCGGGTTAATATGCGATATATTAGACCAGGGCATTAGTCAATGGAGTTCAGCCTACCAGGGACCACAAGCCAGAACCTGGCCCCTTCAGAAAGATTACAGGGATCAATATCCCAAGAAAACCCTCGTGGTTGTTTTTTTTTTCCTTATCTGCCTTCGACTGGGGTTAGGCACCCAGAAAGGTAGGGATAACAGAAACAAACCCAACATGGTAAGAAAAGCACCACCTCACCAAGTGGTACTCCATATACTGTACTTATTTTGTCCAGGTCTTCTTGAAGGGCATGACAATCATCTAAGTTTCTTATTTTAACTATATTCTTAGCATCATCAGCAAACATGCTCATATAATTCTGTCCTTCTTCTGGTAGATCATTTATGTAGACAATGAACATCACTGGTGCAAGAACTGAACCCTGTGATACTCCACTTGTGACATTTCTCCAGTCCGATACAATGCCTGTGATTACTGCCCTCATTTTTCTATCAGTCAGAAAATTTTTCATCCATGTTAGAAGCTTACCTGACACTCCTCCAATATTTTCCAGTTTCCAGAACAACCTCTTATGTGGAACTCTGTCAAAAGCCTTTTTTAGGTCCAGATAGATGCAGTCAACCCAACCATCTCTTTCCTGTAAAATCTCTGTTGCTCGATCATAGAAACTGAGTAAATTCAATACACAGGATCTTCCAGATCGAAAACCATACTCTCTGTCTGATATTATATTATTTCTCTCCAGGTGTTCTACCCACTTAGTTTTTATTATTTTTTCCATTATTTTGACTATTACACTTGTCAATGATACAGGTCTATAATTGAGGGGGTCTTCCCTGCTGCCACTTTTGTAGATTGGAACTATGTTAGCCTGTTTCCACACATGTGCTATGACTCCTGTACACAGGGATGCCTGAAAAATTAGCCGAAGTGGTATGCTGAGCTCAACTGCATATCCTCTCAGAACCCATGGTGAAACTCCATCTGGGCCAACTGCTTTGTTCTTACTTAGCTCCAAGAGCATTTGTTTCACTTCGTCTCTAGACACCTCTATGTGCTCTATGTGCTCTATGTTGTTCTCTGGAATTCTTATTGTGTCTGGTTCCCTGAAGATCTCATTTTGTACAAACACACTTTGGAACTTTTCGTTTAATGTTTCACATATTTCCTTTTCATTTTCCATGTATCTGTCCCCCATTTTCAACCTCTGAATATTATCCTTAACCTGCAGCTTGCTTTTAATGAATTTATAGAATAGGCCTGGATCTGATTTACATTTGTCTGCTATACCGTTTTCAAAGTTCTTCTCTGCCTCTCCATACTGGCGTGTAGTTGTTTCTCGCATCTTTGTATCGCTGGTATGTTTGGGAGTTTGGCCTCTTCCTGTATTGATTCCATTTTTGTGTCTTTTGGTCTCTGGCCCTTTCGCAATTTCTGTTGAATCAATCCTGTTTCCTAGTTCTGCATCTCTGTTTTGGTATAAAAATTTTTGTGCCTTTATCATATATTTCACAAAACTTGACATACATCTCATTCACTTCCTTGCCTAGCAACAAGTCTGTCCAATTATACTCACTAAAAAATTTTCTAAGGTCGCCATAATGTCCTCTCCTGAAGTCAGGTTTTTCCAACTGCTTCAACCTCCTTATTTTCTTCCAGATTATAATGCATTGCATACTTTATTCCCAAAAAGACAGCCACTTTTACCCAAGGGAGAAAGGTAATGTCAAATATTTCTTCCTCCTTCCTGGTAAATATCAAATCTAGCATGGAGGGAACGTTTCCTTCCCTCATCCTCGTAGCTTGTTTAACATGTTGATACAAGAATGTTTCCAGGATGAGGTCTACAAATCTACAGGTCCAAAAATCTTCTGTTTTAGCTTCATATGCTTCCCAGTTTATGGGTTTCAAGTTGAAGTCGCTGACTATCAACAATCGTGATCTATTGTTATCTGCTCTCGCTATAATCACTCTCATTATTGTTATAAGACCTTCTCGTTTACTATCTAGCTCCTCCTTTGACCATGTGCTGCTTGGCAGTGGACTATATGCATTAATGATCATTAGCTTATCATCCTCATGGCAGATCTCTGGTGCTATTATGTCAACTTCTTGTGAATTGGCAGTCATTATTTCGTTCACCTTTAGGTGTTCTTTCACCAGCACAGCAATGCCACTGCCTTTCCTAATTTTTCTGTCCCATCTCCAAATTGAGTAACCCCTTGGGAATATAACCTCATTTAAAATAACATCTTCAAGTTTTTTTTTTGGTGTGTGTAATTACCTAAGTGTAGTTACAGGATGAGAGCTATGCTCGTGGTGTCCCGTCTTCCCAGCACTCTTTGTCATATAACGCTTTGAAACTACTGACGGTCTTGGCCTCCACCACCTTCTCACTTAACTTGTTCCAACCGTCTACCACTCTATTTGCGAAGGTGAATTTTCTTATATTTCTTCGGCATTTGTGTTTAGCTAGTTTAAATCTATGACCTCTTGTTCTTAAAGTTCCAGGTCTCAGGAAATCTTCCCTGTCGATTTCATCAATTCCTGTTACTATTTTGTATATAGTGAACATATCATCTCTTTTTCTTCTGTCTTCTAGTTTTGGCATATTTAAAGTGTGCGTGCATGCGTAGAATAAGCAACAGGTTCAAAATAAATTTCAAAATGGTGACCATAAAAATTGTTTCAGTATCTTTAGAGAAATAACTAAATTCATTATGAAATCTGTTTTCTCTATCATACAATAAAATTAGTTGCATGGGAAGCTGTCAAGATGGCCCAGCCAAGAAAAAGGAGAAGCCATAAAGTATTTTCTTTTAGGGTCTAAAATATAAACAAATAATATAGCTCCATGATAAACCAACACAATTTTTCTTAATATGGTTACAGTATTGACTACAAAATGTTAACAGACTACAGTAATACCAAGTCATGATAACAGGTCAGCCAGCAGAATCAAAAGAAACTAAATGAAAGCATAAGATCAAAATCATCTGACCTGTTTGTATCCCAGAGCACACACATTCCATCCTTGCCACCAGAAATACACACACTGAAAGCTTCCGATATGTGCATATGAGTGAGTGGAGCTGTGTGTGCCAAGAGGAATGTTGGGGGCACACTTGCAGTCAGTTCATCCCCTACAAGACTAGGATTGATTGTATACACAAGGATTTGACCAGATGCCATCCCAACCCACACTTGACTGTTACCACAGCTACACCACATTACCTGAAAAAAAGAAGAAAAACCAGCATTGAAAGTAATGAAGTGCCTCTTTCTGGTAGAGCCCTGGTGTCTCCCTGAAGTTATCTTGCTGAGATGACTCTCCACTACCTGGGTCACATCTATCGGAGGAGTCCTGTTTGGCTTATCAAGAACTGGAGTCAGAATCTGGCTCTGTCACAGAGGCAGAGAGAACAGGGAGGGGGGGGGGGACTATATTCATTATCCATCACAAGAAAAGAATCAAGGAAGACAGTGAAGCTATACAGAAAAATGTTAAAATACAGACTTTATCTGTATGTCTGTTTACAGACAACTGTATAGAAAATGAAGCATTGAAATAGCCTATCAACTCTGCAAACTATTCAAGCAAAACCAATGAATCACTCTAAACTACTACTGATAAGGCACCCCCTAAACCCGAATCCACAGCAGTCTCCAATGCTCAGTCTGGAGCTGATAGACAATAAATCGACGAATCGGTTTATTGTCTATCAGCAATATATCAGAGAGAATCCCTAGCTCTCTGCAATTCTTTGAGGGGGGCCAGGTTTTGGTCTCCAGTCCCCAGTAGGCTTTTAATGACTCACAAGGGCTGATGTGACTTACAAGTGTGAAGTTACAGTATCTCATGCAGCTAGCAAGAGGGAGCCATGGTTTGGCCCCTCCAGAAAAGCTCCCTTTGAACCATTTGAAACTCAAGAATCTGAAAACTAGTTAAAATCTGTCTTTGACTTTTCTAAATAAAAAATATGGAGGAGATATTTCCATTGTGCCTTTTTTTTTATCTATCTTTAAACAAAAGCATTATTTCAGCACATTACAATGTTGAATTCATATTTATTGAGAAGGATAGTTTAAGTATTATGTCATCACAACAATTATAAACCAAACCAAAAAATCTTACTTCATCATAATGAGGCACAGATATTAGTGGGTGAGCCGTGGAGTCTTTAAGGCGCCTACACCGAATGATGCCGTCGTGATAGTGAGATGACAGTATATAAACACTGTTTGTACCTTAAACAAAATAAAAGTTGGGAAATAAGAATGCATTGTACAGGAATACAATGCTGAAGTATGTCAATTCCACAGCAAGTGTTAATTTCTGAAATGTATTTCTTCATTATTTGCAACTAGATATATATTTTGATGGATGACAATCAAGTGAAGTATTCCTGGTTCTTATTCAAGGCATATCTCACAATACAATATTAAAATTATCATCAATAGTTTTAACAGAAAAATTACTCCTCTGTACAGATATTTTAAAATATGGACATGGAGGAAATTAGAGAGAATGAATGTGGTTGTGGTGGGGTGGGAAGGGGCTATGGAAGTGTGGTCTAACTCTTAATGCCTAACTCTTAATGCCCAGAGTGACCTTAGCTATGAGAACAGGTTGTGGGACCTCTCCATGACATCCTTAGAGGAGAGAAGAAACAGATGGGATATGATAACTATATACAAGATCCTGAGGAGAATAGACAATGTGGACAAAGAAATTCCCTTACAAATCTTCAATTCGATTGTGTGTCCAGTTTCCACTGATGTCCCCTTGTCTTATGTCCATTTAATTTAAATAGGATTTCATTGTCCACACTGTCTATTCTCCTCAGGATCCTGTATATAGTTATCATTTATCAGTTATCATCTGTTTCTTCTCTCCTCTAAGGATGTCATGGAGAGGTCCCTCAACCTGTTCTCATAGCTGAGGTCTCTCAATTCTGGTAAAATTCTAGTTGAAAACGTCTGAACTTTTTCAAGTTTTTTTTTCACAAAAAGCAGGTTCCAAGCTGGTGCTATATACTTAAGTAATGATCTTACTCGGGCAGCGTATGTTGCCTTCGAAGCCTCTGTGTTTAGATTCTTAAATGATATTTTTATGTTTGCTGCTGATGTCCCATATGCTGCTGCTGAGAGTCATTCACAAGAGTTTCCAGTGTTAGTGTGATGATTACAGTACATCAACTCTTGGGTCTTTTTCCCCTCTTAGTTTCTTGTAATTGAATTTCCCTTATGATGTAGTTACCTACAAGTCTCCCATCTTTATTACATATCTCTATTACCTTACCTATATTTGAAATTAATTCTAGCAGTCATGTATCTGCCCACTCCTGAAGTTTGTCATAGTTTTCTTGCAGCACCTTCCAGTCCTCTTCATTTCTTACATTTCTCATTAAGTGTACATCATCCTCAAACATTGACAGGAACATGCTCTCTCTTGGTAGGTCATGTACATAAATGAGAGTGCAACAGCTCTACAAAAGAACCCTGAGGAATATCACTTTCCAGCCAAACATGTCTTCCCTGATTATGACCCTTTGTTTCCTCTCCATCAGGTACTCCAATAACCAGTCCAGTGTCTTTCCTGTTATCCCTGCATCTCTCTCCATCTTGTGTAAAAGTATTTTGTAAGAGACTATATCAAAAGCATTCTGGCAGTATAGGAAAATTAACACTTTGGCCCGATACCGACGCAGCATTGCATCGTTCTTTTACTTGGGGGTAGTCCGGTAACGACGCAGCATTGCATCGTTCTTTTACTCGGGGATAGTCCGATAACGACGCAGCATTGCATCGTTCTTTTACTCGGGGGTAGTCCGGTAATGACGCAGGATTGCGTCGTTTCCGGTGGCAAATTGGTGGCGACTTCGGGAGGGGTGCGCCGCAGTTTTGGACATTATATGCATATACACCTGTAGGGAATTTCATTGTGAATACATTGATACCAAAATGAAAGACCTAGGACCAGAATTGAGGTAACAAAGTTGAAAAGAGTATACCCATTTTATTTCTCTTTATTAGCGCTCACTGCGGTAACGCACCATCACATTCTCTGTTTGCTGTGGGAGGAACGCCGGGCTTTTGGACTTTATATTTGCATATACTCCTCTAGGGAATTCTATTGCGAACTCAATGACACAAAAATGAAAGATCTAGGACGAGAATTGAGATGTCCAAAGTGAAGAGAGTATACACATTTTATTGCTCTTGTACGCTCCCGGGTAACACGCTCTCACTTTCTCACTTTCTCTCCTGGTTTTTGGGCTTTATATGCATTTAGTCCTGCAGAGAATTCTATTGCGAACACATTGATACCAAAATGAAAGACCTAGGACGAGAATTGAGGTGACCAAAGTGAAAGGAGTGTAAACATTTTATCGCTCTTGATCCACGCTCCCAGGTAACATGCTCTCACTTTCTCTGTTTGTTGCGGATGGTACACTGGGCATTTGGACTTAATATGCCTTTAGTCCTGTAGAGGATTCTATTGCGATCACAATGATACCAAAATGAAAGACCTAGGACGAGAATTGAGGTGACCAAAATGAAGGGAGTGTAAACATTTTATCGCTCTTGAGCCACGCTCCCGGGTAACACGCTCTCACTTTCTCCGTTTGTTGCGAATAGTCACCGCTCTGTGACTAGGTTCTTTTTCTCTGTCTACTGCAAGCCCATGCACAGTGGCATGTACATTCACTTCTTTTCCAACCATCCTCCTCCTTTTAAGAGAAGTGTCCTTGTCTCTCTCTTCCTCCATACTCTACGCAACAGCTAACCTCAGTTTCATGATTCTGAAATTTCCTTTATTTACAAATCTTACAAATCTCTCGCCTTGGTTACCCTTTACATTTTATCAACTGTGCCTATTCTCAAGCTAAACAAAATTTCTTTCATCCTAAACCTGCTTCCAACACTATTAGCACTGTGTTCTGCCTTCCCTTCATATCTGAACTCAAAACTCTTACTAATACCTTTCGTCCTCTTGACATAAAGCTCGCCTTTCGACAAACTAATACTCTTCGTAGCAATCTAGTTTGCACTGCTCCTCCTGCTTCTAATGCTGCTGGTGTCTACTCTATTTCCTGTTCGTCTTGTCCTCTCCAATACCTTAGTGAAACTGGCCGTTCACTTAATGACAGACTTAAGGAACACAAAAGAAGTATTAAGTCTGCAGACACAAACAATGCTCTCTTCTGTAAATGTTAGGGAATCCAATCATTCTATTGATTGGTCTTCCTCTAAAATAATCTTTCCTGCCTCTACTCTACACAGACACCATCTTGTCGAATCAGGTCTGATACACAACCTACCTAACATGAACCGGAGTCCTGGCTTTGTTGCTGTTGACTCTTCCCTTTCACAGCACATACTCAAATGTTCTAAACTTTCTAACAAACGTAACCTTACATACTTCCTTTTCTCTTTCTTTTTCTTTCTCTTGTTTTCCCTTGCATTCCCATTCTTACTCCTGTTATTACACTCTTTATTACACTTTACCTCCCATACCTTTTGCCTTGCTCTTATCTTCCTCTAAGATTTCCATGTCCTCATCTCTCTCTTGCCTACTTAATTCCCTTGCCTCCCTTATCACAATCGACTTAATAATGGTCCAGGACGGACCGAAACTTCGTCGTCTTTTCAATTTCTAGTATGTGGTTTGGTCAACATGATTCTTTAAATCATCATCTCTGGTGAAGACTCATCGCCTTTCAAACAAGGAAGAGGACTTGCCTCTAAGCCTTGCAGGAAAGCTGAAACAAGCTTTAGACCAAGTGTGTGAGATTCTGGTGGAGTTTATTCATTCCTGGAAAAGCAAGAAGGGATTCCCTCATGCTTAGGAAGGAGCTGTCATGCCAACCAGCACTTAAGCAAGAAAAACTAAAGCTTCTTACAACCCACAGCCAGTTGGGGAGGATGTGAAGCCTAAAGTTGACTTGCTGAAGGACCCAGAGCTCCCACAGCTGAGACACCATAAATAGAGATCTAGTAGAGCCCATCCCATCCTACAGCCTACACTCAGATCGAGTCACTGAAGTCAGCAAAATCCAAGAAATTAGACGTGTCAGTCCAGATATATTTGTGATTGAGCTTCGCAACATCATGGTGGCTTCATAAGCAGTCTGCTGTGGTGAAGGCTTAACCAGAGTGGTCATCTAGATAATGACCAGATATGATGCTACAAAACTGACTACTGAGAGTGAAATCACTGCTGAGCCCAACAGTAGGAATACAGGAGACAAATAATGTTTGTAAGGGTAAAATAACTCTATAAGACATCCTTCCATACTGCATTAGGAACAGATTTATCAAACTCTGTAGTGCTTCCTGCACAAAAATACTCAACACTAGACACAGACAGGTCACTGGGTTCTTCAACCCTGACCAAAATTCAAGTAGGAAGTCTGGGTGTAAAAGCAAGAGTTCTCAGTGTTCACTAACCTAGTTCTTCTCATCTGATAGACAAAAATGGCTAAAGATACATGCAAGACTAAAATAAAAATAAATGGTCACATAATTCTGTTAAGGAACAACTTGTGTAAAGTGAACAGTCCATATTCATACATACTATGATAGTGTGGCTGAAAGTGCACAGTGCAACAAGCACCGAACTCTCTGGAAGACATTCTAATGAACATGAACTGTAAACTTAAACCCTGAAAGTAGCACAATCTGAAAATAAACTAATGGACACTCAAAGACATTCACTACTCTAGAAACTGCTAACAAGACGATCTAATGACCACATGGATGCAAGGAGTGAAAGCTGCACTGCCAAACTTAACGTAAACTACAGTCCCTACCTGCTGACCAGCACGAGACAGTCGGGAACAAACGTGACGTGGCTCAAGGTTAAGTAAACTAGAGGTGGGTGTGGTGCTGATGCCTGAAGGGGGTTGATATAGGTGGTCAGCCAGATCAATTGGTAGTTAGTAAGATCCCTCCATTGGTGGTCACTTTTTAAGCCAAGGTAGGGTTTGGAAGGGCTTTGAGATTTTATGAATAGGCCTCTGTAGGTTCTTTGGTCTGGACTGAATGTTCTCTAGTGAGTCTAGCATCTACGAAGACCTTACAGAGACAGCTTGACAAGTTATGTGGTGCCAGTGCCAATACATTCTTCATACTTCAATACATCCTTCAGTAGCAGGCAGTCATGGTTACTGTGCATAATCCTGTCCTGTAGACATAGTGGATCATACCTTGAAGAGCAGCCAAATGTGATAATTCTGAACAAATAAATGACTTGGGAAAATATAATAAAAAACTAAATACAGTAGTGTGATTAAGAGAAAAGTCAAGATGTATTGGGAGAAGTTCAATAATGATAGAGATGATCAAGACTTCACTGTACTCAAGATATAGTACCTTTATTTAGGCCAGCATTAAGAACATGCGTGTATGGGGGCATGAGCAGTAGTTCATTGTTTGATATGCTGGTGACGGAAGCAGCAGGAGTCTTCAGAGTTTGTACTAAAGCTAAGATGGGGCGCTCATCAGCAGGGGAGCCAGCATATATTCCCCAACGTAATCCTCGCACTTCATGTAACACCTCAGGGGCCTGGTTCATACCGAAAAATTTGATTAATGATAGAATAATTTGAGAACTCATCTTTAATATAAGAATTCTTCATAAAACTAAACATGTCTTGAATTCATAAGTGTGATCGAGAAAGATATCCAAGCCAATACCGGAATAACTTAGGATACGAGTAGGGTGGTGTAATGGCCAGTGGCTACAAGGGGTATAACAAATCTAGGGTTCTGTAGCCTAATGAGTACAGGAGGAATAATGAGCTCATGGAATCATGTAATTTGCTAGTGCATACCAATCAGTGACTTTGTTGTTTCCTCTACAGTTGTCCCACGTTCAATTTGTAAGCACTTATTCATTGTGATATGGCTTGTTTATTCCTCTCAAATCATAAAAACACTACTGAGCTCTTGAGTCCTCAACCCTGCCAGTGAGTGATGAACAGTGGTGGTGGTGGTGGTGGTGCAGGGGCAATAACACAAGTGTACTGGTGGGAATGATCCTCTCTCATTTCATTAACTATCTATAAGGGCTTATTTTTTCACATAGTTCATTATCTGGACAGAAGTCTGAAAACAGTTGTAGATTTATGTAGAAGGCATAAAACATAATTATGTAGATTCTGAAAACTTCTGCAAGTTAGATTATAATGTATATGTTCATCAGAGGCTGACATTTTTTATCATTGTATATGAAGAGCTATCAACAAATTGTAAATTAATAATTATCAGGATATGTTTCACATGATATACAGTTTATACAATAAAAATGATTGACTCTTATTAAATTTCTTAGGTCATTATTTGCAAATAACACAACATGTGCATTATTCCATGACATTAGGACATGTGTGCACAAATTTGGTACAGGTACAATAGATAGTTTAAGATAAAGTTATTCTAAAGTTTTTCTTATCTCACCTCACAATACAGACAATACAGTACATCCTCAAGCCAATGAACTGTATGGAATCAATCACAATTCATTGCAGCGAGGGGTCTGTTGCACCTGGAGATGGTTCCAGGGTGCATTTCCCACACCCCATGGGCTGATTTCACTAAGCTAAATGTTAATTTCAACCTATAATATAAGAGACAACTACTAAATGAAAATGTCTGCAAAAATATTTAAACACCTCTAGCTTAATTCTCATATTTCCAGCCTCAAAACTCATTTTCAGAAGGTAGCAAGGTCACATCTGAGTGAACTTGCCAACTCGGAATAAAAACAAACCACAGATTTTGTTTTTAAATATCCTCAACAGACTTCCTCAGGCGCCAACTGTTTCTCGTTATGTTGAGTCCATCTAGAAAAATCAGCAAAACCATGACTGGAGTGATATTAATAGTTACCATTCATACCTAATATTTCTTATGCTTAAAGGGCAAAGCATTTTTCCTATGCCCTAGTTTTGAAATGTCATTTTCAAAGGAAAAGGGACTAATATTGGTGAACGAAAACTAGGGAATCTCAAAATTAAAATGAACCATAGAATATGGTTTTAAATGTGCTCAATGGATTTCCCAAGGCCCCTTACTATTTTTTAAATGCTGCGCCCATCAACAAAAATCATTAAAAACTTGACTCGAGTCATACTAAGTTACCATTTGGCCAAAAAAAAACCCTAAAGCCTTCTTGTAAAATCATGCAAGCAACTGAAACAGGAAAGGAGGACTTGCAGCTAGAACAAGCCAGAGCAACCCTAGAGTGCCCCGAAAGGTAGTGCAGAAAGCCACCAGGCATGCATCAGTAACAACTCTAATACAAGGGTCAGAGGAGTCTGCTATGGGTACAATACAAGCAAAGAAGTGACCCATGCATCAGAACAAATGACAATGACAAGGATACTAGGACACACCCGAGGACCCACTTAGGAAGACGCAAGAACTCAGATCCAAGATCCAAGGCCCCAAATGGAAGAAGCCACAGCACCCACACAGGGCCTCTGGAAACAGTCTCAAAACAGTATACTCCTCAACTACAGTAAGAGGAGGAGAAAGGCAGACACCAAGGACAAGATGGCAACCTGGTGAAAACAACCTGACCAAACATTGAAGCCTCCAGGAAAGAAGGAACCCCCCCCCCCACACACAAAGCAAAAATAACATATGCACCCTTTCCTATCAGACATGAGAATAAAGGCAAGAGAGTTAGGCTGGATCCACAAATGCTAGTACAAATGAGGGAGACATACCCCAGAGAAACAGAGCATGATTCCTAGGAAAGATATGAAACATTGTTGGTGTTTATATAATGAAGAAAGAACCTCAGGAAGCAGCACCACCCAGGCACCAGTGTAGAGTACCACCAATGTACCGTTATCAATGATTAGCAGTACTGTACTGTAATTCTATTTTTGGAGTATTATATCAATACTTATAAGTAAAATTTCGGCAATTAATGCCAGTATTTTTTTTTTTGGGGGGGCGAAGATGATTATACTGTAGTAGTAGATGTTTCCTGACTTCTGTTAGCAGGCATAGAGCCACAGGTCAATATAAGCCTCTATCCTATCAATTTTACCTGGAAACATATTTACCAATTAGCTATAACCTCCAAAGCAATAATGTATGTCAAAATGTAAACATGCAGCCAAAAGGTTAATAAAAGACATGCAATATACTTGCCTGAGGATTTTGTGCGTGTAGATTACTGCTCACACTTGGATGAGGGTTCATGAAAAGCTGTTGAGGAGTTTGTCCATAGGTCTTGATCATTGCTTTACGAGCCTCACGACTGATCTCATCAATGCCACTCTCGACGTCATAGCCAAAATATGTCTGAAGACAAAATTTAACTACAATTTCTTTACATATTGGCCTAGTTACCAAAAAATATTGCTAAATATAATTTTATATTTTTAGATTGCCAAAATATACCCATATTTTAAATTAACACAAACATATTACAGTAAATTTTAAACTTAAAAAATTAGACAAGATTAGAGAGAATCTAGGAACATTTCATTGCAAAAGTCATTGGAGAAAAAGAAAAGGGTTTTACAAGAACAGAAAATATTTCAAAAGGCATATCTCAGGAAGCAAACAAGGTGGTTTAATAGAGTATAATGAGTTCAGTGAATGAAATGAGCACAGGGTAATGAGGTGGATGTGGTTTCATAGATTGTCCTACTAGTGGTGATGATTACAGGTGTGCAATGAGTGATTATGATGCATGTAATGCTTACTTATCAGTGACTATGAGGAGTGAGATCTACTTCTTTATGCCTCGCCTTCTAGCCATTTATATCTAACATGCTAATTACCTCTTTCAACATTAACATTTTCATTATATTTTTCCCTTAAGGTTGTGGATGGAATTGGCTTCAACATTCTCTTCCTGCAGTGCCTTCCACTTGCTGACCACCCATACAGGGAACAAGAACGTCCATACATCTCTCCTACTCAACTGCATGTCCAGCTTCCATTGATGTCCCCTTGTCCTACCTCTCTTTAATTTAAATACTTCCTTTGTCCACATTGTCTATTCATCTTAGGATCTTGTATGTAATGATCACATTCCCCCAGTTTCTTCTCTCGTCTAAGGTTCCGAGAGCGAGTTCCCTGTCTATCCTCGTAGCTGAGGTCTCTCAATTTTGGTACTAATCTAGTTGCAAACATCTGAACGTTCACAAAAGTCTGTTTATGCTTCGCAAGGTGTGGATTTTATACTGGTGATGTATACTCAAGTAATGGTCTCACATGGACAGTGCATATGGACTTGAAAGTCAGGTGTATGGACTTGTTTAGATTCTTATATGAGCTTCTGGTGGTAGTGACATTGATTAAGGTGTGGTGGTTGCAGTGATGGTAGTGGTAACTCTGCAATGGTAATGGTTCCAGTGATTATGGTGGGAGTATTGGCTAAATTGTAATGGTGGGGTTAACAGTGATGGTTGCTGTACTTGCCTATCATGAGGAAGTGAGGTCTGGCTCTCTGTGTCTCGCCTACTAGCCCTGCTGTACCTGTTGCATTATAATTTAAGTATTGGTTGGAGAGGAGTGGAAAATGGCTGTCATAGGACTATTGCTCTTTTTAATTTACATAAATGACCTTGCAGGGGGAATGAGCTCATACTTGTCAATGTTTGCATATGATGCAAAATTAATGATGGAAGTTGAAACTGAAGAGAGCTGCAGTGTGCTACAAGAAGACATTGACAAACCTAAGGAGTTTGGAGAAAAACGGCTACTGGAATTCAATCCAAATAAGTGCAATGAAAATGTGTAAGAGAGACAGGAGACCTGTATTAACTGTACCATAAGGAAAAGGCAATAACAAGGAACAATAAGAGAAAAAGACCATAGTGTAGACGTAATCATAACATTAACACCAAAAGCTTATATGAACAGGATAGCATCAGCAGCATATGGGAAGTTAGCAAACACAAAAACTTCATTTAAGAATCTAAACAAGCAGGCATTCAAGTTCATGCATACTGTCTATGAGAGACCATTAGTTGTGTTTGCAGCTCCAGCATGGAAAGCACACCTTGTAAAACATAAACAGAAACTTGAGAAAGTTCAGAGGTTTGCAACTAGAATAATACTATAACTGAAGAGCCTCAGCTATGAGGACAGGAAGAGAGAATGCAATCTCACAACCTTAGAGGAAAGAAGAAACAGGGGGGGGGGGTGATATTATATCTTAGTACAAGATCTTGAGGGGAACTGATGAAGTGGATAAAGGAAGCCTATTTAAATTAAAAAGAGGGTACATGGTTGGAAGCTAGACATATAACTGAGTCAAAGAGATGTAATGAAGTTCTTGTTCCCTGTGCGAGTGGTTGACAGGTGGAATGCACTGAAGAAAGAAGTTGTTGAAGCCAATTGAATTCACAACTTGAAAAAAATAATAATGAGAACATTAATGTTGTGAAAAGTAATAAGCACACCAGGCTAGGAGGTGTGGTATAAGGAACTAGGTCTCACTCCCCTGAAGTCACCAACAGGTAAGCACTTGTTGAGCAGGAAGTTAAAGTGTCATGGCATGGATATTGTGTTTTGTAATTGTGCTTACTGTATCTTGACTTTACATTCAATTTATTTTACACTTATTATCATATCTTTAACTCCAGTGTGTTATGATTTTAGATAAAAAATAAAAGAACATGTAATGTTCATGTAATTTGCTTAAATTTTGGAATGTAGAGTGCCCAATAACTTACCGCAGGATGAAATACATTGATAGATTCTACAGCTGCTCGGCCAGTTTGTTTGTAACCAAACACCAGGTCAATCCAGTGGTGTAAACTCTGCGTAACAAGCGGAGACTCAAGTGCTGCACGGTGTACTAAAACAAACCTGAAAATAAAAAAAACAGCATTGAATGTAATGAAATGCCATATTCTAGGTGCGACCCGACGACTCCCCAGAGCTATTCAGCTTGATATGGATACTATTTGACTTTGGCATCAGTCAGTGTGAATGGAGTTCAAAGGCCTATCGGGGACCACGAGCCAGAACCTGGTCCCCTCACAGAGGCACGAGGAGCAATGGCCTATAGAATTGCACATGTGATTTGGAGCATTCTATGTCTGCCATCAACTGGGCCAGGCACCCAGAAAGGTAAGCGCCCCAAAACAAATCCCTATTATGGTTAACACTACTAATGAAAGCTAAATGAGTGGACAGAACTCTCCCAAATAAAAACGAGCAAATGAGCATGATGATGTCACATGTGCCGCACTGCTTGTCTGTGCAGCTCACCTCTCCGTGGGAGGGGTAAGGGTGAGCCCCAGGCCCTCACATCGGCTATCCACACCCCAGTTTGAGACTGGATGTTAAAACATGACGCGTGAAAAACTGCCGACCGGCAGGGGGAAAAGGTGTTTGCTGGGGAGCCTCCAGGTCTCACCCAGAAAAAGGCATTTCATTTTATTCAATGCTAGTTTTCTAGGGGGAGCCCTTTCAGCTCCCCGGAGCTACTTCCCAAGAGAAAAAAACCAGCGTTGAATGTAATGAAACGCCATTTTCTGGGCAAGACCCGGAGGCTCTCCGGCTCTATCCAGGCTGATATGCTAATGTCAGACTTTGACATCAGCCAGGTGTATGGAGTTCTGTGGGGCATACCGGAGACCACGAGCCAGAACCTGGTCCCCTCAGAAGAGGCACGAGGAGTAATGGCTAATAGAAACCCCCGTGTGGCTGGAAGCATTCTATGTCTGCCATTGACTGGGTCAGGCACCCAGAAAGGTAAGCGTCCCAAAACAAACCCCTATTCTGGTGAAAATTGCAACGTAAAGCCGAACAAGTGGATAGAACTTCCCAAACAGAAACGGACAAATGAGTATGACGTCACACATCACCATGCCACTGTCTGCGCAGTTCCCCCCTCCCCGTTAGGGGGAAGGGGGAGCCCCAGACCCCCATGCCGGCAATCCATCTCTCAGTTGTGTCGTGTGCTCTGGCTCCAGTGGTTGTTTCAGCACTGTGCCTTGTGTGTGGTGACTGTCTTTTAGGTGGTGCATGAGTCAGGAGTTATTCTTCAGTACTCGGGCTTCATGCGCCTAGGGTTTCCTTCCCTAGGTCCCCAGTAAGTACTGCTCTTGGGGCCACCTTCCACAAGTTCCTTGGGTTCTGCCTCTGCTAGGCAGTATGAAGTTTCCTGGCGGTCCTTCTGGTTCTTTCTATGTCTTCGTCAATGTACTGTGCTTTACTTTCTGTTAGGGTGGTGTTGTCTTTTCTCTCTTGGTTGTTCCAGGACTGTCTCCTTTTGCCTAACACTGTCGCCTTGTATCGTGCGACGCTGGCGGAGCCGCTTGAGCTTGCTTTCGGTATTGATGTCACGTCTGCGCCGATTTGCAAGCTGTCTCGGGCGTTGTTTCATCTCCGGCCTGCTCATGTGCCGCCTGAGCCATCCTGGTCATTGGACAGAGTGCTGTCTTTTCTTTCTTCTCCTCATTTTGTTGTGGCCCCTTTGGTTCCGGATTGCTTTTCGAAGGCTCCTTTCCTGTTGGCATTGGCCTCTGGGGCTCGGGTGGGTGAGCTGCATGCTCTCCTCTGGCACAGAGGGTCCTGCTTCTTCGGTCTGAGTGATCGGTTTGTTCGTATGCAACCTTCTCCTTCTTTTCTGGCAAAAAATGAGACTGCTGCTTTCTGGAGGGGTCCCTGGGTTGTTGATGCTTGGTTGGTTAGGCTGTGGGTGCATCATATTTTATGTCCGGTTGTGGCTCTGCTGTTGACTTTGTCAGACTCTCTGCTGTTATTTGCGAGCCATGGCTTCTGTGTCCCTGGACGCGCTTTGGGTTGATCCGGTTTCTGTTCTTCTCTTTTCGAGGGTGCGGGTCTCCCAGATCATCCGCAGGGTTATTAAGGCTGGCCAGCCTGCGGTGTTTCGCCGTGCCTATGACATCCGCAAGTTTGCGGCTCTTGCTGCCGTCTTTGGCAATATGTCCTAGGCTGACTTTCGGGCGTGGGGATTTTGGCAGTCGAACAGGGTCCTGGCTGCTCGTTACCTTGTAAACGTTCCTGGGCCCAGTCGGGCCTGTGTTGCTTTGGGTTGGCGGATGCAGCCAGTTGTCTCGACTTCGGGTTGAGGAGTGAGCAGCAACTGCCTCCCGGGTAAGTCCCTATTCTTTTCCTCTGTGGGTAGTTAGCTCCGGGGAGCCGTAGGGGCTCCCCCCAGAAAACCTGCGTTGAATGTAATGAAACGCCATTTTCTGGGCGAGTCCTGGAGGCTCCCCAGCATCCCTCCCTCCCTCCAGTCGGCAGTTTTTTCGCGTGTTTTGACATCCAGCCTCAGACTGGGGTGTGGATCGCCGGCGCAGTAGGTCTGCGGCTACCCCTTCCCCCTCCTGGGAAGGGGCGAGCTGTGCAGACAGCGGCGTGACGACGGGCGACGTCATACTAATTTGCTCGTTTTTGTTTAGGGAGTTCTATCCACTCGTTCAGCTTTTGGTTGCAATTTTCACCAGAATACGGGTTTGTTTTGGGACGCCTACATTTCTGGGTGCCTAACCCGCTCGATGGCAGACATAGAATGCTTCCAATTACACGGGGGTTTCTATAGGCTATTGCTCCCCTTGCCTCTCTATAGAGGGGGCCAGGTTCTGGCTTGTGGTCCCCGGTAGGCTCATACGAACTCCATACACATGACTGATGCCAAAGTCTGACATTAGCATATCAGCCTAGTAAGCTCCGGGGAGACGTAGGTGCTCCCCCCAGAAAATAGTGTTATCAAACGATAATCTCCTTTATGTGTTTTTCGGGTGTACCGGGTGTTGGAATGGGTGGACGCTAACGGGTAACGCATTGGCGACTTTCAGCGTTGTTGCGGGTGGGGAGCGCGCATGTTTTGGATTTGATATGCATATGTCTGTGTAGGGAATTTTATTGCGATCACATTGATACCACTGTTTGGCGTACAGGGATAACGAGCGACCTAGTTTTTTATTTGGTGCCAGTCTCACGCCTGCTTTAGTGACATTTTACACATATGTTCCTCTAGAACATTCTATTGCAAACACATGATATCAAAATGAAACATGTACATTGAAAATTAAGGTCAGAACACTGAAAAGATTACACACTTTTCAGTAGGGGTGTAGCCGATGTGTCGTTGGGCGTGAGGTAACGGGTAACACTTCGGCTACTTCCCACGTTATTGCGGGTGGGGCGTGCCCATGATTTTGACTTTATATGAATATGTCCGCGTACGGAACTTTATCTGCGATCACAGTGATACAAAAATGAACGATTTAGCACAAGTGTGGAGGTGACAAACCTGAAAAGAGTAAAAGCATTTAATCGCTGTTTGGCGCTCACGGCTAACGAGCGACCTAGTTTTTTATCTGGTGCCGGTCTCACACATGCTTTAGTGACATTTTATACATATCTTCCTCTAGAACATTCTATTGCGAACACCTTGATACCAAAATGAAACATGTACATTGAAAATCAAGGTAACAACACTGAAAAGCGTATACACTTTTTAGTGTCGCCGCTCGATCGCCCGAAACGCCGGGTGCACAAGGGAAAAGTTTTATGGCCAACGGCCGGGGGCGCCAAAGTGTTAAAAGCATCATATGACAAAAAGTACAGGGAACATGGGACACCACAAGTGTACCTTTCATCCTGTAGCTACAGTTAGGTAATTACACACACTTCAGGCTTATGAAAGGTCCCCCCCCCCCCCCAATGTGAAACTACTGACATTCCCCAGAATGTCCACATTAGGGGAAGTAAAACAAATGAATTAAAAAGAATGCAATCACACAACAGCTTCCTAACTTTTCAGAACTTCTTTACTACTAGGTGAACAGAAGCATTAGGTAAAAGGAAATGTGCTCAACCATCTCTGTCCCACCCAGGAATCGATCACAGTTATATATGCACAGACAGGAAGACAATTGTGGTCACTGTAAGACAAAAAAATTGGTGGTGGTGATAGTGCCTGTAAAAAGTCAGAAGTCATGAATAAAAACAGACATCAACATAGTGACAGATTGTGGCAGATACAAAGAAAGATATAAAGAGATGGTGACCAAGAAAGATCATAATAAAGAAAAAGTGATACAAATAGAAACACAGATGAAAAATAGACAAATGGGGAGGCAGGAGAGGAGGCATTTAGAGGTCATAAATTGAAGCTACAGCAGGCCAAAGGGAGCCGTCATCATATTTCTTCAATAAATATTAGCTTGTAATATGTTAACAAGACGTAATTTGCAATTTGTCACTAAAACCTGAAGAGTGTGTTGATAAAAGAGGAGGTAGGAATATGAGTTGATGAGTGTAAGTATGGTAAACACTGTGTTAAGAGACTTACCTCCGTGGGTCATCACAGCTCCAGGGAGGCAACTGGACGTGGTGAACTCTCTCACCATTTTGTCTTATACCCATGTTAAAACCTGCCAGAAAAGCAATCATCACATATGAGTTATTTTAATACATTTTCAATATATATTTATAAAAACAGTCAAGTAAGTAAATAATCTTCAATTCTGATTTACATCTGGTGTGTTTATTTGTTCATTATGCAATTAGAAAATTTAAGTGTAGCCCATTAAAACAATTTCATTCAGTAACTGTGTAAATAATTACAAATAGTTGTATATAATAAAACTTCACAAGACAAAACTGTACCAAACTTATCCTTCCAACTAATGTAGTTGTATTTTGAACTTGTACTTGTTCCCACTAAACTTCCTATTATATTATTTGAATCAATAATAGTAGAAATATGAAAAAAGGCAACATGGTTCAAGCTACAAAAATGGAAGCAGAGAAGACCCTCTAAACTATAGACCCATATCATAAGTGTGGTAGTCAAAACACTAGACAAAAAAAGTTAAAACAAAATGAGTAGAACACCATTTGGTAATGACATAATAATGGACAAACAATATGGTTTTCAAACAGGAAGATCCTGTGTAACAAATCTATTTAGTTTTTATGATGAAAACATAAATTTCGACATTCTACAGGAAAGAGATGGTTCAGTTGACTATCTGGGCCTAAAAAAATGTCTTTTCACAGTCCCACACAAGAAGTTGTTTTGAAAACTGGAAAATGCTGGAGGGGTGACAGGGAGACTGCAGACATGGATGAAAATTTGTTTGACAGAATGATGAGGGAGGTAATTAGAGGCAATGTATCTGACTGGAGGAGTGCTACTAGAAGAGTATCACAGGGGTTCAGTTCTTGTGTCAGTACTGTTCATTCTCTACATAAATGATCTACCAGAAGGAATGCAAAATTATATAAACATGTTTGCTGATGATGCTGATGCTAAGACCCTAGACCCTTGAAATTGACCTAGGTGAAATAAGTCCTTGGAGCACCACGTGGCAAATAGAATTCAACATGAATAAATATCATGTTATAGAATGTGGAATAGGAAAAAATAGACCACACACAACCTACAAATTATGTGGAAAGGACTTAAAGAACTAACAAAGAAAGAGATCTATGGGTGATTCTGGATAGTAGACTGACACCAGAGGAACACAAAGAACATTGTGCGAGGAGTATATGCTGCGCTTTCCAATTTCAGAATGACTTAATTACCTGGATGGTGAATTACTACAGGAACTGTTCAGGAATTTTGTGGAGCAAAATTGGAATATGCAGCAGTTCTATTGGTGCTCATATCTCAAAAAGCACATCAATAAACTGGAAAAAATTCAGACATGCAACAAAATGTCTTCCAGAAGTGAAAAGAAGAGTTATGAAGAGAGGTGGAGGCATTAAACATGCCCGAACTAGAAGATAAAGAACTCACTCACACTCTGTCACTCCCCGCAGGGAGTGACAGAGAGTGTGACATTATTTACACATGACTGACGCCAAAGTCTGACATTAGCATATCAGCCTGGGATAGCTCCGGGGAGCCGACGGGGCTCCCCCCAGAAAAGTACTAGGAAGCTTCTTTTTGCAAACAAAGTTGTTGACGGTTGGAACAGTTAAGTGAGAAAGTAGTGGAGGCCAAACCGTCAGTAGTTTCAAAGCATTATATGACAAAGAGTGCTGGGAAGATGGGGCACCACAAGCATAGCATAGTCTTGTAACTACATCTAGGTAATTACACTTGGTTAATCACACAAAACTATATGATGAAAATATAACATTTTCCTGGCAGATAGGACTCATGTTATTGGTCTATCACCAACTGAATATAAAATTGTATTTACATACATAAAATCATATGCTCTCTCCTACTAAATCCCTTCAAAATCCATTTCATTGTATATAAGATCAAACATACAAAAACAAAATTTTTCACAAAATATCTTTGAAAATTAGACGTCTTATTCTCTGACAAATATGGTACATTTCATCAATCAAAGCTCCTTTTCGGTCAAAATGTACAACAGATGCATTACGGGAAGTTTACTCTATACTTACCCTCTGAATTTAAAAACATCTCTGGAAGAAAGAAAAACTCTGGAATAAGTTCTTTGAAATCTGTTGTGGAATCAGAGGAAGCAAGCCGCCACGTTGTCTGTACAGCATGGAAGGTGCGATCAGGTATGTCAAAGTTACCATCTGAAAATTAAACAATTCTCTTAAACTTCCTAAATACTACAGGATTTATAACCAAAATAAAAACGTTAATGGAATGAAACAGGAGTGTAATATAATTGGCTTAATATTTTTCTTTATACTGTACAGTATATTTTTTTAAATAAGGCTTGAAATAGTTTATCTCAAGAAAAACATGTCTATAATAAAGGATTGTTCTTGAATCAAGTTTTTCTTTTAATTTAGTATGTAAGAGAGAGACCCTTGTGTAGGGAGAAATAGCAGTGGTTAATGTTGAAAAACAGTTCCATGGAACATTATGAACGTTCTACTGTATACATATTGTAAAGGACACAAATATGCATCATATACGATAAAAAAACAAATAAAACCGCATTGGAAATACTTAGAACAAATAATTGAAAATATATTTGTGGCAACAGCCGGTGCTTGAATGGCCCGCGCGACCGTGTCTGGGCGAGTCACGCACGGGCGACCAGCACCAGCCCCTGATGACGTCACAGCACACCTTATGCACGTCCCCACAGCCATAGTAAGTGGAATTTGGTATTTATTTTTACATAGACATGTTCAGGGAAAGAAATTTATCATTTTACGAAGAAAAAGAAATTTTTGGGGAACTCTTTATTTCATGTGCACAGGGGGAATTTCACAATAAATTTGGCGCAGCACGGTGGTTAAAAACATCATTAAGGGTCCCGGTAGTACAGCCGGGTTTATTCTCAACTCACAATCAAGAATTCATATTTCAAATCCCGGGCGGAACAAAAATGGTTGGGCGCATTTCCTTTCACCTAAAACGCTGTCCACCTAGCAGTAAATAAGTACCCAGGAGTTAGTCAGCTTGTTGTGGGGTTGTATCCTGGAGAGGGTCAGTATTTCAACCCCTGGGGGGGGGGGACCTTAATATAAGCCTAACATGTACTGTATGTATAACTGGCTTCCTGTCCCCCGACACAATGAAGTAATTATGAATTAATTTACACCAACACAAGAGAAGATTGTGAAGACACTCACCCTGATATCGAAGGAAGAGTTGTGTGAACGGAGGCAATCTCACCAGAAAGTGGAGAACAATACCAGAGTTGCTATAATGAGACCCATAGTGGTAGGGTCCATCCCCAGCATCTTGGCTAATCTGTGCTGTTATCTGCCCATTATGACCTCATTAATATTTTAAGTGATAGACAAGCTGCACATTCATTATATAATAACACATGCAAATTGCAAGGTACAGATAGATTAAAATGCTGAAAATCAAGCAATTATGAGTATGATATTGTGATTCTCGTATCAACATCAAAATTTGATTGAAAACTGTCACCAATGATTATTCTTACAAAATATATCACTAAGAGCTTGTCAGTGTAATATTTGTGCTAATTCTCTAGAACACTTACCTCATAATTATTAATGTAGTGCTCTTCCTTGAGTGAATTCTGAACAGCTATAGGCTTTCTTAAATTCCTGCAATATATTAAAATACACAAGTATTTTCAATACAGTACATACAAATGAGTATAATTTAGCTGCCAAACATGGCTGGCAAATTTTTTTTATGAAACTCTTAATAATTTAAAAGTATTAAATAATATTTAATACTGTATTATTAATAATTTAATAAATAATAATAATTTAACATATTAAAAAAACTCAAAATTTCCAACACTTTGTACTGTACTGTATCCATGTTCTTACCTGAAATTAGCTGGATCATTCAGATTAAGAATGTTTGTAGTGTAACTGGACAGAATGAAGGGAAAGACAGGATACTGCATCAAGTCGTTAAATGAACGACCAGCTAACTTATTCAACTGTGTCAGGTACTCAAAATTTGTCATGTGCCCTGCAAAGAGGAGGAAATTAAATGACTAGACCGATTACTGTCATCCTTGGGAATTACATCATCTTAGTCACAAATTCTGATAGATAAAAATCAATAAGCAAAATAACAATTTTTATTATTCATAATCATTGCCATTTCCCACCTTCTAGGACCAGATAGGTATCAGCTCAGAAACAAATGCGAAACAAGACAGGCATATTACAATATTCCAAATGACACCTAACTATTTAACTTTGCTACCATTCTGAACAGCATCATAGAGAACCAGTGCAACACTAGCAAATCCTCCTCCTACATAAGACTAGGTATCTTGTTAGTAACAAACATGTCACACATTCACTCCCTCTTCACAATATGTTTCCCCTAGCTTTGTCCTTATCATTTATTATGCTACCCCCATGCTCAATACATGCTTCCTCATATATTCATAAAAATCTGAGAAGATGTACAATAGTGGTCATAAAACACAACAATAATTACCTTCTCGCCAGAGAGCTGTAACTTCAGGGAGAGTGGCCTTGCTTGATAAGTTTGGCATATCAGACATACTAAGTACTCCAATCACCTGTAATGAAGCATTTATTAAAAGTTAATCAAAATAGACAATAAATAAGGCTTTGATTCTTTTGAAAAGCATTTTCTTATTGAATTTGGCAGCCCCTTATTAAGGTAAAACTGACTGTGTCCTCTGAACAACAAATGTGACCATCTGGCAAGTGACCCAGGGATCTTGAGTTTGATTCCCAGGCATGACAGAAATGGTTTGCCATGTTCCCTTTCACCTAATGCCTATGTTCACCTACCAGTAAGTACCGAAGACCAGGGAGTTAGGAAACTGTTTTGAGGTTGCATCCTGGGAAAGGTCAATATTTCAACATAGGAGGGACCTCAATATAAGCTATATTAATACACAGACTTCTTGTCCCCATCAAATTAATTAAGTACTTGTTTCTGTAGCCTGGCATCGTCAGTGTCCTAAGCATGGGAATCAACCAAGGAGCCTAGCTTGGAAAAAAAAAGTATTTTATTTTTTTATTTTTTTAAATATTTATTATTCATTCGAGTTGTAGACTGCCTTGTCAAACTGAAAATGGCGCCACCAGCTTCATCTCTACTCTACTGCCTCTTCACTTTTCTCACCACTTTCCTCTGTTTTCATACAGAATAACTAACCCATAAATACTATTTTATTCTAAATAAAGTAAGAAATACAGGTACAATAAATACAGGGGTACAAGGTTTCACAAAATAATAATAATAATAATAATAATAATAATTCATTGTTTCGGGGGACCGAAAGCCAGTGTGTATTCGTACATGTTTGGCTTTTATCGAGGTCTCCCCCCCCTTCCTTGGCTGAAATACTGACCCCGCCCAGGATGCAACCCCACAAGCAGCAGACTAGCTCCTGAGTTCCTACTCATTGCTAGGTGAACAGAGGCATTAGGTGGAAGGAAATGTGCTCAACCATTTCTGTCCCAACCTGGATTCGAACCCGGAATTCTTGATTGTGGGCCGAGAACGAACTCTACTGTACTACCGGGACCCAACATCTATCTAAATATACATATATATACTGTATATAAAATATTTTATTTATCATCATGTTCATATATATCTATTCTGCACAGTCTCACCTGATTCCGATGTTGTGTGTTAGTAAATGCTAATAAGACTGAGTGGCCTGTAGTGAGAAAGAGCTCCAGAGCACAGTCCTGGAGTTGGTATCTTCGAATGTGTATTTCTCGGACATTATCTAGAGGCCAGGTTACAGATACTACCTCACTACTACTGCCGCTCTGTAAAACATAACATGCTAAATTAAATTTCAATAAGAAAGGTAATAATTGGAAATAAATAATATGATCATTGTTGTATTAAATGTATTAATGTTTTATAAGCAAATTATAAAACTAAACCATTATTAATAACTTGCAATAAAGATATTGAAAGGCATGTTATACAAGATTAAAAGTTGTAAATAACAGATCACTGGCAACCAAATCCTCTAAATGCACAGAAATTTTAATAATGCCCAAGTGTCCGAATGTAGATGAACAGCCACTCAGTCACTCCCTTGGGTAATCCAGTAATCTATTTCTGAATAATGTTTCCAAACAGATGAGCAGCAAAGGAGTGGGTTACAAGACACTTCCTTTGAGCTGTGCCCAGAAAAGTTGACTATGCAACATAGATATACATATTACATTGCAAGCCAATAAACAATATTCAATCATTGTTTTTGTCAATTATATTAATTATAGTGCATAATCAAGTTTTCTACACAAATAGTCTGAGTGGCACCTTTGATGATAGCCCCACATTAAGGGTTAAGTTATCAATCCAATGGATTATAGTCAATGAAGAAAAAACATCAAATACAAAATTTTGAGGGCCAAAAATAAAATAAAGAAGGAAATAAGGACTAAGGGAAATATTATTGTACAGATAAAGCTGATAAAACAAATATAATGGGATGATATGGACATGTGGGGGAAAATGCAAAAGTGAGTGCAAAAATATGAGTCGGTAGTGGGACAAACTGGGTGAAGCAACAAGACAGACTCGGGAAGTCATGCAAGTATTATAACTATGGCAATGAAATATTCTTTGGTACTGTATTTTGAAAAGATACACTGATGTACATACTAACAAAAATTTCATTTATGAAGAGCATAAATGCATTTTGCAATGATATATACATGGTACAGTTCATAGGAAATAAAAAAAAATATTTTATGTTAAGTTTACCTGGTTCATATCAACCATAACGTGTTCTCCAACAAAATACATAGCTGTCCTGCTGATTAGTATTTCCCCACGTTGAACCATGCCAGGAGACACGACTGATGCACTGCACATATGGATAATGCGTTCACTGACATTGAGTCTTTCTATCATCACAGCCATTGCAGACTCTGTCTCCGAACCTTTGAGAACTGATTCAAGGGGCGATAGCTGGTTTTCTATATCTGGGAACAATAAAACAAATTCAAAGGAATTTTAAGACCCCAGGAGAAAAATAATGTAACAAATTTAATAAACACATTTTTTTTTTCTACAATGACTTAGCTAAGATCATTTGCAAAGAGTAAAAAAAGTTTCTTAGTGCTAGATGGCTTATTATTTAGATTAAACAAATATCTCTGTGTGCTCGCCCTAGTGTGCCAGGTTCACGAAGCAGTTAAGTACGTACTTACGAATGTTTTTCTTCTTAAGCACCTTCGTAGCGGCTACGTCGGTATTCAGGTAGGCATTTAAGAAGGAAAATCTTCGCTAAGTACACCGCCTCGATTTAAGGATGGCCTCGACCACTCGTAGCTTTACGTAAACTGGATATAACTCAATTTTTCTCTACTACACAACACGGAGGATCGATTTTCTTATAAACAAAACATTTTAGCTGGCGAGTTTCAAGACGGAGTCCTTCGTGTTAACTATATATGCATTCTCTGCTTGAAACTTGTAGTAAATGTCTTTTATGATATTTGAATTAGTTTTATAATAGCAAGATATTATACCAGTAGTTATTAAGTAAATAAACACTGGTGAATATGAAATAAGATAGAAGGTGATGAACCTGGGCTGGTGGGAGCATTTCTATCACCAAATGCCCCTATTCACCTAGTAATAAGTATAGCTGGGGGGTGGAGCTTAACTAGACATACCCCTTTTTAATTTATTTTGTTTGTTTTTATTTTGAAATTAAATCTGGGTGAGACATAAAAGAAAAATATGCTGCACAAATGATCTTAGGTAAGGATAAGGGTAAAAACTTCAAAAACTTTTCTCATTGAATACTTAAACCTATAATTAGGACTATATGGACTATTATGGTCTGTTAAAAAAAAGGGGGGAAGTAGGGGTCCAAGACCTCTTCCTGTTACACAATTTGGCTGTGTGTAACAATAATAATTATCAAAAGAAGGCACCAAGCCGGGAAGGCTATGTATCAATAAGGCAGTGAGGTGAGGCAGCTACTTATTTGAGGAATGCTTATTTTATTTTATTTACCTTATAAGCTGAGGCAGGCTATTTTATTTGAGGAATGCTCAGCTGATTCCTCTACATTTAGCATGGAATAAATTTGTGTCCAAGACCTCTTCCTGTTACACAATTTGGCTGTGTGTAACAAAAATTATCAAAAGAAGACACCAAGCCGGGAAGGCTATGTAGCAGCATTGTGTGTAACAATTTTTTTTTTAAACAGATAATGCACCTGTGAGTAAAACAAATCCTGTCAGCTGTAAAAATATTGATCCAATTAAATAAAAAAAATATAATGAAAAATATTTATGGGTTGTTATCCTATTTTCTTCTAATGTATATCCTAAGAAGTGAAAAATTGAGACTGCACAATTTAATGATTGAGGAATGCTCAGCTGATTCCTCTACACAATTTGTGTCCAAGACCTCTTCCTGTTACACAAATTATCAAAAGAAGGCACAAGCCGGGAAGGCTATGTAGCAGCATTGTGTGTAACAATAACATTGAGTAAAACAAATTGTCAGCTGTAAAAATATTGATCCAGTTATTTAAAAAAAAATATAATGAAACAAATATTTTGGGTTGTTTATCTATTTTCTTCTAATGTATATCCAAAGAAGTGAAAAATTACTGCACAATTTAATGTCACAAGAAATACTAATAACATTGTTGTTCTCTTTTTATCTTCTAGTGTGTGGTTTGGTCAACATTACTAACATTACATATCAATATGAGATCTTAATGATCCATGGTTAACATTTATGATTTAATAAGGATAATACTGGTAATAACAATATTACAAGCTATAATTTAAAACCTTTATTACTGATTTTTTTATTAACAAGCTTATGTATACACAGCAATGTGCTGCTACCATATTCTATATGAAAGATTACAGTGTAGATCATAAACTAGCTACAAGCTCATCCAACATCCCCACCTCACAGGACGGCAAGTCATACATGGAATCAGGAGAGAATAAGAAATGAAAGGTTGATCTAGTAGCCCCCACTAGCAAAATCTGGGTACAGCACAAGAATATCTTCCAATATTCCTGAGTGTATGAAGTAATTACAGAGCTCAAAGTACCTTATACCATTTGGTTTAAAGTCACTGATAACAGGGCGATCACAGATATAGTATTGGAGAGTACAGTATGTCCTCTCAAGTAAGACTGAAAACAGATTTTTTTTACCCAGATAGTTATAAACCCATGGAACCATCTACTCGCTGAAGCTGTAAATGACAAAATCCAGCTAAAAAATATCATTAGGACAATTAGCGGGACTTAACAAGCCCCGGCTTTTTGTCCTCGTCGAGGCCACTAGATTGATAGTGGCCCTTGGGTAAATTTAGGTAAATATACAGGTATACATAAATAAATAAATACCATCGCTTCTCAAATCTTGGGAGCGACAAGGAAAGCTATACACCATCTTTTAGAATTATGTAGGTAAACAAAAAATGTAACATACTTGTTTACTACAATGTCGGTGCTGACTGTTCAAGTTGAAAAAAAAGTTTTACTTCAAAATATACTAATTTTAAAAGAAAATTTGACGTAAATAAGTGGCAAGTGCCTCATGGATACGCTCAGATATGCCAGCGTCGTGATTGGCTACAGCTGTAAGATGAAAAATGTTACCTGCTCTCTGATTGGCCAAACTAAAAGCCCTAGTGACATCTAGCGAGACCCAAGTCAACTACTTAAAAATCTTCGTAAGTATACTTTTCTGAATTGCCCTTTGGCGCGTTCTTAGCCGGTACTTAGGAACCTTCGTAGCACACATACTTACCAAGAAATACATGGAGCTTCGTGAATCTAGGTCTAATTACCCTTCAAGAATACTCCCACAGATTAACTTAATGATTTTTATACATTTAAATGTTATAATACAAATAGTAATGACTTTTTTTGCAAAAAACTAACAAAATAATTTACAAGTATAGGCAAATATTCAAATCTTTTACTAGAAAAGTAGTCCATTGTGTAAATATTTTATGATGGATAACACATTAACTACCCACGTTATAATGTGATAGCATGCAAAATAATTTAGCAATGCAATGAGAATCAGTACCAATGTGCACTCCCTATTGTGTTGTGGTAAAACACTCGCTCAGCGCTTCACAAGTGCTTTAGTCTGAGTTCCTATCCTGGTCGGGGAGGATTTACTTGGCACCAATCCTTAACTGTAGTCCTCTGTTCACGCAGCAGTGAATGGGTACCAGGTTGTTAAACGATTCGGTGGGTCATATTCCAGGGAAAAATTAGGATTAAGGACTTGCCCGAAACGCTATGCATGCTAGTGGCTTTACAAGAATGTAAGAATATGTGCTCATCACTAGTAAAGTAGCTTACCTATTTTCTGACTGTACTCGGGCATGAGGTAGCGAGCATGAATATGAAGACGACCCCTGGACAGCCTCTTGCGAACCCTCATGGGGCCCTCAGTTTGGTCCAGCTGCCATGATCTAAGAACGGCAAGTAAATTGTGTTAACTGGAAGTTTATAAATGTGTATGCAAATGGTACAAATTGATAGATATTAAACCTGTGTATGCAATATCTGCATCAAACATAAAGCATGAAGAACACCAGCTCAAGGCCATCATTTGAACCTTTTCATGAAAAACTATGTGGGAGAATTGAGTGACATTCATTTGTACCACCCCAGTTATTCTTTAGTTGAGAAATTAGTGTAATTACCTAAGTGTAATTACCTCAGTGTAGTTACAGGATGAGAGCTACGCTCGTGGTGTCCCGTCTTCCCAGCACTCTTTGTCATATAACGCTTTGAAACTACTGACAGTCTTGGCCTCCACCACCTTCTCCCCTAACTTGTTCGAACCGTCTACCACTCGTGTGTGTGTTTGTGTGTATGAAAGAGGCCTGACAGCTGAGTGGACAGCACTTCGGATTCGTAGTTCTGAGGTTCCGGGTTCGATCCCTGGTGGAGGTGGAAACAAATGGGCAGTTTCTTTCACCCTGATGTCCCTGTTCACCTAGGAGTAAATAGGTACCTAGGAGTTACAACTGCTACAGGCTGCTTCCTGGGGGTGTGTAACAAAAGGGTGGCCTGGTCGAGGACCGGGCTGCGGGGACGCTAAGCCCTGAAATCATCTCAAGATAACCTCAAGAAGATAGTCTGGGGTAGTATTGTTTTTATGCAAACAATTAAGAGAGCATACAGTATCAATACTGTACTATAAAACAAATTGTGTGTCTGCCTGTTTGTCCAAAGATGGAGGCCAGATACTTGGGGCTAGTCTCACCCAACTTGGCAGGGAAAATGGTCTAGGGTACAAAATGGACATAGACTGGTTGGGATAGGTCTAAATTAAATGCTTTAAGAAATATTGGTATTTATAGAAACCCTCCCATGTGATTTTTATAGTCAAGTGTGAAATATCTGGTTCAATTCCACTAGAGTTTTTTGAGATCGTAACATATTTTTTGAGACCCATACAGTTGTTTCAGTGCATCTTAATAAGAAATTTTCTGAGATAAGGAAAAAAAGAAGGGGGGGAGAGGGACAAGGGGAGACCAAGAGAATGGGGATGAAGGAGTCAAGTGTGAGATGGGGTGAAGAGTGGGGAAGAAGAGGAAAGGGATGGGGGAGATGAAGAAATGAAATCACTCCCCCTTTTATATGAACAAATCCACAAGGGTCGTGACGAGGGTTCGAACCTACGTCCGAGAGGTTTACGATTTATATATATATACAGTAAATAGTAATGTCTGGCTATTCAAAGTTGGAGGGGGGGGGGGGGGAAGGTAGGGACATGAATGTAAGGGAGAGGGTAGGGAGATGTAGGTATAGGGAAGTGAGGGGAGAATGGGGAAAATGAGGGAGATGAGATATAGAGAAAGAGAAAGGAGAGAGGGGAGGGGGGAAGGAAAAGGGAGAAAGTAGGAAAAGGAGAGGAAGGAAAGAGGGGGAAGGGGAAGGAGAGAGGTGGAACGGGAGGATAAAGAGAGTATTCCTGGAATTTCCAGGTACTCCTCCTAGTTTGTTTATCATATTTATCACATGAATTATTGTTCCTGTAATGTAGTATAACCCAATGAGCCTCTAATATTTTAGTCAAAGGTAATAAATTACTGTACCAGAATGCAACTCATTTAGGAATTATGCTACAATTGACCAATACAACGTTGATTCCACTCAATACATTCCTCGAATTAAATGGGGCATGCCGGTATTCACCCATTTTCTTCAAGTTCGCGATTCACATCAAGAAATTGGGAAACAGGATTATGATAATTAATGACTGAATGAACAAGAATGAATTAGATAATGAATATAGAAATCATAAAATAAATAAGAAATATTATACCAAAGTGGAAAATTTTTGTGATGTAAACAGTGCAGCAAATTAGCAAAGTAGATATTCTCACCCCCCCCAAGCAGTTGAGTCAAAAAGACAATGGATAAGTGCAGCATGGATTTGTAACCAAAGATATGGGGTTTGTATTATCTACCCAGAGGATCACGGGAGTAGCAGGAAGAGAAAATAAGGTTACTTTTGCCTTAATAAAAAACATAAGGCACTCTGTGCAATTGATATTTTAAATGCCAGTACATTTAATGTAGTTTAGATTTTTACACGAATCACTCTTATGGTATTCATTCAGTCATTAATTATCATAACCCGTGATTAAAATGATCATTATTAACATTTGGAGCAGTTCTGTGGCTTTCTAAATAGTAACTTTTAATGATTTGTCAACAAAACCAAACAAAATTGTACCCACCTTGGATAAGATTCTAGTACATGCCATGTACCTTTCTCATGTGTTAGGATTTCAACCAGGCCCCTCCATCGATGTGTCAGATGGACATGACGACACTGTGAGTGCTTAATGCCTCCCAAGACAATTTTCCGCTCAATATTTTGACGATCAACTACTGTTCGTGAAATACGGCTACATTCTCTTGCAACATCCTCAAAAATAAGAGTGTTCTTTGTTAAAAGTCTGAAAATAGAAGAAAAATTAGCATTTATATATTTGGACTCAAACCATGAATACAAAAATAAACTAAATCTGAGCTTATAACATGATAAAAATTACATGGCTCTACTATTATTAAATGAATAAGGCACAGGTATTCGCTAACCACGAATACGTAATAACTAATATACAACAAGCTGCTATTGGAATACACGTGATTACCATGATATCTTCAAAATAATAATATTTAAATTTCAACGGTAACCAGTGAAGAGTTATTAAAAGGCTTTAGAACAAGTACAAATTAAAACAGAACATTTCTGATGTGAATGTAGTTTAGAAGTCTTCATTTGGAAAAGGCAAATAATCCTGTTGCATATTGCTTGACCATGCCTTTGCGGGCATTACATTATTAATTCATTCACTACTATTGTTACCGAGTGGCTTTGAGAGGGACAAAAGCCGAAACTTCCATGATGCATTACTAATATGAAAGATGTAGGAAGGTTAAATTATGAACCTTTTATCCTGCTTATTGCAGCGGTCTACAACAAGGATAGCAATTTTGGAGGACTCGTCTTGCCACTGCTTCTTTTCCTCGCTCACAACACTCCATTCTTTCATTGCTCCATGGGGTGGATATAACTGAAAATTACAGGTACAGTACATGCATTGAATTACTATAAATATGATAGAAGGCTTAAATACTATTGGTATCTTTTAGAAATAGTATAAGGGTATCTTTATTATGTGCTAAGTGTATCCTTCATGTTTACTAAGTATATATTTTCTTGAACCCTTAAAAAAATTGAAGAATAGACAGAAGTATTTATAACTGACTGCTCAACAAGGAACTAGCAAATCCCAAATTCTTATTAAACAAGAAAATTATAAATTATCAATCAATACTGACCAAATTATTTTTTCCTCATTATCAGAAAAAGAGAAAAAACAGTTTTTTTTACCTCAGGAGCTGGCAGTAGCTGAATGGAACATTCTTCTAATATTTGCAAGACTGTCTCACAGCTTTTAATGGCTGAATCTTCTAGCTTGTTCTCATTTTGATAGCGGAGCTCGTGCATGAAGATTCCCACTTTGTATAACAACTGTAAAGAGAATAGTTTTATTTTGTTATTTGTGATTTTGGTGTACTCTTGTCACGTTTGTATACTTTAATGTTCATGACTTTGTATAAGTTTTTCATTTTCATATCTTACCAATTTAGGATTAACAGATGCCATGGTATTAAGGAAAAAAAAACATGCAACATCTCCACTAACTTTTCTACAGGAAGCCTCAAGTTTACCATAAATTCACCACAAGAACCAATCATCCCAATCAAGAACACCTCAAGATCATTCCAAGTTCAAATATAGAAAAGCATTAACACTTTGTAAATACCCTGATATTATTTTCAATATTATACTATAATTACATATTGAGGAATACTCTAATAGCATGCATGGACCGAAAGCAGGTACAGTACATATAATAGAATGTGTCTAAACAAAAGTATTTATAAATATGACACAAAACTATTGAATTTAAAGAAAATAAACCATCAATAAATACTTAATGCAAATCATGTCATACAGGATAAAAAAAAAAAAAACAGCATTGAATGTAATGAAACGCCATTTTCTGGGCGAGTCCCGGAGGCTCCCCGGAGCTATCCAGGCTGAATGGATATGTATATCTTTCTGGCATCAGTCAATGCATGGAGTTCTTGCCTACCGGGGGCCACAAGCCAGAACCTGGTCCCCTCTGGAGAGGCACGAGGAGCATGTCTACAGAGACCCTTCCCCTGTGGTTGGGAGTATTCTATGTCTGCCATCGACCGGGACAGGCACCCAGAAAGGTAGGCACCCCAAAACAAACCTCTATTCTGGTAAAACTATTGCAACCGAAGGCCGAACAAGTGGACATAACTCTCCAAACAAAAATTAGCAAACTAGCACGACGTCATCATGTCGCCGCACCGCTGTCTGCACAATCCCCCCCCCCTCCCCGGGCGGGGGAAGGTGGAGACCCAGACCCACCCCAACCTTCAGTTCTTAGGCTGGATGTCAAAAAGTGAGGAAAACCCCGCCGACCAGAGGGAGGGAGGGATTCCGGGGAGCCTCCGGGATTAACCCAGAAAATAGCGTTTCATTACATTCAACGCTGGCTTTCTGGGGGGAACCCCGTCAGCTCTCCGGAGGTACCTTACCACACTTAAGGAAAAGAGGGAAGGATCCAGGAGGCAGACACCCACGTGCCCTAACATAAAACAAGACTACAGACTAAAAGAAAGGACCTTGCCGACGACCCGGGAGACCTGAACCCCAGAACAGGAAGGAGGGAAGGAAGGGAACCCGGGCAAACCAAAACACGTTCACAGTCCCAGAGGCCAAGACGCACAGAGAACAGCGAAGAGCCGCAACCGAACAACAAAAGAAAGCACCCCTGGCCTGACCAACCAAGCAGCAATCCAAGGACCCCTCAGGAAGCAGCAGACCCACACATCACCCGAGAAGAAGGAGACTGCATCAAAAGAACAACCTACCATGAGGACCAACGAGGCAGAAAAACACCGGAAATTCCCCAACACGACCCCTAGAGGTCAACACCAACAGAAGAAGGAGACCGGAAAAACCAAAATACACCAGAACCGAAGGGAACACGACAAACCGAGGAGAAGAAAATAGACCACCCGTGCCAACGACCAGCATAGCACCGGAAGCGCAAGATCATTCCTGAGGTGAAACAAAGCCCAAGACAGCAAGCGGAATGGAGCAGAAGGAACAGCAACACTGAATGCAAGCTGGAGTAGCTCCACCAGCGCCACCCAATATGAGGCAACAGTACACGGCACCAGAAGATGATCCTGGAACAACCCTGAAGGGAAAGACAAGACAATCCTATCAATGACCTTGAGAACCCTTCGCAGTGATAGGAAAACCAGAAGGACCGCCAGGAAACCACACACTGCCGCCGAGACGAAGCACGCAGGCAGGAGACAAACAACGAAGCCACTAGTGCCCCCACAAGCAACGAGAACACAAGACAAAAACCCCAGACACGAAGACACGAGAGGAAGAACGAACCGATCCTTCCCGACCGATCCGCAAAAAGAGGCGGAGCCGCGGGAAGCCCTTCAGGATCGGAACAGAGGAAAGCAGAGCCCCCCAAACAAGGCTGGCAAAAACCAGAAGGAACGGCCGCCAGGGAACCAGGAACCCAATCCCGGCGAGCCAAAAAGGAACCAACCCGGACAAACAGAAATGCCCCGTCCGGGAGAAACCTCCCCCCCCCCCGACCATGGAAGGACCAACAAGCCCAAACACCGAAGAGCCAGGGCCCAGGCAGAGGCCAACGAGGAAACCGAGCACCACGAACTAAAGCGCGCGACGAGAAGCGAAAAGCAGTGACCCCGCAACCCTAAGGAGCAGCGCAAACACCTCCAGCAGAGAAGAATGAGGCACAAGCCACCGAGGTATACAGGAGGAGAACTACTCAGGACGTGTACAGCAAGAACACAAAAACGCACTTTCCGGAAAAAGAACAAAGAAAAGTCGTAGCCAGGATCGGAATCTAAGCTACCCCTGTCCCAAGAAAAGGAATCAGGAGGGCAGGAGCAATTGACCGGAAGTCTACAACCTCCTGCAGACAGTGCAACACAAAAGCCTGCAGGGAGAACAAGGAAAAATTGAACTCGGTACCAAATTAAGCACCGACCAAGATAGCCATGTGTAGCATAGAGGGGGATGAAAACAAAAATAGGCAAGGGAAAAGACCGGAATACGGTCCAAGTAGCAGCCGGTAACGTATGGTACACTACCAACCACAACGTGTGGCGTGTGGGGTCGCACATACACAGAAGGACACCACGGATATCAGGGTGCACCCAGGCACCGATGATAGGCAAGAAAGGAGTGCCCAGAGACCAAGTTGAGGAAGGACACAAACACGGACCAGGGGAACGAAGGAATGTCCAAACACCGAGAAAAGACCCAGATGCTGAAAAACGAAACAAAAAGCACCGAAATGCGGGGCAGTGCCCCCCAGTGCAACAACAACAAGATACACAGACAAAGTAGTCACTGTAAGACACATGCAAAGTGTCCAAGCAAAACACACAACACCTAATACCCCCTGTTAGGAGCCAATGATGCTACCCTATCAAGTGAGGAAGTGATAGTACTGACAAGGATGGATCAATGAACGCAGAGGGGGGAAGGGAAAACCCCACTCTGAGGAAATGCAAGCCCCGTGCCGAGGGGTACAAAACCCCAAGCGGGGCAAAATGGGGCCGAGGTTCCCAGGTTACCCCTAACCAACCCCGGGAACCCCTACGGCAGGACCCGGGGCCGAGTCGTTCCCCCAAAGCCCCAGCCCCGCAATTAAAAGCCGGGGCAACTGTACAAAACACTAAGGAAGGGAGCCCACTGGTCAGACCCATATGGCACGGCCAGAGGAACAGGCTTGAATGCCTCTGCCGCCACCCCGGAAGAAGAAAACCCCCGAGACCACTTGAGTCTCAACCCAACCAGACCCTGCCTCAATCCCGAAACCCGCCTATGGTTCGGAGTCAGAAGCAAGGGGGAAGTATGTACAACAGAAAGGGAAGGACAAGGAGGAGCGGACGGAACCGGAGCCAAAGCGACTCCCACCCCCCAAGTCCGGACCCCTCAACCAAAATGGGGCAGCCTCGGGGCATCCGGGGTTCACAATCAACCTAGAGCATTGCAGCAACCTAAACCTAGCATCCAACACCGCAGCTGCCTGCACCCGCACATCATTATCAGTGGCTCGGGTGAACAGGAGCACGTACAGACTACACACATGTCAAACGACTCCGGGTCAAAACAATCATCGACCCAACAGGCAACATGACGGAGGCAAAACACGTGAGTGTCACCCTGAGACAAGGGGACAGAACAACCCTCAAACTCGCAAGACGTGAGGGAAGACTCAGGGATCACATCCATCGGACCACGTAGCCCCCATGGGGTTTCCCAGGGTCCTTAGCCATGGTTACATGCTAAGGGAAGCCCAGGCAGGGTACTGCCACCAGTGCCCAAGTCTACCAAACAAACTGCTAAAGCTGAAACCCCGTGACGTGTCCATTCACGGGGCCAAGTGGGAAGAACCATTAAACACAGAAATATAGATATATACTGTAGATATATAAATATATATACCCCAAGAATAGTGATGGGCGACCACAAAGGCAGACCTTCCCCCCACCAGGCAGAAAACAAAAGCAAAATCAAAACCCCGCAAGAGGACAATGTACCCAGGTGGAACAGAGCCGGCCGCTGTCATAGGTGAAAACTAGCTGTGCAGTACCCAGTGCCCCTGCCAGTGATGAAAGCTACCCCCTACCCAGAGACAAACAAGGGTAAGAAAAACCCCAGCTGACCCCAAGGGCGACCAAGTACCGAGCAGTAAACGGCACAGCAGAGGAAGATCCCGAGGTGACTTGTGGAAGGAGGCCACAAGCCCCAAGGGCAGTACTTACAGGGCACCTAGGGAAGGGAACCCTAGGCGCATGCAGCCCGAATACTGTGGAATACGTCACCTGGCTCACTCATCACCTGTAGAAACAGCCCACACCACGAAGCACAGAATTGAAACAAAAACCGAAGCCAGAGGCACGACTGCACCAGACTTCCATCAGCCAAGAACTGAAGGTTGGGTCGCTGGCGGGTGGGTCTGGGGTTTCCCCTTCCCTCTCCCGGGAAAAAGGGGGGTTGCGCAGACAGCGGCGTGGCAACATGATGACGTCATGCTAGTTTAGTAATTTTTGTTTGGGGAGCTCTGTCCACTTGTTCGGCCTTCAGTCGCAATAGTTTTACCAAAATAGTGGTTTGTTTTGGGGCGCCTGTCCTGGTCGATGGCAGACATAGAATGCTCCCAACTACAGGGGGGGGGTCTCTATAGGCCATTGCTCCTCATGCCTCTCTTCCTCTCTTAAGGGGGCCAGGTTCTGGCTCATGGTGCCCGGTAGGCAAGAACTCCATGTATTGACTGATGCCAGAAAGATATACATATCCATTCAGCCTGGATAGCTCCAAGGAGCCGACGGGGCTCCCTCCCAGAAAATATATACACACATCTTCCATTATAGGTGAATAATATATTAAAACCTCTGTGTTTAAAACTTATACCGATTTATATATATATATATATATATATATATATATATGTCGTACCTAGTAGCCAGAACTCACTTCTCAGCCTACTATTCAAGGCCCGATTTGCCTAATAAGCCAAGTTTTCCTGAATTAATATATTTACTATAATTTTTTTCTTATGAAATGATAAAGCAACCCTTTTCTCTATGTATGAGGTCAATTTTTTTTTATTGGAGTTAAAATTAACGTAGATATATGACCGAACCTAACCAACCCTACCTAACCTAACCTAACCTATATTTATAGGTAAGGTTAGGTTAGGTAGCCAAAAAAGCTAGGTTAGGTTAGGTTAGGTAGGTTAGGTAGACGAAAAAACATTAATTCATGAAAACTTGGCTTATTAGGCAAATCGGGCCTTGAATAGTAGGCTGAGAAGTGCGTTCTGGCTATTAGGTACGACATATATATATATATATATATATATATATATATATATATATATATATATATATATATATATATATATATATATATATATATATATATATATATATATATATATATATATATATATATATATATATATAATTCATTCCCACAGAAAATTTATTAGAAGCTATCAAAGCAACATCGGCCAGAACCTTGCAACACATCCCTAAAGCAGCCCGCCCCCATGCAGCAGCCAAATTATCTGCCCTCCTGAGAAAGGTCAACGACTCTCCTGGAACGACCCAAGCATGGCACAACCTCCTAATGTTTGGCAACATATGTCTAGCCACCCCTGCAAGGAGAGACAAAACCTTAGCTGCCTCAGTCATCAAAGCTATAAATGATTTTCCCAGGGAGGACAACCAGGTGCGCCTTCCCACTCGCGCGAGAAACACCCACGGCAGGAAGAGCAACAGTGGCATATCCGAGACATCAAAATCAGAACATCAGTCACCAAGAAAATAGAAGAAGGAAACACTATTGGCGCAATACGAGTCATCACCAGTGAGGACTCAATTGCCGACAGAGATGCCGCAACAGCTCAAGCCCTAAGGGAGAAACACCCACCCAGGGCTCCGCATGAGGACGACATTGTACAAGTGGGGGCTACTGGAGCAGAACCTCTCTGGGTGGCTGAATCTGTGGTCCATAAAGCAGCCATGTCCTTCCCTACAGGATCAGCAGGTGGGTTCACAGGACTAAAACCCAACCATCTCAAGCAAATGCTCAACCCTGCACTGGGTGACATTGCAAAGAACCTCTTGGTGGAACTAACCAGATTCACCAACACATGTCTAGCTGGCAACATACCAGCGTCCATAAGACCTATCTTTTTTGGAGCATCTCTCTGTGCTCTAAAGAAAAAGGATGGAGGGATCAGGCCAATAGCTGTGGGCAATTCTCTCCGGCGTCTCGTCGCAAAGGCAGCTGCAAGAACAGTTAGTGATGCAGCGGCCAACATGCTGAAGCCAAAACAGCTCGGGTTTGGCATTCCACAAGGGTGTGAGGCGGCAGCCCATGCAGCTCGAGCCTTCATCGCCAACATCACAGACGAAAAGGCCCTTATCAAGCTAGATTTCAAAAATGCCTTCAATTTGGTGCGGAGGGATGCTGTACTCCGTGCGGTTCATAGTCATTTCCCTTCCCTCTACCCTTTTGTACATTCATGCTACAGTATGGATCTTAAGCTACTTTTTGGCGAACATGAAATTGACTCGCGAGAAGGCGTCCAACAGGGTGACCCCCTCGCTCCTCTCCTTTTCTGCTTAGTCATCAAACAAGTCACAGAGGTCCTGTCCAGCGAGCTTAACATCTGGTTCTTGGATGATGGTACCCTAGCTGGTTCCCAAGACTCCCTCCTGGAGGACATCAGAAAAATCCAGGAGCAAGGTGCAGTTTTAGGCCTCACCCTGAACCCTTCTAAATGTGAAATAATATGTTCCAACCAGGGCATCGTAGAGAGAATAGAGGGTCTTCTGCCAAATATCCATAAAACTAAACCTGAAGACAGCACACTCCTAGGAGCTCCCCTGGGGTTGAAAGCCATCGATGAGGTCCTTGATAAGAAAATCGCCGACCTTAAGAGGATGGATGGGAGGATTGAGGATATTGATGCTCATGATGCACTCTACCTCATCACCAGATGTCTGTCCCTCCCCAGGTTAACCTACTTTCTGAGGTGTTCACCATCTTACAGTAGCCAAAAACTAAGTGAGTATGACCGGTTACTGAAATCAATGCTAGAAAAAGCCCTTAACCTCTCTCTCGATGACCTACAGTGGAAACAAGCCTCTCTTCCCGTAAGACTTGGGGGCCTCGGAGTTCGAACAGCAACGCAAATTGCTGTTCCAGCCTTCCTGTCCTCCTTATCAGCATCCGACGACCTTGTGAAGGAAATTCTACCTGCCCACTTACATCAGCTGGCAGGTGTACATGATCCCAATTTTACACGCTGTGCCACAGAGTGGGCCTCTCGTGCAGGCCAATCACCTCAACCACCATCCCCAAAATCCCACAAGCAATCCAGCTGGGATGGTCCCATTGTAGACCAAGTTGCTGCAGAGTGCCTGGGTGCTGCAACAACACAACACGACATTGCTCGCCTCACAGCAGTAGCAGCACCACATGCAGGGGATTTCCTGTTAGCAACCCCAATGTCGGCAACTGGCACGCGTCTCACACCACACGCCCTCCGAATTGCTGTGGCCCTCCGCCTTGCTGCCCCAATCCACACCAGATATAGGTGTATTTGCGGCGAGGTGGTGGCTGACAGGTACGGTCACCATGGCCTACTCTGCCAAAGCACAGGGGGATGGCACTCGAGGCACAGTGAAGTTAACGACATCATCAAGAGGAGCCTCACCACAGCTGGATGCCCAGCTGAAAGAGAGCCCCGTTACCTAACACCCCGTAACTCTGATGCTCTTATTGGTCGCCCGGATGGTATCACAGTGAACCCCTGGAAGAATGGCAAGCAGTTGGTATGGGACTACACGTGCGTATCAACCCTGGCTAACACCTACATTAACCTCAGTGTTGCACAACCAGGTGGCGCTGCCACCCACAGGGAAGCAGCCAAATCCCGTAAGTATAGAGAACTGGATCACCACTACAATTTTGTCCCCATTGCTTCTGAGACGCTCGGCGCCTGGGGTAAAAGTGCTACTAGTTTTTTGAAGGAACTGGGTTCTAGGCTCATTGAAACAACAAGGGACCCGAGAGCTGCAAGCTTTCTTTTCCAGCGCCTCAGTGTGGCGTTACAGAGGGGAAATGCGCACTGCATCCAGGGTTCCTGCCCGCCATCTGAGGAGCTGGAGGAACTCGACAACCTATGACAACCATCTTTGTAACCCATATGTAACTCCTTTTTTGTAACAAAGTTCAAATAAAGTAATATATATGTGTACATACAAAAGAATGGGGGTGGTAGGAGAAGATAATATTAGTGTTCAGTGAGAAACCACAAGGTCTCCTCTGAATACTTTTTATTTTCTTCTCCGAGGCTATGGGTCCCCACATTGGCACCAGAGGTGGTACCCTCTTTATATATATATATATATATATATATATATATATATATATATATATATATATATATATATATATATATATATATATATATATGTCGTACCTAATAGCCAGAACGCACTTCTCAGCCTACTATTCAAGGCCCGATTTGCCTAATAAGCCAAGTTTTCATGAATTAATGTTTTTTTCGTCTACCTAACCTACCTAACCTAACCTAACCTAGCTTTTTTTGGCTACCTAACCTAACCTTACCTATAAATATAGGTTAGGTTAGGTTAGGTAGGGTTGGTTAGGTTCGGTCATATATCTACGTTAATTTTAACTCCAATAAAAAAAATTGACCTCATACATAGAGAAAAGGGTTGCTTTATCATTTCATAAGAAAAAATTATAGTAAATATATTAATTCAGGAAAACTTGGCTTATTAGGCAAATCGGGCCTTGAATAGTAGGCTGAGAAGTGAGTTCTGGCTACTAGGTACGACATATATATATATATATATATATATATATATATATATATATATATATATATATATATATATATATATATATATATATATATATATATTATATATATATATATGTCGTACCTAGTAGCCAGAACTCACTTCTCAGCCTACTATGCAAGGCCCGATTTGCCTAATAAGCCAAGTTTTCATGAATTAATGTTTTTTCGTCTACCTAACCTACCTAACCTAACCTAACCTAGCTTTTTTTGGCTACCTAACCTAACCTTACCTATAAAGATAGGTTAGGTTAGGTTAGGTAGGGTTGGTTAGGTTCGGTCATATATCTACGTTAATTTTAACTCCAATAAAAAAAAATTGACCTCATACATAGTGAAAAGGGCAGCTTTATCATTTCATAAGAAAAATATTATAGAAAATATATTAATTCAGGAAAACTTGGCTTATTAGGCAAATCGGGCCTTGCATAGTAGCTGAGAAGTGAGTTCTGGCTACTAGGTACGACATATATATATATATATATATATATATATATATATATATATATATATATATATATATATATATATATATATATATATATATATATATATATATATATATATAATAAACAAGTACAGTGCATATTGTATGTATTACTAATTTCCTCACCTGTGGATTTGCTTTTGAACTATACGAGATAATAGCATGAACTTTAGGGTGGGAAGCCAAGGCTTGGGCAGCACGAATACGTGTGAGAGTGTGAGTTCTGGGAGATGTCACCAATGCCAACAAATGATTAAGATGCATTCGTAGTATGTCTTGGCAGCCCCACACCATACGTTCCCAGCCACAACGCTCACCATTACCTGCTGTATACAGAATTACATAAAACACAATCAGATTCCTTGACATTATAACAAATGAATTCAAGGCAAAAAACAATGAATGTTATTGACATTACAAGAAATGAATTCAAGGCAGAAAACAAAGAATAATATGGGTGTCCCCTGATGTGCATGTAGGATGCAGTTCTGAGAAACAAAGTGCAAATCAAAGTTAAAGGTATAAGCACAATTTGTAATTTTTCCTTATATATGTTCAAATATTTTACATGTTTGATGCAAAAGGGAAAATATTTATCATCAACTCTACCATACTAAGGTCACAAACCAAAACCTACAAAGAAACAACAAATGTGACCTTTTCGCTGGGTAATGGTGGCAGCTGCACACAAGAGAAGTTCTAGCAGAAATAAACTAAAGGTTTCTGGAGCACTGGCAGATGGCAAGGCACTCGCTACTGCCTCAACTGATGACCAGGCTGAAATGTGAATGTTGTTTAAGATCTTACATATATCAGGTAAATATCGAAAAGGTAAAGATCAGGTAAATGTAGAAAATAACAACAGAATTTACAATTACATAAAAAACCCTAGCCAGTTTAAAATATTAAAGTTAAATCTTTTCAGCTCTTTGCAGCTTACAGATGAGGCAATCCAGATAACCACCACTTAGTGGTGGAAATGGTATTGTAATGCCACAATGATGTGATAAAGGGTGACCCATTTCCTCCACTTAGATAAGGAGCCTCCCTAACCCATGAAACTGTGAAATTAGGAATGATCAGGATACTGACTGCCCCTCTGTCTCTATGTCCCCATAAAGTTTTCCAAATTTAAGTATCTTTCAGTAATCTGTAATAATGAACTACAGTATAGGTTTAAGAAATAATAAAGACAAGTCACAGAAGAGCGACCTAATAATTAAGTACTCACCTAGTTGTACTCACCTAGTCGTGTTTGCGGGGATTGAGCTCTGGCTCTTTGGTCCCGCCTCTCAACCGTCTGAAGATTAACAATCTTTGGACAACACCCACCAGTGGGCCTCGAACCCAGAAAGCACAACTACCTTCCAGTAGCTGCCATAACTAGTACGCCTTAACCCACTACACTACATCAGACCCTTAGTACTCACCTAGTTGTGCTTGCAGGGGTTGAGCTTTGGCTCTTGACTTTTTTTTAGTATTAAGTATTTGATAAGTATTTGACATTTAAATATTCATGGTGGTACGGGAAAATACAATGAAAACTGTGCCATTTGTATAGTATCTATTAATGTTTCTTTTAGTATTAGGAAACTCAAGAACATATAATGCAAAAACTTATATTTAATAAATTTAATGAGCATCACATTTTGCTGCTTGTTACACTATATTCCATTGTGTTCACTGAACAGCATCACGAAGTAAGGCAGGATGACATGCTTCACCACCATGGTCATTAAAGGTGCTAGTCACTGTGGAGAAAAATCAATCCAATAACAATGACAAAGTCATTAATTCATCAAACTTCCAAGCTTATAAAACCCCACTAGGAAGTAAGTGAATGCCACCTTAGACACTTTCAACTACCACTGCCACCAGGTGGCAGCACTGTACACCTCCAGATCTTCAACTTGAGCCACCTTACATATACTGTAGTTCCTTCTGGCAGACAGGAACCAATTTAAAACATGCAGGCCTGTTTTTCAGTTGATTTGACCTTTGTATCCTGCAAGCGGTTTTCAACTAGTGAACTGTAGTTAATAAACTGAAATTTATTTAAATTTACATTGAAATAAATGATTTTACAGGTCTTTGAATGTCCCTGCTGTTTTATAGCCTGTTTCCTAATTTTTTCTGAGTAAACATACCTAGCTGACACATAGCATTGGGGAGCCTTTGAATTTTATACCACTTCAACACCACAAACCATGAAAGGAGTTCCAGCATTTTGTATTGCTACTTCAAGTCCAGTTATCTGTTTCCTTGTCTGTGTGTGTGGGGAGTTCAGGTCAATGTAAATACCCTTGTTAGCTTCAGACTTTTGCTTCTTACCGCAGAAAGTGGCAGTAGATCTGGTTACCCGTACCAAGTTTGGAACGACTTGGATAGACCAACAACTGTGGTAAGACATGGCAGGAGAAAGACAAAACTATGCAGTTGAAAACATACAAGTTGGCCTGCCTCCTCATACCTTAAAGAAGCTCAGGGCCAATAAATAGTGCGCTTTGAGCATCAAATACTCAAAAGATGGGGACACCGAAAACCTGACAAGACACAGAAATTTGAAAACAACACCTAAAGACCAGGTGGGTTTCAATTGGACTTGGGAATAATACATATAAAAAGTGTTTACCAAATTTTATAGAGAAGAAATTAGAAAGATCTAGGAGTAAGTTCTGAAGTGTCTCTGCTAAAGCAATCAATATCATTTAATGGTGTTGGGCATGACTTGTCTTTCAATGAAAATCCAAGACAGGAACATACATGTATTGAAGATTGTCGAAGTATATTATACCTGTAAACATGCCAAGATGCATCATATTGCCAAGAAGATGAAGAACAAGGATGCCATATAAGGAGCCCCACCATCTGTTTTCCATAGATGGAAATCGATCTGTCCCAGAAACTCTACATGTAAAGATTGTTAAAGATTCTAGAAGCAGCGTATCAATGGATAATCTTCTGGGGGGTGATTTTCTGAGAGAAGAACAAGAAAAGGGAATTGGAATACTTGGAAAGCAAGGGTGGAAAAACTAGGGCTGAACCAGCCAAAGCAGAGTGTAATATGTTGCTAACAAACTCTCCAGCTTTGACAGGTTGGACAACAGCATCCAGACTGGAGGAAACAGGTAAAAGTTATCCCACTGCTTCCAGTAGAAAAACAGAGCACCCTTGTGTTTGCAGCATTGGGTAACAATGCCACAGACATGAAGTTTGTAGTTCCATATAAATGCAAATGGGTTTACTTGAAGTATGTCAAACATTTTGTATATTTACAGTTATTGTATTTCATTGTACTGTACCGTATATGACATTTGATAAGAAGAGCTGGACACCCAATCTAATGTAGTGGTGGGTGCTGCTGCAGTGCTGATTATTTAATTATGATGCTAAATACTGTAGTGTGAATGAGATCTCTTTAATATCTATAAACTTGGTTCACTATTACAGTATTTACGTTTTTCTGGGCTGATGCTTCCCAATCTTGTGAAAGTGGGAAAACCAGGTAATGATGATATATTTATGCAGAAACTGTCTTATAAACAGATATATAGTATGTGAAAACACATGGAACTTGAATACAGTACGACTACCTTGATAAAAGAAACGGTACAAAAATTAAACTTACCCGACATAAATAAAAAATCTGTTGCTTTTTGTATGAGCACCTTGAACCTATCCACTAGTTCAGAGTGTGCCAAAACTTTTTCTTCTTTCTTGACATTATCTGAAGTCAAGGTAGGAGAGCTTTGACTCTGGTTGATAAATAGCTGCTCTGAGACGTTGTGAAGGCTAAAAGACCAATGAAGTGTTCAGATTAATAGGTCTCAAATAATACAAAAAATATATGAAGGCATTATAAATAATGAAACTAAAATGTTGCAATAGCAGAATGTTGTATAACCTACAAAACATGCTCTTTCTGAGCAAGGGCCCCTCCCTCAGATGCTCCCCATGTCATGACAAGTCCACCCTGGACATAACATTCCCATCAAGATCTTGGCAAACTGTGCTTAATGGTGACAAGGAACTTTCCAAATGGTCTTGCCTGGTAGCTGGGGAGGGGAAGGGAGACAGCAAATAAAATTAAATCCACCTCAAACAAAGACCACTTACTAATACACCATTGAGCAAATTTTAAAACTCAATGCAGAAAATAACTGGACCCACAATGCCAGTTGTGCCAGTTAATTCTCTGCTAACTTTCACTTGCCTACAGTACTTCCTACTCCAGTTGCTACTACTTGCACCACCACCACAGCAAGGTTAGAGTAGCATGTCACCCTTCATTTGTCATCTGACAGTCCAGACACATTCTCTCAAGCTATATAGATGAATAATTTAAATAGACTGGTTGTTCTTTATCACTGCCATCTTTGTGCAGGGTGCCCACTGCTTGATGTTCACTTCACACATTGTGTGGTTAGTGTCCCTCACTTCACCTTTGCATCAGAATTATCTTTTCTGGTACTGTCAAGGATCAACAGCCTTCAGAGCTATCTTCTATATATGACCTGGGTGTTTGTCTCCTGCAACCTCCATCTTATCTTGAGGTTATCTAGAGTTCATTTCGGGGCGTTAGTGTCCCCGCGGCCCGGTCCTCGACCAGGCCTCCACTCCCAGGAAGCAGCCCGTGACAGCTGACTAACTCCCAGGTACCTATTTACTGCTAGGTAACAGAGGCATCAAGGTGAAAGAAACTCTGCCCATCGTTTCTCGCAGGCGCCCAGGATCGAACCCGAGACCACAGGATCATGTGTCCAGCGTGCTGTCCGCTCGGCCGACTGGCTCCCTCCATACTAATGCTTTCTGCTTGTACTGGCCCTTCTGGCACTTTTTTGTTCTTTGCAATGCTATGTCAAATGATGACAGAAGGTAGCTCTGAAAGATGATGGCCTTCTACAATCACTTTCAGAGGAAAGAACTCAGAACAAAGCTGAAGCAGAAAACTAAATTCAGAGATAGTTAAACGACTATGTATTCATGTGCATGAAGTGAACGTTACAGCGTGGGAACTCTATGCAGGAATAAAAATCTCTCGAAGAACAACCCACTGAGAAAACTTAACTGAATCAGTCTCTAGAGCTTCGGAGGTGGATGCCAGGCAGCATGTGAGGGCTGCTTGCTCCCCTGACCCTGTTAATATGTAGCATGCAGCCTTCTAGTGGCAGCTGCAGGTAATAACTAGTGGTCTACTCAGTAGCTATCAGTGTGATAATTAGTTTCTTATCGAATCTAAGGTTTTGTTTACAGGGGCATTCAAATATTTGATTCTGCAGTTTGCTTAATAGTGAGCTAATCATTGAGGTGGAAAGAGACTTCTCCACTTTCTCTCCACCTAAATTTACATAGCAAGACCGTTTGTAGTAAAGACTCTGTCACAGTGAGCTCAACAGTCTGGCATTTTTAGTGATCTTGGAGGACCATATGAGTACATGGCACAGGGAGCAGCTGAGGAAAACTAGCTCAGTAATCTATGGTTCCACACCACTTTTTACCTTTTAGTGAACGGTATGGTTGAGTAATTGGCCAGTACCGAACCCACCCCTGAGTCGCTGTCCTCACGCTGGCCAGCTGGTGAGAAGAGCTTCATGTTGTGCAGGCTAGTTGATCCAGACACACCAGGTTTTTCCACTGTCACATGAAATTAACACTTAGTAGAGAAGAGCAGAAATAATTCAGATGGTGTTTGGAAACATATTTATGTAAAATCAGATGCTGTATTGCAACCCAACTCATTTCAAATGCATCTTAGGATATCAATGTATCATTGTTATTTTATGAATGACCTTTATTCCATGTTAGTCAAATTTAAAGCCATACATTTGTATACTGAACTTGAATTGTCCAAAGCATCCAAACAGGAAGAATACTTTGGAGACAAAGGAACTTGTGTCTTTTATCTTTTACAAACCAATTACTGAATTATTTTTAAGGTCAATAACAAAAAGTATTTAAATAATAAAACATATTGCCTAAGCCATACATCTTTAATTCCAAACGTATGAATTTTTTTTATATACGGAAGTATTTTTCATTTCATTAGTATGAAATATTCATACTATATTCATATATTCTTATATTCATACAATATTCATATAATTTCATTAGTATGAAATGAATATTGATCCTCAAAAAGTATATTTAATGTAAAAGACTCAAGCTTTGAGTGAATATGAAAAGCTCCTTTCTGAGCATGACGCCTCAAACAAGATTACTGCTGATCCAAATGGAAAAAAAACTAAAAAACCAGCGTTGAATGTAATGAAACGCCATTTTCTGGGTGAGACCCGGAGGCTCCCCGGAGCTTTACCGGCTGATATGCTAATGTCAGACTTTGGCATCAGTCATGTGTATGGAGTTCTAGGGCCTACCGGGGACCACGAGCCAGAACCTGGCCCCCTCAGAGAGGCAAGGGGAGCAATGGCCTATAGAAACCCCCGTGTGGTTGGAAGCATTCTATGTCTGCCATCGACCGGGTCAAGCATCCAGAAAGGTAAGCATTCCAAAACAAACCCCTATTCTGGTGAAAATTGCTACCTAAGCCGAACTAGTGAATAGAACTCTTCAACAGAAAACACGGAAACTAGTATGACGTCATACGTCACCGCGCCGCTGTCTGCGCAGCTCCCCCCTCCCCGGGAGGGGGAAGGGGGAGCCCCAGACCTCCCACGCCGGCTATCCACCCATCAGTTCTGAGGCTGGATGTCAAAACACGCGAAAAACGCCGACCGGAGGGAGGGAGGGTTGCCGGGGAGCCTCCGGGTCTCACCCAGAAAATGGCGTTTCATTACATTCAACGCTGGTTTTCTGGGGGGAGCCCCGTCGGCTCCCCGGAGCTAACTACCCACAGAGGAAGGTCAAAGGGACAAAACCGGGAGGCGGACACCACGCACCCCCCAAGGAGGCGAGACAACCGGCAGCAAACGCCAACCCAAGGCGCCACAGCCCCGAAAATCCCGGGAACAACACGAGAACCACGAGCAGCAAGGCCCCTGCACGAACACCAAAAATCCATGCCCGAAAGACTGCAAGGCCACGTCGCCCAGACGGCAGCGAGAGCAGCGAAGCCACGAACGCCACAGGCATGAGGGAAGAACACAGGCAGCTTAGCCACAAGAACACGGCTGACCACCCGGGACACCATCACCCGCGAACCGGGAAGAACAGAACCGGATCAACGCAAAACGCGCTCCGGACCCAAACGCCGTGGCACGCAAACAACAGCAGAGGGCCGCCACTGAACACAAAAACGACACACCCCCGGCCCGACCAACAAAGCACCAACAAACCCTGGACCCCTCCAGAATGCAGCAGCCCCACCCCGCGCCAGAAAAGATGGAGACTGCTGCCATCAAACAACCAAAACGCTAAAACCGAAGGAGCAAGAAAACACAGCGAACCGACCCCCAGAGGCAAAGGCCCAAAGGAAAGAGCCGACGAAAAAACACACCGGAACCGAAGGGGCACTACCAACCGAGGAGAAGACAGAGCACGCTGACCAGAGACCAGGATGGTGCAAGCGGCGCACGAACAGGCCGGAGGTGAAATGACGCACAAGACAGCTGACTAACGGTGCAGAAGCAACACCAAGACCGAAAGCAAGCTGAAGCGGCTCCGCCTGCGCCGCACGAAAAGAGGCGACAGTATGTGGCAAGACGACGGCCCCCAACCCCCACTAGAAAACCAAGCCGAGAGTAAACCAAGCCAACAAGAAGGACCCACCGAAGAAGGGACAGGAAAAGGAAGGACCGCCAAAATACCCCATACTGCCGCCAAGAAGCACGCAGGTGGGACACCTACCACGAAGCCACCCGACCACCAACCGGAGGCGAGACCACGAGGCAGAACATAAGCAGCCCCGACAAGGCCCCCCCGAGCCCAGGAAAAAGGCGGAGCCGCGAGAAGATCTCGGGCGCGACCACCGAAACCCAGGCGGCACAAGGAGATGGAACGTCTGCCGAACAGAAAAACTCCGAAGCATGCAAGCCCGCCAGGAGTTCAGAAACGACGGGTCCGACGCGAGACATCGCAAGAACCCCCCCAAAAAAAAATAAAACAACAACAACAACCGGCAGGGCAAGCTAGGAAAACCAAAGAAGGCGGAAGGGTCGCCGCCAGAACAGGACCCGAACCAAGGGGCCCGAACAACTGCAACAGACCGAGACAAAGAAGCACATCACAGGACACAGGCTGACCAACGCCTAAGAACACACGCAGAACATTCCTGCTGCAGAAGAGGCAGGAAGAAAGAGCAGAAGCACAAAAAAAAAAAAAAAAAAAAACCAGGAGAACAACCAGGGGTGGACAATCAGGCAGGGACAAAAACCCCACGCAATCCCCAGGCACAAAACAGCAGCAAAGCGCCACTCCACAACCGGACACAGGAACAAGGACACGCCACCGTGAAACACGGTACCAATGCTCACGTGCAGCAGCAGCAGCAACAGGCACCACTGCAACATGCAACATGTAAATAGCAACTCCCCTCTGCAAAGGCAGAGAACGGAGCAGGCAGACCCCAGACAGGGCCAACGGAGACACGACAAAACCCTGCAGGCCCAGAAACCTGCACCAGGCGACCGACGGCGGAGAAACCCCGCTCGATACCTGCTGGATGAGGTACTGGGAGCTCTTTTACACCTCAAGCCCGGCCCAAGGTCAGGCCAGACCGGCCAGAGGATGGCCCACCAGGCAGCTGCTAGGAGCAGTCCACCGGCCCACATACCCCCACAACCAGGACGGGCCGGAACTGCCATACGAAAACAGGCCAGTGCGCCCTGGAAGTCCACGGACGAACCAGCAAGAAGGCTTATGCTCGCAAGTAGGTCGTGTAACAAGCACAGACCACTGATGGTAATACAGTGTTCCCCAAAAGTGCCAATAGCACCACTGCACTCCACTGGTACTATCCCGCAAGTTCTACCAGATAGGCGGGACCCAAGAGCCAGAGCTCAAATCCTGCAAGCACAGCCAGGAGCCTCACCAGGTGAGTACAGAACCAACCCTACAACCCCCACACCTCACAACATTAAAAAAGGAGGGTCCCCTGAACGACTGTAGCATGGGTTGGACATGCACAGGAGGGGGACAGGAGTGGGTGATAAAGGGACAGTCACTGGTGTGCGAACGGTCTCAGTCGTACAAAATTATACCTAAATAAAGACAGGTATATGAACACCGCCGCATCCAGCGCCCGGCCAAAAGACGCCAGACCGCAGAAACTCACCTGGCGAATGGTGGCTCGAACTTGACACGACTCAACCGTGCCCAGAAGAACTTGGGAGCACCGCCAGGTGAAGACGCCAGAGCCGGACCCGCAGGAGAACAGGGAGAGGCGAAGGAGGCGGTCCACACCCATGACACAGAAAACCGCGGTGTCCTCCCCACAACTGGGAACCAGGACACCCCTGGCGCAAAGGGGCACATACCGCAGCCAGGGAGAAGAACGAGAGGCGAAGCACTGTAGCAAAAAAGGGCGCAAAACCCCAGCACTGAACCATCGCCCAGACCAAAACAAACTCCACGGCGCATGCGCATAACACGCTGGCCGAACCGCACACCCTCCCTGCGGGAAGGCGCCAGCCAGGACTATTGCACGAGAAAAAGAGCCAAAAGAGGAAGCAGGAACAAGAAAACCGGCCAAAGAAGCAAAGAGCCCAAAAAAAGGGAACCCAAACGGGCGACAAGTAGCCCAAACGGGCGACAAGTAGCCCAAACGGCCGACAAGTAGCCCAACCGGGCGACAAGTAGCCCAACCGGGCGACAAGTAGCCCAACAGGGCGACAAGTAGCCCAACAGGGCGACAAGTAGCCCAACAGGGCGACAAGTAGCCCAACAGGGCGACAAGTACTAGGAGCCGACAGACGTTCCAATAATGCGGGAAGTAGCGAAAAACCTTCCCGTACCCTCGAGAACACAGAAGCCAACACTAGTCCCGAAGGCACACGAAGGCGCAGGCGCACCCGAGATCAAAAGTCACGCAGAACCCCATCGAACGGGGAAACATGACAAAAACACCGTCCCAAAAAGCGGGGGAGGAAACATCCACCCACAGGACGGAACCAACCGACTCAAAGGCCAAGGAACCGAGCCCGGGGAGGGGCCGACGTCCAACAGCACGTACGGCGAGTGGGGAGGAAAAACCCCACTCCGCGTAACCACAAGCCCCGCCTAGAGGGGGATAAAACCCCCCACGGGGTCTAACGGGGCCAAGGCCCCCCAAGTCAGCCCCTCCCCAGCCCCGGGAACCTACACGACAGGCCCCGGGGCCGAGCCGTTCCCCCAAAGCCCCGGCCGTACCAGAAAACCGGGGCAGCCGTGAAAACACTAAGGAAGGGAGCCCACTGGCAGACTCATACAACACGGCTGGAGGAACAGGCCCAAATGCCCCCGTCACTACCCCGGAAGGGGAATTCCCCGAGACTGCCCGAGTCTCAACACCACCAAACACCCCGCCCTGAACCTACAGACGGTAAGGAACCGGATGCAGGCAGGAAGGGTGAACCAGGGGAAAAACGAAATACAACGGGGCAGCCCCGGGGCTCCCGGGGAGGAAACCACGAGAACGTTGCCACCACCAAGGCTCAAGTGCAACGCCCCTGCTGCCCGCACCCGCTTTGTTAGCACAACTGGGTAACCGAGCCACAACGAGCAACCAAACTCGCAGGACACCGGGTCGAAGGTGTCACCGACCCCACAGGCAGCAGACGGAGGCAAAACAGAGAGTCACCCAGAGACAAAAGGTGAGAGCAACCCTCAAACTCGCTGGAAGCGAGGGGGGGGCTCTGGGGTCACATCCATCGGACCCGCGCGCCCCCAGGGGTTTCCCAGGGTCCCGAGCGTTTACTTTAAGAGGACTCGCGCTCAGGTAATCCCAGGCAGGGTACTGCTAACCGGCACCCAAGCTACCAAACAACTTTCTAAGAGCTGAACCCCCGGGACGTGTACACTCACGGGGACCTAGCAGGGGGTACCACCAGAAATACTCAGAACACAAGGGACACAAGGGGCAAGAACGAAGGCAGACCCCCCCACCAGGTATATAAACAAAAGAAAAAGAAAACCCCGCAAGAGGACAGCGTACCCAAGCGGAACAGAGCCGGCCGCTATGATTGGTAAAGACAAGCTGCACAGTACCCCGCGCCCCACCAGTGCAAACACTGCCCCTTACTCTAAGGCGAACAAGGGAGACAGAACACCCGAGCACACAAAGAGCGGCCGAAAACCAAGCGGTAAACGGCCAAGCAGGGGCAGGACCCAAGGAACTTGTGGAAGGTGGCCCCAAGCCCCAAGGGCAGTACTTACAGGGCACCTAGGGAAGGGAACCCTAGGCGCATGCAGCCCGAGTACTGAAGAATCACACCCGGCTCACGCACCACCTAGAAAACAGACACCACACTCTAGGTACAGTGCTGAAACAACCACTGGAGCCGGAGCACATAACCATTGCCTATAGCATCAGCCGAAGAACTGATGGGTGGATAGCCGGCGTGGGAGGTCTGGGGCTCCCCCTTCCCCCTCCCGGGGAGGGGGGAGCTGCGCAGACAGCGGCGCGGTGACGTATGACGTCATACTAGTTTCCGTGTTTTCTGTTGAAGAGTTCTATTCACTAGTTCGGCTTAGGTAGCAATTTTCACCAGAATAGGGGTTTGTTTTGGAATGCTTACCTTTCTGGATGCTTGACCCGGTCGATGGCAGACATAGAATGCTTCCAACCACACGGGGGTTTCTATAGGCCATTGCTCCCCTTGCCTCTCTGAGGGGGCCAGGTTCTGGCTCGTGGTCCCCGGTAGGCCCTAGAACTCCATACACATGACTGATGCCAAAGTCTGACATTAGCATATCAGCCGGTAAAGCTCCGGGGAGCCGACGGGGCTCCCCCCAGAAAAAGCATTACTGGTACATCACCAGTGAAAGTCAGGGATGAAAGGTGGGTGTCCCCAAAGCCTCTGTATAAAGAATAGATGCTAACACATGCTTGTGTGTTGGATAATGTCCACATACAATAATAGCAGTTAGCAGAGCAATACTTGGTGGTCTATCTGAAACTGAATATTTGCCTGGAGGTAGTTTTGCAAGTGCAAATGAATAAGCCTTTCAGGGGTTAGTCTGTGTTGGTAGAGATAGCTCCACTTTCTCTCTTCCTTCAGAAATTACCCAGATGGAATATTTAGAAAAGATTCCCTTTGTATTAAGGAGTAAAGGTTGAACTACCCTGGTTGGTACTATGCAATGTCCGTGGGACTCGCACATTTCTTACAGAAGCAACTGAGCTGATAATGCTCAAAAATATACAAGAATGTTAGCTCAGTTTTATCATACAATATATGAATTCAGTTTCAGTTAAAGATTATTAGGCTTCCTCAAGATATCACACAAACTGAAGAAATACTGTAGTTGCTACTACGTTACAACATACAATTTTAAAAGTAGTCTACAATTTTGATGTTTAATTTAAATATTTTAAGCATTCTGTAATTAGAGTAATGCCTTTTCAAGATATTAAACAAATCCTGAGAAACACACACACATACACACACACACACCAAGATCATAAAGTATCACTACTGTGGCTTCCTAAAGAAGTCCTTTTCCAAAGCAGATAATGCAATGCACTTAAACTCTAAAATTCAGATACAAAAATATGCTACAATAAAACCACTTATAAAAACTTACTTTTAAGGTTTTCAGTAACATCTTTTGGCAAAGTGTGCTGGTGAGTGGAAGCAGTGGCTTGGATACGTGACAAAGCTACCTGCAGGATTGCTGCCTCTGTGCCTTGAAGGTGACCTACACAGCTTGCTTGGCCTCCACACACAGCAGACTCCCCTCGGCACAGCAAATTTAAGTGATGAAGAACCTCCAAACTCAGCTGTAAAGATGAAATTTGTTATCAATACAAGCTTCTCTCTGTCACATAGTCTCCCTCTATACTTTGTCTAAAACTCAGGCCATCTGTGACAATAACACAAAAGCAATAAAAAAGTAAGCAATTCTCAAAAGAAGATACCAAGTCTGGAAGATTATACACTAAGACATTTAAAAAGACAGACACAAACACAGAGACATATAGGGAAGGAAGGTGTTGAGAGGCCATAAATTTAACAACTGACAGGTTAGAGGGTGTGTGGTGACCTTCACTAGGTGACTTAACCCCTAAACTGCACAAAACGTCATATAAAATGTGACATTGAGTTCAGTTTTTTAAATTTTCTGAAACTCTTTCAAATGTTTTGTGCATAAAACTACTAGGCAAATGCTCCAACTTTGTCTAAATAATACCAGCGTAACTTGAAAAACAAGAAAATAAAAAATAATTATAAAATTGAATATTGAAAACTTCAGTTTTTGAAATCAGCTGCAAAAATATAAAATATCACCAATTGTTCATTTGGTGTTGTTATGCTCTCAGAATAGCACATGATCTTCATTTCATATATTTAGAATACAGTATAGGTTTTCAGTATAGTTTACAGTAAAAAAAAAAAAAAAATATGGCATTTGAAATATGCCAAATTTAGACAAAAAAATTTATAACTCCAAACGATAAAAGTTGATGAAAAATCAATTCTATAGGGATTGTAGAACAGACAGCTGTGCACACTATATGTAAAAATGATGAGAATCGGTCAGAAACTAGATTTTTGGATACTGAAGTAAGTTGAAATTCTAAGTGTAGATATAATTGAAGTTGAAGTTATCGACAACGAATAAGGCAGTTCTAATTCATGAATTTACTTGTATGTTTTAATAAACATTGTTTGGCATTTGTACTCGAATATGTGAAAGTTGTAGGTCACTATGTGTTGAAATGAAGTCAAGAAATAATACCCCCCCCTCACAAAATCAAATATATAGGGATAATTATAATAATCATAATGATTTAGGGGATATATTTAGGGTATACTTTATATAAGTAAAAAAGCCCTAATCTGGTCCCTAATCATCAAAACAACCTAAAGAGACAAGGAAAATAGAGTTTGAAATCTGTGAAAAAATCTGCCAAAAAAATTAAAAGTCCCAAGTTCTGAGAGTAGTAACTGAATTATTTGTTGACCAATTTATTTTTGTCTTCACATAGTGAGGGACGGGTATGCACTCTGCAGGATGTAAAGGTTACAACAAATTCAAATAATAAACAAAGGAGGAAAAAACTAAAAACCTAAAAAAAAAAAAACTTCCCCTAAAAAATAATATTTTTGGACATTGTTAAAAGTAACTTAATACATTGCGCAATGTATTTATATGACATACTGTATAACAAAACAGAGCATAGTAACATAATTACTCTATTATTTGTGTTATTATGTATTACTCACCAATGCTATAAAGGCACCAGCTGCATATCCACTTTGTAGACACGTCTTACTACTATTCTTCTTCTTTGTGTGTCGGACAGGTGCTTGCATCTCTTTATTATTGCATTATCCATCAGTTCCAGTTAATAGGAGCTGTTCTCCTTAACAAAACATTTTTTAAATATTCATCTAAAATCAGTTTCTGAAAATATTTTGATTAAAGTTTCCCGATGCTGAAGCCAATAAGTTGGAGATTTGTTTAACATTTTTAATACTTTGATGCTGTGGGCACGCGTGCACCCCACTACCCAGGGTGGGTTTGGGCATTCTGCGGGAGCGCGCGGTAATTTTGAAAAGCGTGTACTATTTTCAACTTTGTTACCTCAATTCTCGTCCTAGGGTTTCAATTTAGTATCATTGTGTTCGCAATAGAATTCTCTACAGGACTAAAGGCATACAAAGTCCAAAAGCCCGGAGTACCATCCGCAACAAACAGAGAAAGTGAGAGAAAGTTACCCGGGAGTGCGCCAGAGCAATAAAATATTTACACTCTTTTCAGTTTTGTCACCTCAATTCTCATCCTAGGTCTTTCATTTTGGTATCGTGTTCGCAATAGAATTTCCTACAGGAGTATATGCAAATATAAAGTTCAAAAGCCCAGCCTACCATCCACAGTAAACAGAGAAAGTGACAGAGCATTACCCCCGTGAGTGCTAATAAAGAGCAATAAAATGGGTATGCTCTTTTCAACTTTGTTACCTCAATTCTGGTCCTAGGTCTTTCATTTTGGTATCAATGTATTCGCAGTGAAATTCTCTACAGGACTAAATGCATATAAAGCCCAAAAGCCCAGTGAGAAAGTGAGAGCATGTTACCCGGGAGCGTGCAAGAGCAATAAAATGTGTACACTCTTTAATCTTTGGACATCTCAATTCTCATCCTAGGTCTTTCATTTTGGTATCATTGTGTTCGCAATAGAATTCCCTACAGGAGTATATGCAAATATAAAGTCCAAAAGCTTGGTATACCACCCACAGCAAACAGAGAAAGTGACGGAGCACTACCCCAGCGAGCGCTAATAAAGAGCACTAAAAGGGTTATACTCTTTTCAACTTTGTTACCTCAATTCTGGTCCTAGGTCTTTCATTTTGGTATCAATGTATTCGCAATGAAATTCCCTACAAGAGTATATGCATATAATGTCCAAAACCGCAGCACGCCCCTCCAGAAGCCGCCGCCAATTTCCCGCCCGCTGATTACTGCCGAGGACTCAATGCTTAGTCCTTATCGAACTTCCTTCTATTTAATGGAGGATTCAATGCGAAGCTGTTGCCAAGCAAAAGTGTTAAGTAATTTTTACATAATTCAAATATTTTTTGAATTATGCTCCCTTATGCTGAGCAGTTTAAGGGTTAAACAGTAATTTGTAATTTCTCATTGAAGATCGAATAGTACGTTTGTTTTGATTGATTGATTGATTGATTGATTCACAAGAAGGTACAATGGATTTGTGAGATTACATAATATTGGTATTTTTACATTCATGCAAAGCCACTAACATGCATAGCATTTCGAGCAGATCCTAATCTAACAGATCAGATAAGATGAATAGATACATTGTAGCAAGGTTTTATATCAACATATAACTACAATATAAATTGACAATAAATCTGCTAAAATAGTCAAAGGTCTGACTCTTAAGTGGTTGGCTACATTGAACAATGCTTATGGGAATTATCAAGATTATTTTTTTAAACTGTGTAGATCAAATATTAATTGAATAACAATATACATTTGGGATCTAACTACTCAAATCTACAAGTCCACATGTCATTATACTGTACTGACCATAAAGTTTTTATGTTGGGGTGATGCTACAAGGCAGTTGATAACCCACGAGAGAATCTCGGTGATATCCGACACAACCACCTCACACTCGCTCTCCCCCGTCACATCGCTCACACCCACACCTTCAGTGTGCAGTGATTTCTTCAGGGTACACAAGAGGGAATCCACAAAGTGGGCTTTGTAAATAAGAGGAATTATGAGCTCTGTGTTCTGAAAAGAGTATATAGTATTTAATTAAAAAAATAATCAGATATGTAGCTTTGCTGTTATGTATTAATATAACTATTACTACAGCTGAATAGGCACATGATACAACAAATAGAGCGTTAGTATATACTGTATATGAAATTCTTTTTTCTGAGCTGCTCATTCAGTCACTTGCTGAAGCAAGCTCCTGCTGCCTCAGGTACCTTGTAAACAACACTATGAGTCAGTGCAATCTCTTAACTTCAGCAAAACTTGAGAGTAGGAAGCCCTGACTGTGCAGTTACAATGCCTCTAGGAATTCAGATGGTTGCTTAATTACCTATTCTTAGAAAACTAATTAAACTGTCACTAATAAAGAAGAAAAATGATTAGAAACACAGAATTTCAAAGTAAACCAAAAGTCCAATATGCACACAAAAAATAAGGCTTCAAGTTAATATGAATATTATCTTTTAAACCTAATCATTCAGCTGCTGCTCAGGGTAAGTATCACTGTAGGACAGTCAAGTGGGTTGGCATATTGACACTAGCCACACAGCAAACTTTTCCAGAGGTTCATGTAGGGTCACTAAGGCTACTTTGTGACTTGGTATTCTTGTGACCTAGGCTACTTAGTGACTTAGTAAGAATTGGTATTCTCCAATGATGCTAAATATTCATTGGAGAATAATCAATCCAGCCCAGAATGAGACATGCTCCATTAATAGCTTGAAACCCTTTCAAATCATCTCTGGCACATAGGTGACTGCCAAATATTATTAACAGCCAGATGGCATGCATTACTACCTACAATGATTGACCTATGAAGTGGTACCACTACAAGCACAACTAGGGTCCCCGATTTAAACCAATCAACATACATCCTAATGCAAAGAACTGAAATCTGCACAGGGTCGGATCTGGTCCACAAGAGGGAAGACTCGTATGGAATATATTCGTAGGGTCGAATACGTTGTACAACATGTTCCACTCCACTTACTCGGCCATCTCACTTGCTCTGACCATAAAGTGACAGTTTACTCCTAGATTTAACAGTGATTTAGTCCTAAGTGATGCTGATTCCAACAACATTTAGGAAGCCATCTCTAGGTTAAGTTACAACATTGGGATTTCCCCAAATAAATACATCAGTTTTTTGGTGATTCTTGTCTTAGTGTTGTGGTGATGTTGGTCTGCAAGTTCACTGAGGGCAATCTTAGTTCCAATGGTCATAATCTGAACTATGACCTTTGAATTACTGCCAAGATATTTCAACAAAAACCCAACCTTGAGAAATAAGACATGGTCTCCCAAAAGTTTAGAAGACCTAAAACATTATGCTGCCCATGTAGATATTGCCTATCTCCAAGATGTGTCACCATATTGTACCAGACAAGCATTGAGATGCAAAGCAAGGTCTAGTATGTATACTGTTCTAAACAACTATGAATATCTCCAAGGTACTTCATCCTACTCATCAACCCAAGCATCAGAATGCAAACCAAGGTTCTTAAAAACCAAAACCAGGCTGCCACGTTGACCAACATGAACCACAGCATTTGGAAAACACCTCAGGATTAGGCATGAGATACTGGTTATCTCTAACCTAACAACTGTTACCCGAACTATTGGAGCACAGAATTCCACCCCACCCCCCTCCCACCAACAACACACACACACACACACCATATCCAATTAATATTCCAGACAGCCTTGTGCACAGGAATCTTAGCAGACATATGGAAAAATGCAAACATAGTTCCAATTTATAAAAATGGTAGCCAAGAAGAACCTCTAAATTACAGACGCGTATCATTAACAAGCGTGGTACAGTAGTCAAAACACTAGAAATAATAGTTAAAACCAAATGGGTAGAACACTTGGATAGTAATAAGATAATAATGGACAGACAGTATGGTTTTCAAACAGGAAGATGCTGTGTAACAAATCTACTTAGTTTTTATAATAGAGCCACAGGGATTCTACCTGATTACATGAGATACATAGTGGATCTTATCTTAGGAAGTAATCAAATGTGATAAATTAGAAATGTAATCAATTCAATAATTAACCTTGTGCAACAAGTCCAGCATGACCATCAAGGAATTATGGCAGAGTGCAATGTCCTGTGCTGCATGGGGAAGCAACGCCATCAAGGGGATGAACAACACCACCTGAAATTAATACGACTGTTTAAATGAGGAAATAAAAGAGGCCTTTAGTAATATTTTGTAAGAATTCCCATAAAAAAATTTAAACACATAGTATACAATAAGTATAGACTGCTGATCCAGTGTGACCTAAAAAATCTGGACTATATTATTCATAAGCTCACAAAGCCTTTCATATATAGTACTGTACAGTACAGTATTCCAAACTTTTAAATTCATGCCAAATTTAATTATGCTTTTGTCAATTTGCTGGTACGCATAAATTTATATAATGCATTCGATCACATTTATTTACACTATAATATATAACACATTATTGAATATAACACTAGTACAGTATTACAAATTAATAAACAAATGGTTTACTTAACTTTTTTTTTTTTTTAGAAATAACAGCAAAAATTCATTACAGTAGTAAGACTTCTCATGCAATCCTGTAACTATATGTTTAAAATTGCAATAAATTTACTTCTTTAAAGCACTGTGCCATACAGATGCAAGTACAAAATTAACTTATACAGATATAATGCTTTTTGGAGAATATTCAAACTAAAGCCTTCCACATTCAACAGTGTCAGAGTAGTTAATAAATGGAATGCACTAAGAAATGATATGGCAGAGGCAGACTTCACACACAGTTTCAAATGATGATTTGATAAAGCCCAGAAGGCTCAGGGACCTGTACACTAGTTGACTTACAGTTGAGTGGCAAGACCAAAAGCCAAAGCTCAATCCCTTGCAAGAACAACTAAGTGAGTAACCATATGTAACACACAATATACAAAAATACATATACAGTGGTACCTCGGAATGCGATTGTCCCTGTATGCGAGATTTTCGGAAGGCGAGGTGTATTTACTCCAAAAATTTGTCTCAGAAGGCGAGGGTTACTTCGGGAGGCGAGTTTGGACGCGAGTTTGTTGATACGCGTACAGCCGACCTAGCGCGTTCGTCGCCCCTCCGCCCCTCAGTTTATTATTGTCTCGCGCTCAGTGACTACCCCCACATCAATTCTTCTCGCGGATTTTCAGTGTTTTGTTGGATTTTTGGTGATTTGTCTATACAATTTGTTATTATATATCTCACCATGGGTCCCAAGAAAGCCAGTGGTAAGGATAAAGGCCAGAAAGCTCATGTGAGGATGACAATAGAGGAGAAACAAGAGATCATTCGGAAGCATGAGAACGGTACACGTGTTGTTGAACTTTGTAGGCAGTACAACAAAGCCACATCAACAATATGCACTATACTTAAGAAGAAAAATAAGATTATGGGTGCTAAAGTGGCAAAAGGAGTAAGAACATTAACGGCACAAAGACCACAAATACTTGAAGAAGTGGAAAAGTTGTTATTAATTTGGATACACGACAAGGAGTTGAGGGGTGATAGTGTTTCGGAGGCCATTATTTGTGAGAAAGCCAGGGTGTTGCACGAAGACCTTCTAAAGAATACCCCTGCAACGAGTGATGCAGATAAGAAAGAGTTTAAGGCAAGCAGGGGCTGGTTTGAAAAATTTAGAAAGAGAAGTGGTATCCATAGTGTTACAAGGCATGGGGTTATGTGATGTGATTATGGAAGGGGACTCCCCTTCCAAACAGTAACTCCTCTCCTCCTCCCCCCTCCTCACCATCTTCCATACGCCTACAGCACTCGACAGCAAGGTAAGTAATAACTGGAACACAGTTTTGTAGGTTTATTTAGATGAATTAGGTAAATTAGGTATAAAAATTTAGTTTGATGTGGGGTTTTTGGGGTAGTCAGGAATGGATTAATTCATTTCCCTTTATTTCTTATGGGGAAATTAACTTCGGAATGCGAGTTTTCGGAAGGCGAGGCGTCTCCAGGAACGGATTAAACTCTTATTCTGAGGTATGCCTGTACTGTACTGTATACACACACAAAAAAATATCCGAAAATTATCTTAAGCAAACAATTGTGAGTGCTTGGAACAAGCTAAGTGAGAAGGAAGTGGATGTTAAAACCATCAGTAGTTTCCAAGCATGACATAACAAGGATTACAGGGAAGACGGGACACCACGAACATTGCTCTCCATCCTGTACATATACTTAGGCAATTACACAAAAACCCATAAAAACACAAGACATAACACAAACAATATTCACCTGTTGTGGGAGAGCAAGGCTAGGATCACAGTCAATAGCATAATCTTCAAACGTGAATGCACGTCCTAGAGCAAGGGAAAACGCTGCCAAGACCAGATGAGTGGATATGGAAGTGTGTTTGTGCAACTGCTGCCCCATTATTAGAGGAATATTTTGGCGCAGGTGTAGAACACTATCTTCAGGTGAACATCTGTCCAGCATCGTTGCAAACAGCTGAGAGTGGGAAAGGTAGTTAGCATTAATAGCAAAATTACATAAATCTGGAGAGGGTTCTGGGAGTTGTTCTACTCCTGAGCCCAGCCTGAGGCCAGGCTCGATATTATTATATCTATATACAGTAGAACCTAGGTTGCCAAACGTTCCTCTTTAGAAATTTTTGGGTTACGAACTCAATTTCTTTGTAAAATCTGAATAGGTTTACGAGCTTTGCCTCGCTTTGCAAGTTTGTTGATACATGTATAGGTCAACCGAGTGTGTGGTTCCTGGTGGCACGGGTTACTGTACACCTATCCTCCTCCCCCCACCTCCTCACCATCTTCCATATGCCAACAAGAGTTATCAATAAAGGTAAGCAATAATTTGTACATACTATAGTACAAAATATTTGTGTTTGAATGCACACATACACCTATAGAGTATAGGGCAAAAGCACACAGAATCTAGCAACAAGATGAGGCATGTCTACTACCCTAGAGATGACCAGAACCAAGCAGCAACCAGGCAACAGTATCAGATCCACTATTTGTTTCATCAATGTATGGCCCCCAGTATCACATTAGAAACACCAGTCAGGCCCATCTTGGATGCACAAAAACTATGTTGGCTTGCAGAAACCTGCAAAATAGGAGCAAAATAAAAGCAGCCAGAAGATTCTGAAAATGCCCCTAGGGGCACAGAGAAGAAAAAACTTCCTCAGGCTGTATGAAACTAAAGAACCCTTACCTGGACAAATTGGCCCTAGAAATGAGACCTCAAGATGGTAAACAGTCACCAAAGCCTCCTTCAACAATCTCAGACACCCCGAAACATTCTGTCTGAGACATCAAACAATTTGTGTTGGAGTCCAACTCCAGGCTAGCATCTGAATCCTGGACAAGATGGGGAAAATAAATTGAAAACCACCCACAAAGATCACTCAGCCCCCAAAATATAGGGGGCCCACAGCAATCTCCAAAGTCCAAAGAAAAGACAGATATTACATCAGTCTCTGCAAGATCCGTGAATAGAAAGCAGAAGCAGAAGATTAAGTTGAGTCAGGAAACTCATTATATAATTTTTGTCTGTTAGTTTGGTAATCAGCAAACATTTCTCAAAGTGAGGAGGTTAAGTGCTTTGTGACTTCCTTTCAACTTTTAGGATAGTTACTGCAGTAGTGGATTGACCTATAATCTCCACATTCTTCATGCCCCTATGAAGGGCAGAGTCAAAGGAGGCTATAATGCCAGTGAAGTTGGGTCAGGGAATCTACTGAGGGGCCCAATCCGGTTACACCTCACAATGATCACAGATTTTATAACATTCAAACTGTCCCTAACAAAAGAAATGCAAACTACTCTAGAAGATAACTTTATTTGATTCTTCCAGAAGGTGCAGAGAGTTTAGCAAATACGTTTGAACTATTAAGGAAACTTCTTTAAAGAAGATTTCAGAAACCATCTACTAGATTCAAAAGAAGAGAAAATATACCATGTCTCAAATCTTTAGGATTACATCTTGAATATGAATGTATATATATATCCCTGCATGTATATATAAAAATGTATGAATACAAATCTATATTTCATACAAATTTCATGACAAATATTATGAAGTACTGTAAGTAACTGCCTTTAAATCAAAACAAAATTTTTTTTAACATATATAGAGGATTTTGGCTTACCTTGAGAACAGCACATCGGATGACAGGATGGGGGTGATTTGCCATCACAATTGCCTGATCCATATAGAGCGCTTCAGCCAAAAGTGTTCGAGTCGTGGTATCTGAGGAATACTTCAGAACCGTCTCCAGCATTTCTAAAAGCCCCACTACTACCTGTGTGAGGCATGAAAGATTAGCACAACTGGCACTCTCGTCTTCCTCTGCAGTTTCATCTTCTTCAGTCTCTCCTGTTTCTTCTGTCCATTTTGTTGTTCTTCTAACTGAATCTTCTGTTTCTGTTCTTTCACTGTCTGTTGAAATTCCATTTTCATTCTCCAGGTTAAATGCTTTTGTTACATTTTCTTCTCTTACAATATTCTCGTCAATGATTAATTCCCCTAGTAAAGGTACTTGTATCTCATTAGAAAAATCTTTCTCAATTAAATCATCTTGGATCACTTCAGAGAGCGCTTCAACTGCCGGAGCAACAGAATCTCGGTACATCAAAACGCCCCCATCTACATGGTCCTCAGCTGCGGCCAAAGAATGCAAATTTGAACTAATGTTTAGGTTCTTATCCATAACCCCATCAGTGTTATCCTCTTCCTCTGAGCTTTCGTACACATTCTTTACAATACTACCTTCCATTCGCAATTTTCTAATTTCTTCCTTTTGTTCTTGTCGTATCTGTTGTAGTTGAAGAAAAGGGTTGCTACTGTCAACCACTTGCCAATCAGCAGTCTAAAGAAAGATTTTACCAACTGATTAGTCAAACAAACATATGTAGGATAAATAAAGAATCAAGTTGAAGATGACTGGTATTCAACACTGTCAAATGAGAAAAAATTTATTGCTTATATTATTAACTAAAAAGATGCAAGTGACACATACTAGTGGTACGTATATATACTATACTCTGCACATGGACATGATACATTTTCTGACTGAAAACAAACTGAACAGTTTGAGCTAGCTCACATACAGCCTGACGAACAATGGAGTCTGTGCACAGAGAAGGGAAGTAAAGCGGAGGGACAGGGGGTAGTCGAATGACATGGCTTAGAAAAAGAGTTTGTCACTAAGGTTTAATGCCTTATTTCTGAACTCACATTAAGCTGCTGTCTTATGTAAGGAGTCTAAAATGACAGGCAAAATAGAAAAAAAGAAAATACTCAAGTATCCTGCAGGATGATGACTGTTGGATGAAGAGGATGCTAATCAGATACGATGAACTTAAAGCCTGTGCTGGGAGAAAGCAAAGCTTAAATATAGCCAAGCACCATTGCAATAGGAACATGTGAGCATGCAAGCAGCATGGAAAATCCAGGGTGAGGAAAAACACAAAGCACATATAGCTACAGTCCATTATTGTAGTAAGACAGCTACTAGCTGCATAACCAAATCCCCAAAGACTACAACTGTTACAAACCACATGTGAAGCATTCCTAGAGCCCATTATGACAGTTTCCCTACCGAGAAACTCTTCCATCTGAAGGTGCAACATGAGCTAATGACCATAGTGCTTTACCCTGGAACCAGGATGCATTAGGTTATGCTAGTACAAAGGAGCAAAATTTCCTCAGAGTATTGTGATCCCATTGGAATGACTGAAAGTTTCTTACAGTACCATGCTGTATGTAGGCTGCCTCTGACTGTATGATCCCTGTCTAAACACAGAATGGGGGAACTTACGTCTGCAAACACCCAAATAAAACGGCTCAAAAAGGAGCTTTCATAAGACTCAGAAGCATTGATATTGTGACTCTTACAAAGTGGATCTACATATATCAAGCTTATGATAGACAACTCTATGATACTTCATAAAATCAGCATTAAATGTAATAAAACACCATTTTCTGGGCAAGTCCCCAGAAGCCTTCCGGGGACATCAGTCAATTCGATTTGAGTTCTAGCCTACTGGGGACCACGAGCTAGAACCTGGCTCAAGGTTCCTTGTGGAGCAAGGAACCTTGAGCCAGGTTCTTTCTATAGGAGCAATGGCCTATAGAAACCCCCCGTGTGGTTGGAAGCATTCTATGTCTGCCATCTATGTGGTGGTGGCATGTGGTGGCATGTGGTGGCTTGATGGGCACTTTATCACTATGTACACCAAAACTCGCCAGTCATCGCCCATCTCTGTGGCAGTGTTCTCGTCTTTTTATACATGGTTGTTCCTCGAGTACCTATATAGTAGCTTCATATTGGTTTGTACTATCAGAGCATTTATGCTTCAGTTTCAATTAGATATGCCTTTTTTTTTCAAGTTGGGAAAGGCTTTCTTTCACCTTCCTTCACATGCTTTTTCAGAACCTCTGTTTCTTCTCTCGTTTAAGGCTGTAAGGTCCAGTTCCCTCAACCTGTCCTCATAGCTGAGCTCAATTCTGGTACTATTCTCTTGCAAACCTCTGAACTTTCTCAAGTTTCTTAATGTGCTCTACAAGGTGTGTATTCCTTGTTGATGCTGCATACTTGAGTAATGGTCTAACAGTGAGCCTATGTCCTTGGGAGTCGGTCGGCCGAGCAGACAGCACACTGGACTTGTGATCCTGTGGTCACGGGTTCGATCCCGGGCGCCGGCGAGAAATAATAGGCAGAGTTTCTTTCACCCTATGCCCCTGTTACCTAGCAGTAAAATAGGTACCTGGGTGTTAGTCAGCTGTCACAGGCTGCTTTCTGGGGGTGGAGGCCTGGTCGAGGACCGGGCCGCGGGGACACTAAAGCCCCGAAATCATCTCAAGATAACCAAGAGATCTACTGGGTTAGGCACCCAGAAAGGTAGGTATCTCAAAACAAACTCCACCTAGCTAAAATTGCTACTGAAAAGCGAACTATCAAGCAGAACTCCACAATCTGAAAAACAAGCAAGACGTCACAACCGCCGCCGCGCCGCTGTCTGCGCAGCTCCCCCATTGCCAAGTCATGTGGGAATAATAGGAAATGACATTGCCTGCAAAACTTGCAACTAAGAGAAGAAATGTAGACAATTACATACCACAGAGTCTATCATAGATTAAGAAAGTAATTAGAAATAGAGCAATGCAGAAGATGTACAGTGACCACAACTCAGAAGTTGCAACATCAGGATCTTTGAGTTGGTACAAGAATTCAACCAACTATGAACCACCTATTTTGATGAAAGGGAGCAGTAAAAAGACAGAAGTACATTCACATTGCATCAGACTTGGATACCCATGTGCATGGGAAATAGGCTTACAGGTTCTAGAAGATGAGAGAAAATGTCAGCATTGTGGAGAAATGCCCGACAGACCACTGGAAAATTATCTAACACAGTGTAGAGTTACAAACCCATTAAGATTTCAACTTACATTCAACAGAGCAGTAGAAGTTGTTAAATATACAGTATGGGGTAAAATCTTACTGAAGCGACCATACGAGTCATAAATACTCATACTCCTCCTAAGTAAAACAGAAACAAGCAACACTTAGTGGGCCGCTGGTTCACTAAACATTCAACGCTGGTTTAATAGGGGTGCAAGGTCACAGTACCTTGCACCCCTACCAGCGACAATACTACCTCCTACCCAAGGTCAAACAGCGGAAATGAAACCCCCAGCTGACCTCAAGGACAGGCAATCAACGAGCAGCAAAAGACCCCTATGGAGGTAGTTCATGAATGACTTGTGGAAGGCAACCCCCAAGCCACAAGGGCAGTACTTACAGGGCACCTAGGGAAGGTGGCCCTAGGCACATGCAGCGCCAGTACTCTGAGAATTACTCCTAGCTCTCACACCACCACATAGCAGACCACCACCACAAAGGTACAGCACTGCTCAGAGACAGGAGCCAGAGTCAAACAACTGCCACACAACACATCAGACTCAGAACTGGAATTGGATGGTTGGCGCAAGGGGTCTGGGGCTCCCCCTTTTCCCTCCTGGAGAGAGGGGGAGCTGCAGAAACAGCAGGGCGGCGGCAGTTGTGACGTCATGCTTGTTTGCTTGTTTTTTAGATTGTGGAGTTCTGCCTGATAGTTCGCTTTTCGGTAGCAATTTTAACTAGGTGGAGTTTGTTGTTGAGACGCCTACCTTTCTTGGTGCCTAACCCGGTAGATGGCAGACACAGAATGCTTCCAACATTGGGGTTAGAAACATAGAACGTTTCCAATATGGGGGTTAGACACACACAATGCTTCCAACATGAGGGTTGGAGACATAGAATGCACATACGGGTTTCTATAGGCCATTGCTCCTCATGCCTCTCTGAGGGGGCCAGATTCTGGCTCGTAGTTTCCAGTAGGCCAGAACGCCAATCAAATTGACTGATGCCACAGTTTAATACGTACATATCAGCCCAGTATAGCTCCAGGGAGCCGGAGGGGCTCTCCACAGAAAAGATAAATAAGTGAACAACTTACTTCAAACTGTGATACACATTGTGTTTTACTAGGGCAATCCATAAGCTCTGCAGCTAAATCCACTCCTACAGCAACAAATGATCCTGTGGGGGCACCAAAAACATAAGCATCAAGACTAGCTAATAAATATATTCATATTTATTAGCTTGGTAATTTGACTTCATAAATCCCCAGGAATGCCACATTAATAAAAATGAATTCATTTTTCATTATTGTAGTATTTAAATAAATAAATAATAGGTTCAATAAATTATATATATATATATATATATATATATATATATATATATATATATATATATATATATATATATATATATATATATATATATATATATATATATATATATATAACATAATTTGGTGGTGGTGTTTATATACTAACCTGTCTTGTTGTTAGAGGAGGTGGGGATATGGGGAAGGTAATAAGCTGTGCTTTGTTCAGTAGCAGCATATGTCAGGTGAGCTGGATGTGCTAACAACAGGAAGCCATAAACTGCTGCCACATCCCGAACACGCACAATTGGGGAGCTTATTCCAAATGATGTAATGCCTGTTGGAACAATTAAAAGCCATTAACATTCCAATCATTATTTATTATTTATTGTTTAAACACATGTTTGCTTGAAACACTAAATTAATCTAAATACATTTATTACCATAATCCTGTTTCTCACATTAATAAGGTGGGGGAGGACCGAGCCCAGAGAATGGGGGGGTGCCATATCTCCACATTTTCCTGGACATGTCCTGGATTCAGGTGTCAAAATTTGTGTGAGGGAAGACTTAAACATTTTCCAAAAGTCTGGAATTTCAGCTTCTTTCACTTAAAAAAATTATTTATCTATACTGTGTGTGTGTGTGTATTATATATATATTTTATATATATATATATATATATATATATATATATATATATATTTTATATATATATATATATATATATATATATATATATATATATATATATATATATATATATATATATATATATATATATATATATATATATATATATATATATGTATGTATGTCGTACCTAGTAGCCAGAATGCACTTCTCAGCCTACTATGCAAGGCACGATTTGCCTAATAAGCCAAGTTTTCCTGAATTAATATATTTTTTCTAATTTTTTTCTTATGAAATGATAAAGCTACCTATTTCATTATGTATGAGGTCAATTGTTTTTTATTGGAGTTAAAATTAACGTAGATATATGACCGAACCTAACCAACCCTACCTAACCTATCCTATCTTTATAGGTTAGGTTAGGTTAGGTAGCCAAAAAAGTTAGGTTAGGTTAGGTTAGGTAGGTTAGGTAGTCGAACAACAATTAATTCCTGAACATTTGGCTTATTAGGCAAATCGGGCCTTGCATAGTAGGCTGAGAAGTGCGTTCTGGCTACTAGGTACGACATACATTATTTATTTTATATATATATATATATATATATATATATATATATATATATATATATATATATATATATATATATATATATATATATATATATATATATATATATATATATATTAGTATATTTTGGTAACAGTCTTTCTTGTAAACATATATTATTAAATATGACCGAAAAAGCAAGATTAATAATTCTAACACAAATTTTCTCAATATTTCTTATGTTTCTTTTCACTGTCGATGGTAATTGAAAAATCAATTCTCCAAAATTCATTTTTATTTCTAGTCTGACGTGACACTTAACGCGTTTCGTAATAACTTATTACATTTTCAAAGACTTTAGTTTACACACACACACAACTATAACCTGCAAACACTAAACAGAGTTCTACTATGCTATCATTTAAACAGCTTTCATCTTATATACCCGCATTTGGGTGAGGTGATATGTTACAACAGTTTTGGATGAGGTGAACAAAACTTTCAACACAAGATAGAGCAAACTTTCAACACAAGACAGAACACGGTGTATTGGGTATAAATTGGGTAAATTAAACGGAAGAATGGAAGTAACCGCAAAGGGCCTATTGGCCCATATTTCTTGATGCTTCTATATTGGTGCGGAGTCTTGAAGTGGGTAGAATATAGTTGTGCATTAATTGCTTGTTGATTGCTGGTGTTGACTTCTTGATGTGTAGTGCCTCGCAGATGTCAAACCGCCTGCTATCACTGTATCTATCGATGATTTCTGTGTTGTTTGTTAAGACTTCTCTGGTGATGGTCTGGTTGTGGGAAGAGATTATATGTTCCTTAATGGAGCCCTGTTGCTTATGCATCGTTAATCGCCTGGAAAAAGATATTATTGTCTTGCCTATATACTGAGTTCTTTGAGACTTACAATCCCCAAGTGGGTATTTGAAGGCATAGATGACGTTGGTTTCTTTTAAAGCGTTTTGCTTTGTGTTTGGAGAGTTTCTCATGAGTAGGTTGGCCGTTTTTTTGGTTTTATAGTAAATCGTCAATTGTATCTTCTGATTTTTGTCTGTAGGACGTATTGTCTTCTACAACCCCCTATATATACTATTTATAATTAATTTTTTATATTATTTAAGACTTCATTACACAAAATGGGTTACAACAAAGGTTACATGCAAGGTCCAAGGTTACATATATACTGTACTGTATATTTATTTATTTATTCAATAATTTAAAAATGTTACAAATGGCAGATTGTGTAATTTACAGTTATGTGCCTAGTTAAATATACAGAATATAATAAGTTTCTAATTTTGTACAAGTGCCACTTACTAGTAGGTGTAGCTGCCATGCCAACTGCAGATGGTACCGAACAAAATCCTGACGAGTATGACTCCTGGGCAGATAATCCTAAGCCAACACCAGAAGAAATATTTCTCCACGACACTGGTCCTGGTCCTCCGACAAGTCCAGTCACTACACTTACCACAAGGTCCGCTGAACATAGCCCATCTAGTGAGCCTGTAGTTAATTCAAGTTCCTGTCAAGAAAAATATAAAAGATCATCATTATCCCACTCATCACTGTCATGGGATGAGATGGCATTGGGCCAGAGGTAAGAGAACAATAGGGAAAATAATACTGAAAAGTATTAAAAATAAGGTCTTAAGAGAAGATAAAAGTCACCTTTCTAATCACTCAATTACTTCATTGGGCAATGCCCAATTCTTCCCAGGACATGTATATTATCTTAAAGACAATATACAACTTAAGTGAACATTACATAGGAAGGCAACATCCTCCAAGATGTTACAGTTCATTTCACTTTATGGTAATATCCTACTTACCTTACATATAAATAAGATCTTGTCTAGAGCATCAATGTCTCTCAGCTGTGATAAGTTAAAATCTCTGTACGGCTGATTTTCAGCCAACAAAACCTTCAGGACGGACATCATTATTCCAAGCACAGAAATTCGCTCACCACTCTCATTAACGCAGTACCTGAGGTATAAATAAAAGGATGGTTCGTAAGATATTTCTAAATTGTATAACAAATAATATTGTATTTCCTCATTAGAATAACTGTTGTTGACCAGACCACCCACCAGAAGGTGAAGGGACGACGATGTTTCGGTCCGTCCTGGACCATTCTCAAGACAATCGACTTGAGAATGGTCCAGGATGGACCGAAACGTCGTCGTCCCTTCACCTTCTAGTGTGTGGTCTGGTCAACATACTTTAGCCACGTTATTGTGACTCATTGTCTGCTTAGAATAACTGTTATTCATTTTGAACTTTTGTAACATTTGCTTTTGCATTATATCAGATGTGCAGTGAAATGGGTTAAGGAAAGCCTAGATGCTGCAGCCAAATATTTTTTTTCACAACAATTTACATAACTAAGTCTACCTTGGACAAATGATTAAGATCCACATGTCTGAATATTGGTCCTAAGAAGTGGAAGTATTGGTATATTTATAATAAACTACCTGTACAGCCTTTTATATACGTACTATAGTTCTTCTCTGGACAACAAATGTTACTAAATTTTCACATTAAAAATGCAAAACCTAATAAATGCTGAAATCAGAATAGAAGCCAAGAAGATAACAAACAAACAATGTTTTTAATCCTAATTATGACCACCTTACTCTCAAGGAATTCTTCTGTCTCTATATACAGATCACTTCATAGCTTATATTATCAATACAGTATTTAACACATTCCTTTACCTTGTACATCCCAAGTAAGACATTCATGACCAAGACAGGCATAAGGTAACAGGTACAGAATATAGAATGAGATACTGTACTTCACTTACTTGGTCGTTTGTTGCATTGAGAAATCATTAAGGAAAGTTCTCCAGTTGCTAATGAGAGAATTCATGAGATCTCGATCCACCAATATTGCTGGTACGTGCGGGGCAATGGTGTATACATCCCTGCAGGCCAAGTACTGAACGACACTAGGGTATGTACACCCATCCAAAATAGCCTGAAAAATTAAAAGATATGTGACTTGTCACAGTTAATAAAAATACAGTAAAACCTGGATTCAACAAACCTCAATTCAGCGAATCTCCGGTTGCAACACACCCTTTCCATGCTAGATTTGCTCACCCAATTCGACAAACAAGAAGCAGCCGATGTGTGCATTTGCTTAAAATGTTGAGATCAAGTTTACGAATGAAGGCAACATTACAATTAATAGTTGGCCCTGGGAAAGACTTTAAGTATATTTAAAACCAAATTTTATATTTCACTTTAATTTTGAGATTTGCTAGTTTTTCTTTAAATATATGATTTTTTTCCTTTGAAAATAAGGTTTCAAGGCTAGGGCGTGCAAAATATGCTAGATGCAGTTAATTTCTTTACAGACAGGTTCACATAGTAGTTGTCCATTATATGATGCATTGGAATTAAAACTTCGCACAGTGAAATCAGCCCATAGAATGTGGGAAATATTAGGGTATGAATGGTAACTCCCTTAATATGGCTCCAATTAAATTTTTCATGATTTTTGTAGAGAGACTCAATAATAAAAGAAACAGTTGGAGCCTGTGGAATGCTACTGAGGATAATTTCATACCCAATTCTAAAGTGGTTTCCATTTTGATTCTTTTTTAATCACTCAAGTATGACCCTGGTACCATTAGAAAATGAGTTTTGAAGCTGGGAATGTTAGAAATATGCTAGAAGTGCTTGATTATTTTTGCAGAAATGTTCATTTGGTAGTTGTCTATTTTATTATAGGTTGAAATAAAAAATTCCGCTAAGTGATATCAGCCTATAGGGTGTGGGAAATGCATCCTGGAGCCATCACCAGCTGCAATGAATCCCTCACTGTAACGAATTGGGGTCAGTTCCATATAGTTCGTTAAATTAAGATTGTACTGTAGTTAAAGTTTAAGCCTCTCAAAGATGACAGCACTGATCACTTCTTAAAATTAGAAATGTATGAGATATAATTTCTTACATCTATATACAATGAAGATTTTTAACAAATCTCTGGTAACAGTACTCTGAAGTTAAACTTAATAATGATCCCAATTGTGGACAAAATATACTTGGGCAATACAGTAAAATATAAGAAAGTAAATGAAAAACTTAGACATACTAATTATGAAGCAGTGAAATACTGTTGAGGAAGGTTGAAAAATCTTTACAGTACTGTATTGAGTTTTCAGATTAAATGCATGTAAAATCCAAGATACATACAATTACAGTGTAATAGTTATTTAGGTGTAGATTTATACATTTCTTAAACTAAACAATATACCTTAATAGCTTGAACTCCTGGACAAGATAAAGGGGACAGGAGAATCCGAAATACAAGAGAGCTGCCACGTAATCCTTCATACTGAGCAGCCAACTGAGGAGACGTGTGGACACAGTGCACAAGTAACCTAAGAGCCACTGCCTGTTCTCGCTCTTCACACTGCAATTCTACTAACTGTTGGCCAAGAAAAGAAAAATATTAAACACCAAAGAGAGATTTAAATAAGGTACAGTAGAGAAGATGATGCACTTCTAACACACACACAGCTCATGATGAAAAAGTCTCAAATACAAAAATGCCTCCCAATAACCTGCAGTCAACAGTGTTTCAAAAGATAACATATATTTGAGACTGGCTTAGAAAAACACAGTCATCTGCATCCATTTATAATCAATGTGCCCTTAAAATTATGTACTTTGTGTTAGTAACTTCCTCATGGTGTCTCTGGACCTCCGGGATGCATATTAGCACGTCCCGATTATTAGCACGTGTTCAGGGACTGGCTCGGTTTTGTCATGGGGCGACAGACTTACCACTTTCGTTGTTTTCCTTCCAGTTTGGATCTGGCACCTCGCGTATCTACACACCTTAACTGGGTCGTGGTGACCCGTTTGAGTTCTGGCTTACCTTGACGATTGGCTGGTGTGGACTCCCAGCCAATCCGCGTGTCTGCTCGCCAGGGATTTGGTTAATTACCAGCTCGCCGGGTTTGGGTTCTTGGTGTACTGGAAGAAGTCCCATTTGGTTTCCTCTCAGGTTTGGACTGGGCTGGGTCTTGTGTGGGACTCTCGGACCGCTTCCTTGTCTTTCCCTCTGGCGGCGTTGTTGCGGCTGCGGTCCTGCTTACGACTGTTTTTGGAGGGCACCCGGGTCACACGACGGTTGTTTAAGCGACGGTGCGGGAGCCAGATTTTCGCCGTGCTGGTCTACCCATCGGATCGGATCTGGCTTTGATGGATGTTCTGGTTTCTTCGGGGGCATCACTTCTGTCGCTCTCATGATCGCTGTGTCCGGATCCCGGGAAACTTGAGTCAGCTGCTGCGTCGCCGGCTTCCTCTGAGGGTTTAGTGGGGTTCTATGCCCTGACACCTCCATGAGCCCTTGCTCGATGTGTTCACGGATGCCTCGTCTCTTGGCTGGGGTTTTGTGACCAGTGCTCACCAGGCCAGCCAGAGTCACTAGGGTCCGTCCTTCCTTCGGGCTCACAGCACGGCACGGCACAGGAGTTCACGGTGGTGTGGCATTCACTTCAGAGGGTTCGTATTGCTTGCAGAGCAACGATTGGCTCCATTCGAACTGCTCCCTGGTGGTTCACTATCTGAACTGCGGGGTTTCGATGTGGTCCTAGGCTCTTTGGGGCTGGTCGCTTCAGGTGACTCGTTTGCCGAGTTCTCAGGATTTGGCTCTCCTGGCGGTTCACGTTCAGAAAGGGGGGGTTGCAAATGATCTGGCGGATGGCCTGTCTCATTTCATTCTCCTATCCATAGAATGAATGGTCGACACAAACTCGTTCAGTTGGCTCTGCTGGACGTACGGGCACCTAGAGGGGGACTTCTTCGCATTGACATGGTTGAGGCGTCTTCCAGTTTATATGGCGCCCTTCCCTAGATTGCAAGGCCATCGGGGTCAATGCCTTTCAGCTGGACTGGTCGAGTTGGGGTTACCTGTACCCTCCGGTTCAGTTATTGCTCCGGGTCCTGGCTCACTTGGAGAGACTTAGCAGGGACAAGTAATCCTGTTGGCTCTTTGGTGGCCGGCCCAGCCCTGGTTTCAGGCGCTTCTTGCTCGATGTCCGAACCTGAGGGTCTCTTCCCACGGCTCCACCTCTTTCAGCAGATCGGTCATTTCTGTTATATGGCTGGTGTGATCTTCTCTACTTTTCGCGTCTCGTCTTTTTTATGTGAGTTTATCACCACTTGTATGGTGATCAGGTGGCTTAGTTGGTGTCCCACCTGCGAGTTTCGTCTCGACGGCAATATGAAATTTCCTGGCAGTCCTTTGGTCGGCACTTTGTCTCTTCGTAGGAAGTCTTTGATTTCTGGTTGGATTGTTTTGTCCTCTCTCTCTTGGTTGTTTCAAGACGGTCATCTTATGCCAAATACTGTCGCCTCATTTTGGGGCGGCGCTGGCGGAGTCGCTGCAGCTTGCATTTGGGGTGGATGTCACTTCTGCTCCGTTCTGCAAGCTTTTTCGGGCGTTGTTTTCACCTCCGGCCTGCTTATGTGCCGCCTGAGCCTTCCTGGTCATTGCACCAGGTGCTCTCTTCTCCTTTCTCCTCGGTTTGTGGTGGCCCCCTCGATTCAGGACTGTTTTTCTACAGCTCTTTTCTTGTTGGCATTGACCTCTGGGGGTCGGGTCGGAGAGTTTAATGCTCTCCTCCGGCACAAGGGTTTCTGCTCTTTCGGGCCTGGTGGTCTTTTCTAATGAGTCTGCTGCTTTCTGAAGGGATGCTTGGTTGGTTCAGCCAGGAGAGCATCATGTTTTGTGTCTGTGGCTCTTCGTCGTTATTTGCGCGAAATGGCCTTTGTGGCAGAGGACGCACTTTGGGATGATCCAGTTTCCCTTCTTCCCTATTCCAGGGCATGGGTCTCCCAGGTTGTCCGCAGGATTATTCGGTAAAGCCAGCCTGCGGTCTATTCCCGTGGCCACATCGTTCTAAGTTCGGCGTTCAGCTGCTTTGGTAATATGTCCTGGCCTATCTTTCGGGCACGGGGCTTTTGGAGGTCGAATAGGGTCCTGGCTGCACGTTACCCTGTTAATGTTCCTAGTCATTCTCGGGCGTGTATAGCCTTGAGTCGCAGGATGCGGCCAGTTGTCTCAACTTTGAGTTGAGCGAGTGAGTGACGACCGCCTCCCGGGTGAGTCCTTTTTCTTCTTATCTTTGGTTAGGTAGCTCCGGGGAGCCGAAGGGGCTCTCCACAGAAAACCAACGTCGAATGTAATAAAACGCCATTTTCTGGGCAAGACCCGGAGGCTCCCCAACATCCCTATACCAGCCCCTTGCTGACCAGACTCCTCCTTCACCACATCACTGGCCTATGTGGTACTGTCAAGGCCCACAGGAGGGAAATGCCAGTGTTTGGCATTGGTATTGCAGTGGGTGATTGACAGCTGTGAAAGTGTGAAAAAAATCTTATCGGTGCACTGGAGGGACAGACGTGAGATGAATATGTTGACAACTATTCACACAGATGCCATGTTGGACAGTGGCAAAGTGCACTTTGCAACAATGTTCCTCATATATAAACCTGATTTGTGACATTGACTACAATGTAAACATGTGGCTAGTTGATAAATGTGACATAATGGCTGGTGCCGTCGAGTACGCACGAAAATCTGTGAAGTGGACAAAAATTCTTTTTCCACCTCATTGACACTGCAGTGCTGAACTGTTTCAATATGTATCTCGTGAAATCTGGCAAGATACCCCTAATACGTACATTCAGTGTTGCTCTAGTGTCACAACTTTTCGTAAAGTCTGTGATGGAGGGCTGTGTTGTAACACGTGGGGTGCCAGCAACAATGCCACACGCAGTTCCAGACAGACTCGGGGTAAGGAAATTCTGGGTGTACACAAGATTGGTTATATGCCAGGCAGAGGATCACGGGACAAGGGTAAACGTGCCTGCGTTGTCTGCAAGAACACACAACGTAGGGAATGCAAGCGAAGCTGCATCTGCACCTGGTGTGTTGAGTGCAAAGTTCTCCTATGCCCTGTCGACTGCTTCTCTGATTATCACACACACACGCACAGTTCTAAGTGTGTTGACAGGGGATGTATATAGTGTGTGATACTGTACAGTGTGTAAATATATCATGGAATGTACATACTGTATATGAACATGAGATATTAGAAATATGATCAATGTTTGTGTACACATTTGTGATACATGTAACAAAGTGTCTTGGAACAATACGGATGTTCTACTGCCAGAATATTGTGAATGTGTTCAATATACATAAAATTAGCCAGGAAAAACAACATAAATGCATTTGCAATTGTGCAGAAAAAATGAACAAAAAAATATTTGTGGCAACTCGCGCTTGTTGAAGGTGGTGCACAACTGGCTCTGAGTCTACGCCACGGGCGACCACCGAACCGTGACGTCACACGCCCTTTTCTGAACACCACTGCGGCCAATGTAAGTACATTTATGATTTTATTTCAACAAATGTGTGTGATCAGGGAAGGGTATTTAACAATTTTAGAAGTCCAAAAAATTTGTTGCGAACAACTAATTTTCTACACAAAAGGGGTTTGCCATATTTGGAGGCAGAGCAGTGCAGTGGTTAACTATAATCAGAAAAAATATTTCACCAAGGAAAGCATTCCCATATTATTTGAGTCTAATGCAGTAACAGTTTTTTATTTATGTACTTTAAGTTTCAACTTAAGGGATGTAATGATTTCCAGGAATGCATGATCTACTTAAATCAAGGGATGTCGGGAGAGTACACACTTTTTTATATAATAAATATATTTGCTTACAGAAATATTTGTCATAATTTAACCTAATACACATAAAAATGTAGTTCTCTGAATTGTACCTGTACCTGGATGGGTTCTGAGAGTTGTTCTACTCCCCCAAGCCTCACCTGGGGCCAGGCTTGACTTCTGAGAATTCACGTGTTACAATTACATGTATTTATAAAAAAGTTTCCTTCATGTCTGAAGTAACCTCTATGGGGATGCAACCATTTACCAACATTTACCCATACAGAGCTTTATATAGACAAAATAACCCAAATATGTACCTATACAGTACAGTACAGTACAGTAGCATAATTCAAATGAGTTAACTTGCAAAACAATACTGCACCTGATTTTACACAAATATTTAAGTTCAAAACCATCCAAACTATTTCTGCTCTCCCATACTATAAGATGGGATTTAATAAATGAACATTACTGTACATACAGTATATATATACTGTATACATTTATATAAACTTTAACCATATTACAATAAGGCTAAAAATTTATACTATATCTAAAATTGTGCAATACAGATTTTTATGCAATTCTGTACTATGGATTCTAAAATAATGACCTAAAACCAATATCATTCTGTAATAAGAAATATAAATAAAATTTCCAAATTACCATAATTTAATGTAGACAAACACCAAGATTATCATTAACTTTATTAACACAGTAGAGCAGTGGAGGTTTTGCCTGTGCTTCACAATGCCACATGTGAGATGTCATCAACTATTAGTCTACTCTCATCTTGGTACTTCTCTACACTGTGTCAGCACTTTGTTCTCCTGATGACCTACCACATATTAAGTTAGTATGATGAAACTTTACACAATATAAGCCATGATTCAAATGCTTTTTACTCTTGTTCAAAATCCATGCTGGATGTTGCATTTCATTAAGCCTTTCCATGCTTCACTTTCTGCACTAGTTGTTTTGGCTTGCTTACAAATAAACTCTTTTGCCACTTACATTCTTAAGGCTTATTCCAGTTGCATGTATAATTAGCTTTAAAATCTTTATTGTTACTTACCCTAGCAAAGAGATAGAGAATATGCACTATGCCTCCCATCTGCAAGAGAGCTACATCAGAGCCTTGACTCTTCAGAGGAGACAAGTCCCCAAATAACACTGCAGTCTGCGTACTAGACAATGGGTAATGATTGCCCGTATCTGTAAACATAAATGTGTATTATATTAACTTGTCCATATAACAGATAATTTATAATTATTGTACATTGATTAAACATTATATATATACTCTATCAAGAGCAATGTCATGAAAATGTGCAAAGCTTAATACGTGGTCTTGTCCAGTAATTGGTCATATGATGCCCTCCTGCGCAGCTTTACTATCCTTTAGCCCAACATTCTTAATGTAGTGAATTATTTTCTATCACTATCTCAATAAGTTTAACAATGTTTTGTAGAGTTTGATATGCTAATTATTTTGAAGACAGTCTGAAGATCATTAGCATTTATGTGGTTTACCTTAAATTTTATTGTAAAGTGTGCATAACTTAGGTATAGTATGTTCTTTGTATACATCAACACACACATTTTGTCCTGATAATACCTAAAATCAATAACATTGTCATGCAATTTTTTGTACGTGATGTTAATGTCATGCAAAACGCTTTGCACGACATTAGTAATGTTTGCACTGTTGTTGCTATTTTTTCATTCTTGACATATAGTTGTTTTAACTATGAATATATGCCATATATATATAAATGGTTAATTTACCCATATGGAGCTTTAAAAAAGCCAAAATAACCCAAATATGTACCTATACAGTACTGTACAGGACATAATTCAAAAGGGTTAACTTGCAAAACAATACTGCACCTGATTTTACACAAACATTTAAGTGCAAAACCATCCAAACTTTAACACTTTCTGCGGATGAGGACTCCGCCCGGAGTCCTGTTTCGCCTCACCGCTTCCGCATGGTGGACATAAATTTATGTCCTCTTTTAAAATATTTGTATAAAATTCAATTTTAATCCGATTTACTTTGGGTTTGTTTCAAACTGCGCGCCATGAGGCTCTCTTTCTCACCACTAGGCTGCATGGTACAATAAGTTCATGAAAGGTGTGGACCACTTCGATCAAATGGTATTACCATTTTACCCGGAAAACTCACAAGTGGACCTAAAAGATAACGTTTTATTTCCTGCAAATGGCTTTGCATAATGCCTTTGTTTTGTACAAATACAACACAACTGATCAAAAAAAGCTAACATTGCTACAGTTCCACGAGGTGGCAAATTGGGCCCTATTGTGCTGGGACCCGGAAGATTGGCCTCAAACAGCAACAGTATCTCAACACTTGCGGCACGCTCCAGACATAAATGATGACCCAGGTCCTGCCTATGCTGACGCCATGCAAACTCCTGGACCATCTGGTGTGAGGCGGCCCTTGTTCACTTCAACACCTCAAGCTGAAGCAGCAACCGAATCAGAACCCGAGATGTCTGGCACACTGCCATTTGACGAGACGGTTTTGTCAGATGACTCTGACTCAAATGTTGAACCTCCAGTGATTCAGTTGATTCTGAAAATCGCATGAACTACAAACTGAAACGAGTATTTTGATACCAGAATGAACACTGTATCACATAAACTGCCATAAGTAGACTCGAACCTTCATAGATTTTTTTTGGGTGTAGCGTGTGTCTGCATGAGTGTCCCAAACGGGTTGCAGATGGGTGACTTTAGCCGTTTATACTGGTAATGTATTTTGTATTTTGATACCAGAATGAACACTGTATCACATAAACTGCCATAAGTAGACTCGAACCTTCATAGATTTTTTTTTGGGTGTAGCGTGTGTCTGCATGAGTGTCCCAAACGGGTTGCAGGTGGGTGACTTTAGCCGTTTATACTGGTAATGCTTCCCCCATATCATGTATTATATGCATATGTCTGTTTAGGGAATTTTATTCCGATCAATGTACAACCAAAAATAACTGTGTGCAACAAGTATAAACTTGACAAACATAACAAAAGTAAAAACATTTCGTGTGTGTTTGACGCTCACTGATATGTTCCAGCGTTGTTTTATATTTGGCGCTATTCTATCTTACGCTTTGTTGATCTTTTTTACCTACGGGCTCATAGAACATTCTATTGCGAACACATTGACACAAAAATGAATGACGTACATAGAATAATAATGTCATGAGAGTGAAATAAGTATAAACTTTCAAAGCGCCGTATCGCACATGTGTCGTCCCGTCACCGATACCGGGTAACAATTTCACCACTTCCCACACTCTTGCGGGTGGGCCGCAATCATTATTCTACGTTTATATTCATATCACCGTGTTGGGAATTTCATTGCGAGTCCATTGATACCAAAATTAACGCTGTAGGACAAGTGTGGAGGTGATAACAATCCCAAGAGTAAAAACATTTTGTTGCTGTTGGGCGCTCACGGCGAGTCATCTTCGTAGTTATTTATTTGGTGCTGGTATCCCTATACGTTTCGTGACTTTTTTTTACTGATGTTCTTCTAGAGAATTTTATTGCGAACACGTTGGTACCAAAATGAAATACGTAGCTCGAGAACTAAGGTCAGGAGAGTAAAAAGAGTATACACATTTTTGTTTTTACGCTTATGCGGCAAAAACGCCGCGCGCACATCCCGCTTTTTTTTTTACCATCCAAGGGGGCGCGAAAGTGTTAATAAAATAACTACATAAACTAATGATGCATACCTTGTAGTGTTGGCATGTGTGGTTTATAGCAAAGGAACTCTGATGGATGCTTGGCTGCATGGAGAAGCAATAATGATTCCTGTGCTGGTCTAATTGCCGATTCCATATTACCGTACAAGACAGACAGATCTATTCCTGCTGTTAAAAGTTTTGGCGTGATGAATGGAGTCATGAGAACTCTCTCATCTTTGTCTGTAAGGGGCAAAAGACTCGTACAGTCTTTACCAAGAGCAATTAGATACAGGCACAGCTCTCGGCTTAGGATAGGTTCTCGGAAGAGAAAGGTGTTCCCCATCAACAGCCTGTGTGAACTGCTGTTGCAAAGACTGCCTCTTCTGGTCCTCTGAAAACTGAGGGGGTCAAATCCATCTTCTGGTTCTAGTTCCTGGAAAATATAATTAGGTAAGTCTTAAATATACAATATACATTTAAATAAAACTATGTAACTGATAAGAAAAAAATGTCTTAAAATTCCCATTAACGAAGAGTGCATACTGTACATGTGAGATAATATACAAGGGCTTTTCAATAGGTTCCAAGATTGATCTTATTTTATGAGAACTAAAGGCTTCAAAATTATGTGTTGTATGCTTAGTGTTTAAGAACATATTTCAAAGGATGTTACATCAACTTTTTCCAGAGCTATGCAGTAGGCCAGAGTTTTCAGCACTACACAGCAGACTGAAGTTTTCAGTGCTACACAGCAGACTGAAGTTTCCAGCACTACACAGTTGGCTGGAGTTTCCAGCACTACACAGTTGGCTGGAATTTCCAGCACTACACAGTTGGCTGGAATTTCCAGCACTACACAGTTGGCTGGAATTTCCAGCACTACACAGTTGGCTGGAATTTCCAGCACTACATATAACTTCAGAAACACAGCACTTTACTTTAAGATTGCTGCTTTCAGAACACTACAGGCGAGGTGGTAAGCCCTTTTTAGTCACCCCGCACATACCTGAACTCTGTCACGTCCCCAAGACACACTGACCTTATTAAAATATTCTAGTTAAATAACCTAATTAAATAAATATATATTTGAGGTGACCACTTAAACTTGCTGCTTAGCTAGGCTTGTAAGTACTTCAGTGAGGTTCCTCAAGGTACTGTGCTCGCTTCAGTTCTTTTTTTCATTCTCATACCAGACATGGATAAGGATTCAAATTATAGTACTGTATCATTCTTTGCAGACAACATTAGAATTTTTTATGAGAGTAGACAATCAAGTCTTTCATAGGCCAGAGAAAATAATGTGATGTTTAATGTGGATATTTTTCTCTTACTACACTATGAAATGCAAAATAAACCACATATAAAATGCAGTAAAAAACACAATATTAAAAGAAAAAGCAATGTAAAATATTTAGAAATACTCAAGTCGGGCAACCTTGGGCAACTATTCGATGTGGCAAGCAGCCACATCGAATAGCTTGGTTGACCACACCACCAACCAGAAGACCCGGTCAAACACTGGGCAACACAGGATGCTAAACTTTGGAATCATCAACAGGTATATGACACATGGTGCATTACATGGTAGCACACCACAAACTTGTTCAATAAGGCCAAAATCAATCTATAGCTTTTTATGTAACTCATTTGCAATGTCCAAGAGAGGATGTGTAATTGAAACTCATACTACTGCAAGACCTTATGAATCCCGCCCTGCAGTACTATCCCATCGTCTAATGAACAACCCATAGTGTTGAGTCAATTTTCCTGCAATCTGCACACCACAACATGAAAGAGATGATGTAACACCCTCTGAGGAGCTGAGTTCAAAGTGAGACAACACACCTTCAGATTATGACTTACACTTTTCCAACCCATGGTGTTTACTTGCACAGTATATATTTAGTCTTGAAACTTAATGACTGCCCCTCATTTTGGATTACGAAACAAAGGCTGAATGGAGAGCAGAAAGAATGCCCAAGATAGTGACTGGGTGATTTTGATTAGCGATACAGTACTATAAAACGCATTATATCATTATCATTATCAAATTTCTAAATCTCATGATATGGGGAAGCAACAGCCTTTAAAGAAAATAGGAGATAAATTATTATCAACAGCAAAAATGCTATTGGTTTTGTAATTAATGGTGACACTGAAACTGTCTGAATAAATTACCTCAGTGGAAAAGTAATGTGTGTGACCGAGGAGAAGGTAAGATGGAGAACTTTTCTTGATGGAGCCAACAGCAGGCACAGTTACATTCACCGAGTGACAAGATAGCGAGTCTACAAATATTGTGACCTGAAAATAATGAGTATTTATTATTACCACATTTCTCTACATACACCTCTGAAAGTGTATTACATATTTAATAGAAACAGGAAGCACTACTGCATATATTATAAAGGTTCTCTCTTTTTCCTTTATTGAAAGTTCTTGTTCTTGCTACATTCACCTGGATAATTTTTATGGCTTTCTCCATATTTATGCATTACAGGCTTCTGCTTCATTCTTCCTGCTTTCTAACTTGGCTACTGTATACTGTACCTGCTAAGGAAATCTAGTTTTTTTCATATACTCTTTTTCACTGTAATTAAGCAATGCCTACCTTCTACATGTCAGAGGAAAAATTCAAATACCCAACTCTTCTGATATACTGTATATAGAACATTACAAATTACAAAGGCTTAAAGTTTCTGAACTTTGTGGGAAAAGCCTTATATAAACTTTATGAGAAATTTATATTTATATTTATATTTATAGAAATTTATAAATCCTTTATGAGAATTAAATTCAGTTCCTAAATAAGAAAAAGAAAGATCATTACATATAACATAACTGCGCAAGTAAGCCCTAAGTGCAATGTCAACAAATTGCTCAAGGCTTCATACCATAGCAGTCAAATCATCTGTCAATGTTACTTTAATAATAGTTTAAAATTATCTCTTAATAGAAACACAATTAGTTCTGCTATGACTAGTCAGAGAAAATATTGACGATTTGTAAATTTCAATAATAATGTTATGAAGCCAATAATTACTGAACAATATAGTCTCTTGTGACAGGGAAGGCATCACATGGGGGACACACTCAAAAGCCACATTTCCATTAGAGTAAATAGAAGGTTCTCTCATAAGCTATATTGAATAGGGGAGCTTTCCTGTTGTTCATAGCTATTAGACATCCTCTAAGACCTCAACTATGGTCATTGTCTGCCACAAATTTAATCAAAGCCAAGTGAAACTCTAACTACCAGTTGCATTGTCTTGTTTGGCCACAGGTTGTACTTATATAGTATAGAGGATTGTTGGGTGCAGTTATGAGGAATGAAAACAATAATCAATAAGCGCATTGAACTATGTCTCATCCCAAACTGCAAATAATTATGATATAATTATATGTTTTTACTGTCACTGTAGCCTAAACTTTGCTGGCAGAAGAAAGTCTAACAACATCAGTTTGCCCACAAAGGAAGAATGCCACGGTGGCCATATTGGGACCTTCCTGAGTTTGAGACACACCTATGCTTCTTGCCAGCTACTGTTCTACATTTTAAATATTATTACAGTAACCAAAATTTATACTACCCAGTAATCAATCCTAAATTAAAATAAGCACAATGCCTGAAATAAATTCTAGTCTTCATTCCTTAGCAGTGCTCCCAAGGTCAGTTATTGTTGTCTTACATGTTGTCTGGTATGCCATTCACCTACACAGTGTTTGTGCAGGGCGCATGAACAGCCAAGTGGCTGGCCCTTGGAATTAAGACCAGAATAGTAAAGTTAATACCTTGAATTAAATTGGAACCTAAATGTTCCACAATTGACTAGATTACCTAAATTCAAACCAAGTAAAATTTAAATAAATTAAACGCCCCAAAGTTTTGAGTGGTATCAAACAATTACAAACTCTCATGAAGTTCACTTCTCACCACAATTAATAACAAATTCACCACAGCAATACATCAAATATAAATGCCAAAAAATAATATTTTTATTGTAATCATATTCTATAAATAATAATAATAATAATAATAATAATAATAATAATAATAATAGTCCAGCAGTCCCCGTGGCGCAGTGGTAAAACACTCGCCCGGCACTTCGCGAGCGCCTTGGCCTGGGTTTGTATCTTGGTTTGGGAGGATTGATTGGGTGCCAATCCTTAACTGTAGCCTCTATTCACCAAGCAGTGAATGGGAACCTGGTTGTTAAACAATTTGGTAGGTCGTATTCCAAGAAAAATTAGGATTAAGAACCTTCCCGAAATGCTATGCGCGCTAGTGGCTTTACAAGTACAGTATGTAAGAATGCTTATATATATATATATTAAAAAAAAAAATAATAATAATACACAGAGAAATAACATTAATGTGATATATCAATGAACAACTCCACAGGAACCTTGATGAGGGTTCGAACCTATGCACTGGTTGATTAAAGCACGCATGGGAATACCCAGCGCATAGGTTCGAACACTCATCAAGGCTCCTGTGGATTTGTTCAATAATAATAATAATAATAATAATAATAATAATAATAATAATAATAATAATAATAATAATAATAATAATAATAATAATAATGAAAAAATTCACAAGAGCCTTGATGAGGATTCGAACCTACGCGCTGGATGTTCCCAGATGTGCGCATTGCGCATCCATCCAGCTCATAGGTTCAAATCCTCATCAAAGCACTTGTGAATTTGTTCATTGATATATCACGTTATTGTGATTTCTCTGCGTAATAATAATAATAATACTTTCTTATTTATAATTATTATTCTTAACTAATAAATTAATATTTATAAAGTAAGAGGGGCAGAGGTCTATCATTAAAACACAAGTAGATGATCACATGTTGAACAAAATAAAATTGTCTTCACTAATGTTACCTTTAGACTCCCTCCTCTCCTGACATTGATTGTGGGAACACAGAATGCCAGGTGGTGCCAGCTACCATCACACAATCCAGCTTTCACCACCGCCCCATGACTCAGTGAAACACTCTCCCTGTCCACCTCCCGTGACACACATACTTGCAGGCAATCTTGCAAAAAGAAACAGACAAGAGAAACTTTAAAAAACACTGTTATAAACAATGTCCATTGTCTTTTATTTTACATGTAAAGACAGAAGAAAAAAAGGCTCATGAAAGACACCAATCAAAGGTCATGCTTTGTTCTATTAATTATGTAAAAGGCCAGAGAAAGACTGCAACAACCAAACCTAACCAGAATCTAGTATTTATCATACAGTATTCTGTTTATACTAAATTACACATTACTTATTTGGGCCTAGGAAGTTTCAGCTGGGTTATTGATGAAATGGATAGTTTCTACTGAAGCCCAAAAAGGCCATAAGGCCATATTTTGTACATTCCTCCTCAGTCACCATAGGTATTATTTTTTGGAGGATGGATTGACATTATTGCAGTCTCACTATGGCTTACCCAACAGTCACTCCCACGCTCACCACACAAATAAGAAACAATAGTCATGTGATTTACAACTGCAACATGGCAGCATAAATGCATAACAAAGATGATTTTGAATTTGAAGTGAATAGCAATGTGGTCGATGTCGTATTGAGGGTTCTCTATAGTTTCGAATATTGACTCTCGAACCATATTTCTTAACATTTTCTAGTCACAAAAACACGTATTGGATAACATATACAACTATAGTACTTTTTAAATTTTATAAAGAATCAAACTGGGCTCACCTTTCATGGGATCAAGCCAAAGAGAAAACATCAGATGTTGAGTTCCAACAGATAGAACATGGAGCTTGTTTAAGCTAAGTTCACTACTAAGAGATGCATTCGACATCGCACCACCTGAAATGGGTTTCAGCTTTAAGCTATAACCAAGTATAACACATCATTACTAACAAAAATATATAATTATTTATGATTAATGCAATAGATTATCCCAAATGACTCAAGAAGTTACCACAAATGCAAATCATTCAAGAAGATGTCTTCAAAAGTTTAAAAATTTAGTATAATAACTTTCTCTGCAGTTAAGTTGCAGTACTACAATACTACATGTAATCACCAAGAGCACATGTAAATCACTACCCCCTAGTAGTTCCATTTAACTCTCCAAAATAAATTATATCAGCCATAGTGTCTACAAAAGTCGTCCAGTCTCCATGGTGTAGTGGTAAGACACTCGCCTGGCATTCCGCGAGCACTTTGTCATGGGTTCGTATCCTGGCCGGGGAGGATTTACTGGGCACAAATCCTTAACTGTAGCCTCTGTTTAACGCAACAGTAAAATGTGTACTTGGTTGTAACAACGATTCTTCGCGGCGGGGATCGTATTCCAGGGACCTGCTCGAAATGCTACGCATACTAGTGGCTGTACAAGAATGTAACAACTCTTGTTATATATCTAAAAAAAAAAAAAGACGGTTTAATGCAAAACTAAACAGACTGGCCAGGGGCAGTAGGGTCCATTCTTCCGTCAGGCTCACAGCACGGTGCAGGAATTCGCGGCGGCTTGGCTGTCACTTTGGAGGGTTCGGGTCGCTCAGGGTTCGACCATCCATTCAGATTGTTCTCCAGTGGTTCATTGCCTGAACCACGGGGATTCCCTTCAGTTCTTGCCTCTTTGGGACTGGTTGCTTCAAGTGGCTTGTCTGCTGTTTTTCAGGGTTTGGCTCTCCGTGTGGTTCATATCTAAGGAGAGTCCAATGTCCTGGAGGACGGCCTGTTTCGGTTCATTCCCCTGTCCATGGACTGGACAGTCGACGCCGACTCCTCCTGTTGGCTCTATAGGACATATGGGCTCCTGGAGGTGGACCTCTTCACATCGATGTCTTGGCGTTACCCGATGTATGTGGCACGGATTCCCAAATGCGGAGCACCTGGAGGGATAGGTTTACTAGGAGGGTAGGATTACTAGGGGGGTAGGTTTTCATGCACTGCCTGAGCCATCCTGGTCCTTAGACAGGGTGCTCTCTTATCTCTTCTCCTCGGTTCGTGTTGGCCCCTTTGGTTCAAGATTTTGTTTCCAAGGCTTTTTCTGCTGGCATTGGTCTCTGGGGGTTGGGTTGGTGAGGTTCACGCTCTCCTCCAGCGTAGGGGTTTTCTGCTCTTTCGGTCCTGGTAATTGGTTTGTTTGGTTGTAGCCCTCTTTTCTGGCAAAGAATGCGATGGCTACTTTCCAAAGGGGTCCTTGGGTCATTGATGCTCGGTTGTTCAAACCAGGGGTGCATCATTTGTTGTATCCGGTTGTGGCTGTTCGCCATTACCTGCGCGCCTCGGCTTCTGTGGCCGGGTATGAGCTTTGGGTTTATCCGGTTTCCATCGTTCACTGTTCCAGGGCTCAGGTCTCCCAGGTCGTCTGCAGGGTTCTCAAGTCTAGCCAGTCTGCGGTCTATCCTCATGCCCATGATGTTCGGAAGTTTGCTGCTTTAGCTGCTATCTTCGGCACCATGTCTTGGGTTGATATTCAGGCACAGGGATTTTGGAGGTCGAACAGAGTTGTAGCTACCCATTCTTTGGTCATCATTCGTGGTCCTGGGCGTTCATGTGTGGCTTTGGGTCGCAGGCTGCAGTCAGTTGTCTCGCCTTCGAGTTAAGGAGCGTGTGGCGACTGCCTCCTGGGAATGTCCCCTCTTTTCCTTATCTTTGGTTATGTAGCTCTAGGGAGCCAGAGGGTCTCCCCACAGAAAACCAGAGTTAAATGCAATGAAAAGCCATTTTCTGGATGAACCGCAGAGGTTCCCTGGCACCCTCCCTCCCTCCAGTTGGCGGTTTTCGCGTTGTTTTGATGCTTAGCCTCCGAAGTGGAGTTGCTGGGTAGCCAGCATGGGGGGTCTCTCTCCAGGGAAGGGGAGGGGAGGGCTACGTGGATGAGCAGCGAAGTGTAATGTTTGCTTGCTTCCTTGGGATTTGAGGGTATTCTGCATCTCTGTTCAGTTTTCGGTTGCAATTTTCTTACCATGTGGTTTTTTTTTTTTTATGCCTATCTTTCTGGATGCCTAATCCCGGTCGATGGCAGTTAAGAAAAAAAACCCAACCACAGAGAATTTTCTAGGGTCATTGCTCCCTGTGCCTCTCTGAGGGGACTAAGTTCTGGTTTGTGGTACTCGATAGGCTGAACTCCTTTGACTAATGCTCTGGTTTAATGAATTGCATAATAGCCTGATAGCTCCAGGGAGCCAAAGGGGCTTCCCATAGAAAAACCAATTAGCACTGCCAAAAGGTTTACCCATGTCAAGTTTGACTAAAACCACAATCATGCTGGCTAGTGACAATGTTGCATTGGATTTTTAGCAAGGAGAACTGAACAAGATGATACACTGAGATATAAACCATAATCAATTGATAATGTATATAAATAAATTTAAATAAATTTATAAATAAACTGATAAATAATTTTTTTAAAATAAATATAACCAATTAGGGGAGGCAATAAAACCACACAAGGCATAACAAGAGAGATGCAGGTATGACTATGGCAATTTGTTTGAAAGACACCTTTATATAGCCTATACAGGGTGTCATTAATGACTAAGATACTTTTATAAGGTAAGTATGACTTACGTGATAAAGTACATCTGGCTCCAGCATCAAAGTAGCCTTCAGATCTACAGCTCACAACCAAACTTGACTGGGACGAAAAACGTTGCTTGTTTTCTGGTCCTGATCTGCATGGAAAATGTGAAATTTATCATCCTTACTTCAGATGCTTTTCCTTAAATACGCCTTAGTTCATTTGCTGAAATAAGGGAGCTGTAAGTTCTAGAATTTAATGCTCTATTTCAACAAGCAGCAAACTTAAGAATGTCATTTAAGCATCATTGAAATATTAAACAAATAATTCAGATTAATAATTCATGTCGTCAGGGACGGCAGCCATTTATGAAGTATATACTGTATGCTGTATAAATATATACGTTAGGCTTATATCGTGGTCCCCCAAAGGTTGAACTACTGACCATTTCCAGGATGCGACCTCACAACAGTTGACTATCTCCCGGGTACATATTTAGTGCTAGGTGAACACAGGCATTATGTGATAGGAAATGTCACCTAATGCCAATGTCAAGAAAAATTATTCTGTTCAGGGACTGTCAGAAGAAATAAATTGGAATTGACATTTATTTATTGCATATGCATATAATCAGTAAACTGAGGGAGTGTTTTTTCTAGTCTTCATTACCTGTCACGCACACAAATCCAAGACGTACTGGCAAGTCCAGAGTTGTAAGGTGACCAATCAAGAGTCCGAGGCACTGGGCACACTACACACGAGACTGCCACACAGGACATGATCCCTGACAAAGACATGATATTCATTTTCATTACAAATTGTACTGTGCGCTAGTACTGCAATGGAAACTTAAAAATAGATACTGTATAATTATTGAGATGTCTGATATAAGTCATAGTCCCATAAAGGTCATTCCTAAAAAAAAAAGGGCTGCTATCTTCAGACCCTGAGAGTGTATATACAAACTGCTAATATCAAGTCTTCATATATGAATAGCCAAGAGAAAAACAAAAAGCTACTCCACACAACAAATTTGTTTGACAGAAGTGTACACTACAAATAAAAAGGATGAAAACACCAAATGAGTTAAAAATATTTAACAAAACTTACCATGTCTACAATGGCTCTCATGAAGTCTAGTTATTGCTTCAACAACTGGAGATGAAGGAACACGTATGTTGACAAAGGATGCTAGACTCTCTGTCAGCGAGCCGTGTGATGCATTTAGGATAGGAGAGATAGAAGCAGCAGCAGAAGTGCCATGACATGGGTAAGGTAAAGCCCACTGTGGCTCACATCCGCTGCTTTCCAGGACACGAGACAGAGCATGGAGTAAAGTCTCCTGAAAAGAAGAGGTATATTGACATAAAAAAAACAAGCACTGAATGTAATGAAATGCCATTTTCTGGGTGAGACCCGGAGGCTCCCTGAAGCTATACTGGGCTGATGTGTATATATTAGACCGTGGCAGCAGTTAATCAATGGAGCTCTAGGCCTACCGAGGACCACTAGCCAGAACCTGGCCCTCTCAAAAAGGCATGAGGAGCAATGGCCTATAGACACCCCCATGTAGTTGGAAGCAGTCTGTCTGCCATCTACCAGGTCAGGCACTGTTATGACCCCCCACATACGTCATGTAAATATTGGTGTTATTGTATGTGGAGGTCATAAGCTCAGTCACATATTTTTCGTTAGCTTACTCTTATGCCTCTCTCTTACTATTATTGTACGGAATAACAGAAGTTTAGGTTCATACACACATATATTGAAGGTATGTATATACAGTGAATAAGTCATAACAACTGGTGACCGCGTAACTGCTGGAACTTCTCCACTATCCCCTCCCCCCCCGCCCCTGACCCTTTGTGAATGTCTCCAGCAAGTGTACCAACTGTATATAAAAATGACTTCCTTATGTGTTCACACATATTGACGTACATGCTTAAGTACCATGAGGTTTTGTATATTATATTGTGTATATCTGTTTGGACTTGTTATAAATATGCCCACTTTGTTGTTCTGTTATTCGTGGGACAAAGGGTGGAGTGACTTGCCATGTTGGCAACACAGTCATTCTCGGCCGTCGAGGCCGTTGGCAAATCACCGCTCCCTGATTTCCCAGAGAGGCAGACGTCATACGTCTAGTCCCCTGGTTCTGTTCCCTTGGAGACGTACTTTTGCAGGGTTTTTCTTTCTTTTTGCTTTGTTTGCCTGGCAGGAGGTCTGCCTTATGTGGCTATCACTCCACTTGTGTTTTTGGTGGCCCTCCTCTTGGCCCCCATGGTTGTACACATCGCAGAGGGTTCAGCTTTTAGTTTGATTGCTTGGTAGCTCTGGGATAACCGGTTAGCAGTACCTTGCCTGGGCTTCCCTTAGCAATCACCCTAAGGGCCCCTGGAAACCCCCATTGGGGCTCATTGGTCTGATGGAGGAGTCCCCTGAGTCCCCCTTGAGCAATGTTCACCTCGACTTTGGTTTCAACCGCACCCCCCTTGTCCTTCCCCTCTTGTAGTTCATCCTGCTCCCCCCCCCTCTGCTCCAGGCTCCCAAACTTCTGAGGGTTTTGGACCAGGGAGCCAAAGGGGCTCTCCACAGAAATATTCAGCGAATATCATGTATGTGCTATACCTTTGCACCATCCAATGCATGTAATACGTGGAATTATAGTCAGTGATACCTAGTAGTAGTAGGCATCCTTCAGTCTCAGGAGACTATGGAGTTGCGCTCTGATTGTCAATCCTGGTGCAGCGTCTGGTGTGACTAATGAGGCCAATCTGAGAATGGCAGTCCATCCCACACTGAGCACAAACGAAGTCCGATTCTGGTTTGTCTTCCTGACTACTGGCTATCCTTCCCTGTCTTTTTGCCTCCAATTTCATGGCAAGTGACTCCTCGAACTTGGAGAGACCTCTATGAACAGACTGCCCCAGGCTGAACGGTCTGCGGCCAGTGTTTCCCATGTAGCAAGATCGACGTCCATGGCTTTCAGGTCCCTCTTGCACACGTCTTTGTACCGTAGCTGGGGTATGCCTGTTGGACACTTTCCCTGTGTCAGCTCTCCATACAGGAAATCCTTGGGGATCCTGCTGTCGCCCATTCGCACCACGTGCCCGAACCAGTGCATTCGTCTCTGTTTCAGCATTGCGTACATACTGGTGATTCTAGCTCTCCACAGGACATTGTTGTTTGTCACCTTGTCCTGCCAGGTGATGTCCAAGATGTGTCGAAGGCAGCGCATGTGGTAGGCATTCAGCTGTCTTTCCTGATGGGCGTGGAGTGTCCAAGACTCACTGTCATAAAGGAGAGTGCTCAGGACATAGGCTCTGTAAACCTGAATCTTTGTATACTCAGTCAGCCTATTGTTGGCCCACACTCTCTTTGTCAGTCTGGATATGGTAGTAGGTGCCTTACCGATGTGTTTGTTTAGCTCCGTATCAAGAGAGAGAGGGAGTCAGAGATTGTGGAGCCCAGGTACTCGAAGTAGTGAACGACTTCCAGTTTGGAATCGGAGATGCCGATGTCAGGTGGGGAGTCCACTCCTTGTACCATGACTTGTGTTTTCTTCAGGCTGATGGTGAATCCGAAAGCCTGACAGGCCTCGCTGAAGCGGGTCATGAGCCGTTGGAGGTCTTCGGCTGAGTGGGCAGTGACTGCTGTGTCATCAGCAAAAAGGAAGTCGCGCAGACACCTCAGTCGAACCTTTGTCTTGGCTCTCAGCCTGGCGAGGTTAAAGAGCTTTCCATCCGACCTGGTCCGGAGGTAGATGCCTTCTGTGGCAGATCCGAAGGCGTGCTGCAGCATAACTGTGAAGAAAATCCCGAATAGGGTTGGAGCCAGGACGCAGCCCTGCTTTACTCCACTTCGGATGTCAAAGGCGTTTGATTTTAGGCCATCAAAGACTACGGTGCCCTTCATGTTCTCATGGAAAGATCTGATGATGCTGAGGAGCCTGAGTGGACATCCAATCTTAGGAGGATCTTCAACAGGCCATCCCTGCTGACGAGGTCGAAGGCCTTCGTCAGATCTATGAAGGCTACGAAGAGTGGCTGCTTCTGTTCCCTGCATTTCTCCTGCAGTTGTCTGAGGGAAAAGACCCGTGGACGGCCCGAAGGATCTGTAAGTTGCGCCGATTTGGGCGGGCTTTGTAGACTGCCAAGGCGTTTCTCTTCTCTTCGATGACAGGTGTCATCTCTTCCAAGTGAGCCTCGAACCAGTCTGCCGACCTGCTGGTCTTCTTGCCAAAGGCGGACATGGCAGCGTTAAACACAGCGTCTCTGAAGTACTCCCAGCTTCATTCCTCAAACATAATTACCACTGTATAGTCTCATAGCTCACTTTTGGTAGTAGAAATGTCAGAATAGAGTAAAGTTAAAGAGGGTTACAGATACCCTCTACAGATACCAGATAAAGAGGGTTACAGATACTCACCAGGGGAGGTGCTGAAGATTTGAAAAGAGCCAGGAACTGGGAAAGGTCAGTGGGTGTGAGACACCAACGACCCACCTCAGCCCACACCGCTACCACAGTCCCCACCACATCTGCCAAACAATATACTGGATTTTCAAATATTCCATACCTTTAAATATTTTGAATTACTGTACCAGTACTGTAATATTTTCTAACTGTAAAAAATAATAGAATACATATTTTTGCACATTTACACATTCAAACAAAATTAAACAATTTTCTAATGTAAAATTAAATTATAACAAATATATTATTATTTTTGTACTTACTTACCTTCTTCTATATGTCATGTAAAATGCTGTCATGTAAACTCTCTGATCTAATGCATCGAAATTTGAGATCGAGCATTTTTCTCGCATTCTTTGCCCTCGGAACGGACTTTCCAGACAGAAAACTAAAATTTGTACTTTCACCTTTATCTCAAAAACTGCTAGGAGCAACATCACACTCCTCTGCCATCATCCTCACTCTCAAACGTTGATTACTTTCTATATCAATTAAACCACACTGTAAACCATCTTTGACAATTCTAGCATGTCTTAGTGTACAATCTGGGTAGCATGTAGTAGCCAAAATATGTGAAGGAAGTCAGTGCTCATTGACATGTAAACATTCATTGACCTCACACAGGATTAGCAGTGCTTTGTTGCTCTTGAATCTCCACTGTGATGAGGAGGAATGTATTTTAAGTAGTGAGCTTGAGTACAAATTGGTAGCCGAGGGAAGATAATGTGTGCGCTTGCAACAGAAGACCTCAATATACTTTACCTGTGGTTAGGATTATTGAGGTCACTCTGTCCTTGAGGAATACTTATGATGTCTCTTGTTTACAACTCCCAACTACATTAAGTCTATGGAATGATATATATATACCATAGACCCAACTAGACTTGTAAGCAGTCCATACTGGGTTAAATCATTTGCAGATGTAAGTACTATCCCATGGAATATTGTGTGGGATGACAGGTGCAGTGCAAGGGGTTAACAACTACGTAGCTGTAAAACACACTGGACACAACACTGGTTGAAGGCCAGGCCAGGGATCGGGCCCATGGGGACGTCGAGCCCCGAAATCATCGACGTTAACATATAAGATATAAATACTCACCAACAGCCATAGTTACTCACATGAGTAACACATAGTGGGACAGGCAGAGGATTAAAATTCATGCTGAAAAATGAGTGAAAAAAAACTTCAAGAGCCTCACACACCATCAGTCTTTCAGGTAGCCTACTAGGTCATCAACACCATCCCCCACACCAACTAAGGTCAACTGCCTCCCATACTTTCAGGTCACCATCTTCTCATGACACCAGGTCACCATTCTCTCATGACACCAGGTCACCATTCTCTCAAGACGCCAGGTCATTAGCTTCCTACACCACCAGCTCACCAGCTTCCCACACCACCAAACAATATCCAAATCAAAACAACTATACACCCATTCAAAGACTAAGTAGCCTGATACATGGTACACACACAATAAAGACTTACCTAGATAGTCAGAACTGCTGGCAGAGATGAGACCATTAAATCCATCAAGAAGCCTTGATAGGAACCCTAAGGCATGAAGACGACGGCAGACACCAGCAGAGGAGCGGCACAGGAGCAACAGTGCATGAACGCACTGTGTGAGAGAAGCACTGTGGGCCACTTCACTCTCGCTACACAGTCCAATGCCAGATAGAGAGCGTGATGATCTGCTCCTAGAGACTTGTGGAGAGGTTCCTTCTGAGCAAGGTATACCCAAATGTTTATTCGTATTTTGTTTGATGGATCCCTGTGATTCAGCTGTCAACTGAAGGCTTGTTGAGCCATTGTTACAAGACACAGAAGGCACGCTTTCACCATAAGAGTTATTCAGCGACTGAACATTTGCACTTGCTGCCACGTTAGAAAATGCTGTATTACTTGTAACCTCTGATTTTCCGTCTCTCCATAATCCATCCTCCCATTCCAATGACTGCTCCCCTGTACTAGCACTCGTATCTTCATCCGAGTGAAGTGTATGATACACAGATGAGGCAGAGGAATTACTCTCTGCCATGGATGCACCAGGAGTTTGTGACTTTTTTCCTTTAGATTTTATACCTTCAGATAACTCTCTTTTTCTTTTCATTATCACTTCCTCAGCAAGCACTTGACTATTAACTTTGGATTGTTTCTCTGCTATTTGCTGAGCCAGTCTAAATGAGTGAGTTTCATCAGCTATGGTTTGGTCCCTAGCACCATGTTGGTCATCTTCAGGTTGGTCCTCATCTGCAGGATGGTCCCCAGTATCCTGTTGGTTCCCAGTATCATGTTGGTCCTCATCGGCAAATTGGTCCTCAACTGCAGAATGGTCCCCAGCACCATGTTGGTCACCTGCAGGATGGTCCCCAGTATCATGTTGGTCCTCATCTGCAAGTTGGTCCTCATCTGCAAGTTGGTCCTCATCTGCTAGTTGGTCCTCATCTGCTAGTTGGTCCTCATCTGCAAGTTGGTCCTCATCTGCAAGTTGGTCCTCATCCGCTAGTTGGTCCTCATCTGCTAGTTGGTCCTCATCTGCAAGTTGATCCTCATCTGCAAGTTGGTCCTCATCTGCAAGTTGGTCCTCATCTGCAAGTTGATCCTCATCTGCTAGTTGGTCCTCATCTGCAGGTTGGTCCTCATCTGCAAGTTGGTCCTCATCTGCAAGTTGATCCTCATCTGCAGGATGGTCCTCATCTGCAGGTTGGTCCTCATCATCATGTTGGTCTTCAGCTGCAAGTTGGTCCCCAGCATCATATTGGTCCTCGACTGCAGGTTGATCATCATCTGCAGGTTGATCATCATCTGCAGGCTGGTCCTCATCTGCAGGCTGGTCCTCATCTGCAGGCTGGTCCTCATCTGCAGGCTGGTCCTCATCTGCATGTTGGTTCTCAACTGCAGACTGATCATCATCTGCACGTTGGTCCTCATCTGCAGGTTGGTCCTCATCTGCAGGTTGGTCCTCATCTGCAGGTTGGTCCTCATCTGCAGGTTGGTCCTCATCTGCAGGTTGGTCCTCATCTGCAGGTTGGTCTCCAGCTAAACATTGGTTCTCCACAACAGGTTCATCAGTAATTACAGGTTGGCCATCAACACCAAGTTGATCAACTTCTACAAGGTGGTACTCAGCCATGGTTTTGCCACCGACAAGTTGGTCCTCAGCTATGAAGTGATTCTCGGTTACAGACTTGTCATCGGCTATGGACGGACCAGAAATGATAAAGTGGTCCTCAGTTAAGGGCTGATCATCAGTCATGGGCTGGTCCTCAGTTACAATATGATCATCAGATATCAGTTGGTCTTTAGGTTCAGAATGGCCCTCAGACCTCAAATAATCTTTATGTTCTGAATTGTCCTCAAACAAGATATGCCCCTCACTTCCTGAATGATCATCACATAAGGAGTGATTATCACAGGAGTAGTCATCTGCTTCAGAGTGATTCTGAGCTATTTGTTGGTCTTCTGGAACAGCTTCCCTGTCTGTTTTAAAAGGATCCTGTGCCCTGGATTCTGCTTCTTGTCGAGCTTCTTCTCTTGACTCGAGGAACCTCTCGTGGTGGTTGATCATAAGGTCTAATGCCAGAATAACAAGCTCAGGGCATTGCAGATCCTCGTCCTCGTGCAAAAACCTACCAGAACAAATAACATAATCAATTATCAATTAATATGTGACTTCACTAATGACTCGCATAAAAAGATTCAATTTTTTAAATAATAAATATAGCACACAACTCATCCCTAATCATAATTAGATAATAACAATGATGATAGAAAACATCCATTTTAACCAAACTGTAGAGGTTTAACCACATTTAGAGCAAAGTGTCTGATCTAAATTACTGACAGGACAGTTAATTGACAGGATTACTTTGACAGGATTACATTTTTGACAGGACAGGACAGTTAATTTTTGTATAAACACAATTTGAAACTGTTCATTTAGTACTTCACACATTTCTTTTTCGTTCTCAGTAATCCTGTTTCCCATGTTCAATCTCTGGATTTTATCCTTTACATGCAGCTTGCTTTTAATGAATTTATAGAAACAGTCTGGATCTGTTTTACATTTCTCTATTATACCTTCACCTGTCTACCACTCTGTTTGCGAAAGTGAATTTTCTTATATTTCTTCAGCATCTGTGTTTAGCTAGTTTAAATCTATGACCTTTTGTTCTTAAAGTTCCAGGTCTCGGGGAATCTTCCCTATCGATTTTATCAATTCCTGTTACTATTTTGTACGTAGTGATCATATCACCTCTTTTTCGTGTGTCTTCTAGTTTTGGCATATTTAATGCCTCTACCCTCTCCTCGTAGCTCTTGTCCTTCAGTTCTGGGAATCACTTAATAGCATGTCTTTAGTAGCATGTCTGTGTCTGTGTGTGAGTGTAATTACCTAAGTGTAGTTACAGGATGAGAGCTACGCTCATGGTGTCCTGTCTCCCCAGCACTCTTGTGTGTGTGTAATTACCCAAGTGTGTAATTACCTATAAGTGTGTGTGTGTTATAACACTTTATTGACCACACTAGGAGCATACCATGCAAAATATATGTTGATGAGTGTTTCCTGGCTACCATACCTTGTTGATGATGGGCAAGCATTTGTCAGCTGCTCAGTGTCGGCCTCATACCCGTCTGTTTCATCCTGCTGCTGCTCCTCTGCGTCACCAGCTGGTCCGATGTCTTCATCCAACACCTCAAGGGCACGCTAAAAACAAATTTTGTGATTTTTGTAACTAATCCTTAGATAATACATTTATAACTAAAAATTGAACCAAACGGTATTCTGAAATACAGTACAGTTATAATAAACTGCCATTTCCAGATATGTTTGAGCTGCAAGTTGACCAGATATGGGTACAGTATATCATTTTTCAAGTTGACAGTAAATTTACTTTGAATGACATTTTGCCTCTAAGTTCTATCCCCAGTAGTCAACTTTCAACTTGGAGTTTTTGTATAATGTAGTCACTATAGATATTTGTATGACTTAAAAGAAATAGAAACACAGCAAGTTGTAAATATACTGTACTTTAAATATGGTGTAGTGTGCCTAACAGGCCATGCAACCACCTGTGCAATAGAGGGCTGAGGAAGTGAGCTGCATACCAAGCTTTCCAAATTCCTCCCCACAAAGAGTAAGATTGGCCTTTGGTCTCCCTCCCCCCCCCCCCTTCACACTCACACCTATCCAAGCTCCAGTATACAAAAGCTGGTTTGTATTGGCTGTGTGAAATGACAAATAAGTAAGGAAACAAACAAACCTGAATTTCATAAAAATTTATAAAGCAGTAGTTTAATGTGTAACGTTCATGTGAAACGTGCTGAAACAAAATGAGATTCATCGGTAAATTGGAGTAAATATTTTAAAAGAGTAAGAAAATGAAAGAATGGTGTGTAAACTGAATCTGTCAATGGTAGCTCTATGTTGGGTAGGCCTGATGTAAACTGTCTTTTTCATTTTATTCTAAATAAGAGTTGCATTGATTAAGTCATATGAGAGTTTGTTAGTAGAATGAATTAAATAATATGCAAATAAACACAAAACAGCAACCCTCAACTACCACCTGCAGGAAATTATCACAAACTCAGTGTGATGGCTGCCTTGACTGGACCATCTATTATAAGAGCAATTTGAGCAATAGCCAGCAATCATAGGAATTTTTAAATATTTCTTTTTTATAACCACAAATCAACATACTTGAGTTGGATGTCGCAGAGGATAAGTAATGCTAGAGGAAGTGGAGAGGACACAGCACTGGAGCATGACAGACACAAGGTGTTTAACATCTCCGCAGGTATGGGGGGAATACCTCAATAAGGGAGATCGCAACTCATTCAACAGTGTCTCGATACTCAATCCTAAAACATACATAGTACAAAAAACAAATATTAACAAGCATAATATGCACTGTGTACAGTGAAAATATGAAGTCAATCTTCAAAGTTACTCTATATTACACTTGTACAACACCACTTAACAGATTAATTTCCTTACGACTTGAAATGATTTTCCCTCTTCTAATGAATTCAAAGTGGTAAGAGAAAATTATAATTTATAACTTTTTTGGACTGAGATTCATAGATTTCGTAAACTCTAAATGTTATAATTTATAAAACCAGCGTTGAATGTAATGAAACGCCATTTTCTGGGTGAGTCCCGGAGGCTCCCCGGAGCTATCAAGGCTGAATGGATATGTATATCTTTCTGGCATCAGTCAATGCATGGAGTTCTTGCCAACCGGGGACCACGAGCCAGAACCTGGCCCCCCCTCTAGAGAGGCACGAGGAGCAATGGCTTATAGAGACCCCCCCTGTGGTTGGGAGTATTCTATGTCTGCCATCGACCGGGACAGGCACCCAGAAAGGTAGGCGCCCCAAAATAAACCCCTATTCTGGTAAAAGTATTGCGACTGAAAGTCGAACGGTGGACAGAACTCACCAAACAAAAATTAGCAAACTAGCATGACGTCATCATGTCGCCGCGCTGCTGTCTGCGCAATCCCCCCTCCCCGAGAGGGGGAAGGGGAAGCCCCAGACCCATCCGCCGGCGACCCAACCTACAGTTCTTAGGCTAGATGTCAAAAAGTCCAAAAAACACCGCTGACCGGAGGGAGGGAGGGATGCCGGGGAGCCTCTGAGACTCACCCAGAAAATGGCGTTTCATTACATTCAATGCTGGTTTTCTGGGGAAAGCCCCATCGGCTCCCCGGAGCTAACTACCCAAAGATAAAGAAAAACAGGGACTTACCCGGGAGGCGGTCCGTCCTCACTCCTCAACGCGAAGTCGAGACAACTGGCTGCAACTGCCGACCCAAGGCAACGCAGCCCCTACCCTGACCTATCACAATATTCACCAAGTAGCGAGCAGCCAGAACCCTGTTCAACCTCCACCCCCCCCCATCCCCCACCCCCAGAATGTCAACCCAAGACATGTTGCCAAAGACGGCAGCCAAAGCAGCAAACTTACGCACGTCGTGGGCATGGGGATAAACTGCAGGCTGGCTAGACTTAATAACCCTGCGGACAACCTGAAAGACCCGAGCCCGAGAACAGGGAAGAAGGGAAATCGGGTCAATACAAAGTGCATCCCTGGCCACCGAAGCCGTGGCACGCAAATAACGGCAGAGAGCCGCAACTGTACACAACACATGATGCACCCCTAGCCTGACCAACCAAGCATCTACAACCCAAGGCCCCCCTCCAAAATGCAGCCATTTCATTCTTTGCCAGAAAAGGAGACGGCTGCAAATGAACAAAACGACCACCAGGACCAAAGGAGCAGAAACCCTTCTGCCGGTGGAGAGCATGAAGCTCACCGACCCGACCCTCAGAGGCCAATGCCAACAGGAAAAGAGCTTTAGGAAAACAATCTCGAACTGAAGGGGCCACAACAAACCGAGAAGAGAAAAATGAGAGCACCCGGTCCAAAGATCAGGACAGCTCAGGAGGCGCATGAGCAGGCCAGAGGTGAAACAATGCCTGAGACAGCTTGCGGAACGAGGCAGAAGTAACATCAACATCGAAAGCAAGCTGAAGCAACTCTGCCAACGCCGCACAATACGAGGTGACAGTATTCAGCATAAGATGACGGTCCTGGAACAACCAAGACAGAAAGGACAGAACAACCCTATCAGAGACCGAAGAATACCAGCGCAGTGATAGGAAGAACAGGAAGGACCGCCAGGAAACATACTGTCGCTGATACGAAGCACGCAGGTGGGAGACCAACAACAAAGCCACCTGCGCACCATACAAGTAATGATAAACCCGAGTCAAAAACTCTAGACGCGAAGACTCGAGGAGAAGACTGATCCAGCCTCGAACTGGGCTGGACCGATCCGCTGAAATAGGCGGAGCCGTGGAAGACCCTCGGGTTCGGACACCGAGCAAGCAGCGCCTGAAACCAAGGCTGGGTCACCCACCAAGGAGCCAGAAGGACAACTCTTCCCTGGTAAGTCTCCAAGCAAGCAAGGACCTGGAGCAAGAAAAAGAGGTACAGGTAACCCCACCTCGCCCAGTCCTGCCTGAATGCGTCAACACCCGACAGCCTCGCAGTCGGGAAAAGGCGCCACGTATCCCACGAACCCCCCAGAGCAACAAGAACTCAGACATCAACCGACAACTAACCGAGGCTGCCTGCAGGTACTGCACCATAGCAGACTCAGCAAACAGCAATGGACAGAAAGGTGAAGACAACCGAAGAGACAGGGCCCAAGAGGATTCTAAGGAGGAAGCCAGCACCGCCTGCCGACACGTGAGGCAAGAAGTATAGAACCGCGAAACCGCATCACACAGGAGTGGCACAAAGAGCTTCAACAAAGCAGACAATGCCTGCACTGTGGAGGGCAGCGCACTGGATCCAGCAGTGGCCCCAAGCGCCCTCACATCCAACTCAAGCCAGTCCGAGGACAGCTCAAGGAGGGGAAAGAAACGCAGGGCTGAAGCAAGCAGGCCACGAGTACACAAATCCCCCTCCACCAAGGCAGACGAAAGGGAAAGAACCTGCACATGAAGCTGCATGACACCAACATCCTGCGGAAGGGCAGGGGCGAACAAACAAGCATTGAGATGCTCAAAGATGCCCCCCAAGAAAAACCTGAAACGCCGACCGAGTCTCTCGGCATTCTAGCACGCGGGACCGACAGAACGTGTGCCAAGCCTCCAACGAAAAAAGAGGGCAGTCTGCCAACCAGGACGACTCCAGAACTTCATAACGAATCCAGTACTAACTAGAAAAGCCGTACACGAACGAACGCGGATCCATCACGAAGGCATGATCCGGGTCGCGCAGGAGGTAAGCCGCCAAGGCTTCCTGCACCTCAGAACACAAGACTTGGGAAGCCGGAAACCTCCGGAGACGGAACCGAAGAACCCATGGGATCACGGAACTGAATCCGGGGAGGGGTGGACACCAAATCCAATTCGTACACAGAGGGAGCGAAAGAGAACCCCCCCCTCTAATTGTAACACCAAGCCCCGTTCGGAGGGTAGAAAGACCCAGGCGGGGTCCAACGGGGCCCAAGGCCCCCCAAGCCAACCCCTCCCAACCCCAGAAACCTCGCCCTGAGGACCCGGGGCCGAGCTGGCCTCCAAACGTGCCACCTCCAAAGAAAAGGCGGGAGCTGCCGACAAAGCAGGAACGAAGGGGGCCCATTGGCCAGACCCAGAAGCTCCAGTAGAAGGACTAAGCTCGAATGCCTCCGCCGCAACCCCAGAAGTTGACACTCCCGAGACTGCCCGAGTCTCAACAGCAACTAGACCCTGCCTCGACTCCGAAACCCTCAGACACTTCGGAGCCGGACGCAAGGAAGGGAGGGAGGGGAGGGGGGCCGAATGAACTACAGAAGGGATAAAGACTAGGAGGGGCGGATGGAACCAGAGCCGAAGCGACTTGCGCCCCCCAAGTCTGGGTCCCTATAACCAAATCGGGGCAGTCACGGGGCATCCAGAGGACACAACCAATCGAGTGCGTTGCAGCAACCTAAATCTAGCATGCAACACCATAGCTGCCTGCACCCGCATATCAGTATCAGAGGCTTGGGTGAACTGGAGTACGTACAGACAACACACATCACACGACTCCGGGTCAAAACAATCACCGATCCAACAGGCAGCATAGCAGAGGCAAAACCGCCGAGTGTCACCTGGAAACAAGGGGGCAAAGCAACCTTCAAACTCGCAACACGCGAGGAGGGGGAGGGGGGACTTAGGGGTCACGTCCATCGGACCACATAGCCCCCGTGGGGTTTCCCAGGGCCCTTAACCTTGGTGACATGTTAAGGGAAGCCCAGGCAGGGTACAGCGAACCAAGTCTACCAAACAAACTTCTAAAGCTGAACCCCTGGGACGTGTCCACTCATGGGGGCGAAGCAGGAGGGTACCACCGATACAGAAGATCAACCCTCACTGGGGAAGGCAACCAGAAAGCCAGCGAGTCAAAATACACTACTTAGAGTACAGTACTTCAAAAGAAACTGAAGCCTCAAAATCCACCTAAAGAACTCTACCAACAGATTATCAATTATTATATGTATTATCAATTATTTTATTATATGTAAACAGATTATCAAATTCTCTTGGAACTAGCATGAGCTCGTTCACCCTACCTCCCACTCGTCTGAGGGGACTGGGGAAGGTAGGAAAGTGGAATGCATTAAAGGAAGAGGTTGTTGAAGCCAATTTCGTCCACAACTTTTAAAAGTAATACTGTATGAGAACTTAAATACCAAGAGGAGTAATTAGCATGTCAGGAATAAATTATTAGGAAACGGGGCACAAGAGCTAAATCTCACTACCATGAAGTCTGTGATAGATAACCACTGAGAGGTAAGCATCAGGAAAGCATCCAGAAAGTCTGTGAAGCTCTACAGACAACTGCAGTTTGACTTTTAAACTGGAAGATCATATGTATCAACTTTCAGCTATTTGTGACTGTCACCAAGGTCTTGGAAGAAAATGATAGATGGACAGACTGCATTTATTTGGATATAAAGCAGATATTCAATAAAGACTCACATACAAGACCATTCTAGAAATTGAAACATCAAAGGAATGACAGGAAGATTATTAGTAAAAATGTGTCATACCTAACACTATATACCACATGAGGGAACATGCCAGGTATTTACATTTTGAGAATGTTGTAAATGAAGTAGGGCTTACCTGCATAAGGATATGTGATGATTACAAAAGTCAGTAGTGAATGCACAAGAGAAAAAGTGACAGAAAGTTCTTCTAAAACCACACTGCTGAGACTCAGAGTACCTGAAAGAAAATACAAGTACTGTATTCTTCTCAGTCTGCTAAACATTTATTCTACATATAATTTATCGTTTGTATATATCTTTTAGCTGTGCTTTACACTAGTTCATCTCCTGTTAATAATACTTGCCTGAGGATGAACGTGCCAGATCTTGTGTAATATTGATCAACAGAGGTGCCACAAGAGATCTCAATGAAGATGCTGCTAAGTATGCCTGAAATTCAGTACTTGTTTGCAAAACTTCTGTTATTGCTTCCCAAAGCTCACCAAGACCAGTATACTTTACTACTAGGATATCCTTGTTCATTTTCTGAGAAAAGATTAAAATAAGTATAGATTAAAATAATAATATCGAGTCAATATATACAATTTCTTCAGGAATAGTGTCATTATTGTTTTCAATGTCTTGAAACTTCATTTATAATTATCACATACCTTTATGACGTCCTCTTCAGACTCATCAGTGGATGGTTGAGGAGATCCCACAGTTACTGGTGTTTTCTTCGTGCCACATTCAGCTTCCTTTACAGTGTCTACAGATGTGGACTGGCTATTAGAAAGCTGAGGGGACTCTCCTCTAACACATGCATTTTTATTGTCATTGTCAATATCTGCAGAACTAGACTTTCTGCTAGAGGGTTGAGATGAACATTTATTGACTATCAATTCCTTTGTGTTACCTGTATTTACATCTTCCTTTATATTATCTACACACACTGACATGCCTGTAGAGGGTTCTGGAGTGTATGTACTTTTAATTAAAACTTCCTCACTACCATTTCCATCCAATTTATTCATCTCTATAGCATTCATACACAGGTACTTGCTGGTAAAAGCTTGAGGAGGGTGTGTATTGGAAGTACCTGTTTTTGTACTGTTTCCTAATTCATGCACATTATTTGGATATACACATCTCCTTCCTTCATATTCAACTACTTCTTCAGATGATGAGGAATTTTCATTTGCATAACTAAAACCACGTTTATGTTCAACATTACCTTGATTCTTTCCAGATTGTTTTTCCGGATTTTCCTGGCTTTGCAAATTTACATCTATATGAAAGCGAGTATGAATGAAGAACCTCTGTCTCACTTCCTCAGCTTTCATTCCAAAATATGCTGACCAAAACTCATCATGCTCAATAACTTCATGCTCAAACTCTTTGGTAAAAACCGAATCCTTTTCCTCGTCCAGATCTGAAAAAGCTAGTAAGCCACGTTTTGTTTTAAGTTCTTTTTTGACTATGTGACATAATAAGGAAAAGGCTTCATGTCTTAAACCTGGAATTTCTTTACATGCATATATAAGACCAGATCCATAACAATGGAGAAACTGCATTACCTTCTGATCATTTGATTCAGCCAATGTCAGTCTATAGGACTTTACAAGACCAACCAGCACATCCTTCTCCTGTCCAACACTAGCTAAATAGTTATTAATGCCTTCATCACAAATCTGTTTCAAGACAGGAATGATCAGATGTTCACACATTTCTAACTTGACATCTGTGCTGCTCTGTGAAACAAGTCTGGTAATATGGCTTATAATTTTTGAACAGACACTTGCTTGAAAGAGAAATCTTTTATACAAAGCAACACCTTCCCACTGAGACAAGAAAGGTGAACTATTTTGATCTTGCACTTCTTTATGGTCTTTTTTTAACTGACTGGAACATCCCTTGCGTTTTGAACAAAAAGATAATGAAAAGGATTCCTCTGGAGTGTATTCAGCACAAAGTAAATTTTCACTTGTTTCTGGCATCTGACAGACAGCACATCGGATATTATCTGACACCATCAAAGCACTAAGATCACTCCACACAATATTTTCAATAAATAACGTGACATATGAAACTGTATGTGGCAATTTAGAAACCAGTTTTTTTAAGAGCTTACCGAGTATCATCCTAGTGCTCATACAACAGCAAAGACCACACTTTGATAAGGCTCTGATTGCACAAACATAAATATCAAATTCTTGGCTACCAGCAAAGCAGTCAAGTAATATGCACACAAAATTAGAAATCATACAGGCACTGGGATCAGTTGTATTTAAACTTCTTGCACTTGTTCCCATGACCTGTGAATGGTGATTTTGCATTGCCTGGTACTCACAAAATCGATGGTTCTTTTTATCACATTTCTCAGAATGGTAAATATCTTCGCGCCAGCACTTCATGAACAGCACCAATTTGCTGAGAGAATATAAAATTTCACATCGCTTACTAACAGGCAAAAGTGGGCTCAAAAATACAACTTTCATTGTGATTTCTGGCCCATTATTTTGAAGAAAGATTTTGTGAAGATTAAGGCATTGCCACACATCTTTCCATTCAACTCTCAAGCAAGTACAACTCTGCAGCATAAAGAGTAACCCAACAACTATTTCATGTGCCAAACAAGCTCTCATAGCATTCAATGGATTTTTTTCAGCTTCAGCTGTTCCTACTCCAGAGTCATTGTTTGCAATAAAATTGTCCAAATTATTTTTGTAATCCAGTAAAACAGACACTAGATTTAGTAGCTTGGGTACAACGGAGAGTTCTGTTACTGTAATTAACAATTCGCTAGATTTGAGAAACCTTTGTACAGATGAAAACATTAGTTTCAGCATACCCAATAACAGCAACTGCATATCTATTAATTCACCATTTTTTGGTTCAAAATTCCTTAATTCAGATACCATGGAAGAAAATGTATCAAGAGAAAACTGCAGAATATCATGAGTAGCAAGAAGTGGTGAGGAAAGATGCTTTAATTCTGCCTCATGTACTGTCAATTGTGTTTGTATTGATATAATGCATTGAAGCAGTTCTACAAGTGACAGGCAGAGCAAATTTCCATGTAAGCAGATTTTTTCACTAGAAGCCCCACTTGTCTGATCTGTCTCCGTTTCATGGCACTTTTCATCATCACTGTATACCGCTCGTGTAAAATAATCGAAGTCATTAGGGTTCATTGTAAATTTCACAATGGCTTTACTAAGTTTAGTACTCTTGTGGTTTTCTTCTCCTTCTGAATCGGAGTGAACCAAGGGTACGCATGCCGAGTATCTCTTCCGCCGTCTCTTTCCCAACTTCTTTCCACTCTGACAACTTGACAGGCTGCTGCTTTTTGAACCAGATGTGTGAATCCACATTTGAGGAACAGATGAATTGCATCCCTTAGCATAGGATGATTGAATGTTTGCAGAAAAAATATCATTCAAGCATAGATTGACAGAAGGTTCATATCTGAAGCAAGACTGCTCATGAAGCAGTCCTTGATTACAACTGTGGATCGAGTTCCTTATACCATCATTCTTCTGTGTGTGAGCTTCTGTAACAAATTTATCCTGAAACCCTTTATGACTTTTCATTTGGGAATAAGACGACTTTGGGATTTCATCAACTGTAGCATTCTTGAGCATAAAAGTAAAGATGAAAGCTAGCACATGACTTATTTCTCTTCCTCCTGTCAAACCCTGAAAAATAACAATAAGTATGAGTAAAACTTGTTATTAGAGTTTATATATATTACTTAAGAGCACTATTTTGGTGATTAAAAATTTTGCAAAAACTTTCATTAACAGTGCTAAAATAAGGTCAAGAGTGCCTGACAAGTCAAACGTTTGAGGCCACCTCGACAATCTACATCACATAGATTTAGATACTAAGAGCTGTAAAATGATTAAGGAGTTCGTGACACAAAACTGTGGATTGGTAAATAATCAGACAAACTAAAGATGACTGATCATGTTGATAGACAAAACAGGTTTTGGTTTTAACTGGCCGAAGTATGTTGATTCTGGATGTAAATTCTGGATGGTCCTTATCAAGATGTAAGGACCCATAGTAGACAAAGCAATAAAATATTAATCAAAACAAATTATCTTACATACTATACTTTGTTATTTCTAACTACGGTATATGTATAATATATAATATTCCTGGAGTGAAATTTACATTTTTTGAGTGGTAATCTTCCCTAAACTTTTCAAAGTAAACTGAGCCAAAAACCCAATTACATCTACTCTAAAGATGTGGATATTTCTATTACCTCTACCTAAAATCACACCAATACATTTATTAGGAGCTAATTAGCTCAATAGCTTTACTTGTTTTTAAACTAGAATTACACATAAGGGGCCTAACTAGCCGACCCTTCGCAGTGTTCGAGAGAGAACGCGATAAACACCTTCAAAGGATACCTGGTCAACCAGCTGTGATTCATACGTCAGACTGTGAGCAGCCACGTCCAACAGCCTGGATGACCAGACCATCAGCCAGGTGGTCTAGTCACAGACCGGACCCCAAAGCCCTCAGGCACTTAGGAGCCGGAAGTAGGGGAGGGGGACAGAATGAACCACAATTGGGGAAGAATGAGGGGGTGAGGACTGAATCAAGGCCGATGTAACCAACACCCCCAAGTCTAGGTCCTTATAAGCAAAGTGGGGCAGCCTCGGGCATCCGAGGAAGCAACCAACCTAGCATGTTGCAGCAACCTAAACCTAGCCTGCACCCGAGTAAAGTCACCAGTAGATTGGGTGACTTGAGTCACAAACAAGCAACAACGCTCGCAGGACTCCGGGTCAGAGGTGTCACTGACCCAACAGCCAGCATAACAGAAGCAAAAACTATGAGCGTCGCCATGAGACAAGGGGACAGAGCAACCCTCAAACTCGCGCAAGGTGAGAGGGGACCCAGGGGTCGCATCCATCGGACCCCGTCTGCTCCCGTGAGGTTTCCCCAGGGACCCTAGACTGGTATCACTAAGAGTAAGCCCAGACAGGGTACTGCTAACCGGCACCCAATGCTACCAAACAAACTGCTAAAGCTGAACCCCTGGGACGTGTCCACTCACGGGGGCAAAGCAGGGGGGTACCACCGAAACAGAAGGTCAATCCTAATCCAACTGGGGGAAGAGATACCAAGTCATAACCCCCCCCCCCCCCCCCCGGCAAAAAAAAAAAAAAAAAAAACTCGCAAGAGGACAGCGTACCTAGGAGGAACAGAGCCGGCCACTGTTATAGGTGAAAACTAGCTGCACAGTACCCCGTACCAGTTAAAAAACTACCACTTACCCCAAGGTCAACAAGGGAGGAAACCCCCCAACTCGGGACAGTCAATCACCGAGCAGCAAAAGACCAACAGAGGTAGACCCCAAGGTGACTTGTGGAAGATAACCCCAAGCCCCAAGGGCGGTACTCAGGGAAGGGAACCCTAAACACATGCAGTCCGAGTACCTGTGAATATTACTCCCAGCTCGCACGCCACCGTAAGAGCAGTACTGGACCCAAGGTACAGCACAACACAGAGAGTGTCTGGAGCTGGAGCCACACGACCATGCCACAATCACATCAGCCGAAGAACTGGTGAGTGGATCACCGGCGTGGAGGGTCTGGGGCTCCACCTTTTCCCTTCCAGGAAAGGGGGAGCTGTGCAGACATGCGGTGCGGCTCGTGTGATGTCATGCTCATTTGCTCGTTTTCATTTGGGGAGTTCTGTCCACTGTTTGTCTATTTTAGTTGTTTTAACCAGAATAGGGGTTTGTTTTGAAGTGCTTACCTCTCTGGGTGCCTGTCCCAGTCGATGGCAGATATAGAATGCTACAAATCCCATGTGCATTTCTATAGGTCATTGCTCCTCATGCCTCTCTGAGGGGGGCCAGGTTCTGGCAGTGTTCCCCAGTAGGCCTAGAACTCCATTCACACTGACTGATGCCAAAGTCTAACGATATACGTATCAGCCTGGATAGTTCCAGGGAGCCAAAGGGGCTCGCCCCAGAAAAGCACAAAAACAATGAAATTCTTCACAAAGGATCCAAGCGCAATCATCACTAGGCGGGAGACACTGGTAAACTGAAGCACCATGCTCGCGGTGTATCCATACACGTATAAACAAACTACGACCACCAAGACAAACTATGGCTGCCAAATCATATTTCTCAGATAAATTTACTTCGAGAACCGAAAACTACAAGAACAGAGGCATACGAGAACCGAGGTTCCACTGTATATTATCTACTACATAAGTTCTAAGACACTATATAATAGAGTATTAATGCATTAAAGCATCAGAAAACAATGAGCACTTGAAACAAAAAAATGTTAAGAACTTACTGCCACTCCCAGCTGATCAAGAGCTACTAGTATCTTCGCTCCACATCCATACAGGAGATATTGCTTCAGAGTGACTGCATTCTGTGCTTCATTTCCCTGATTAAGCTCCTGCCCTGCACTTGTTGACGATGTAACTGGTGCTTGTCCACTGTTGACGGAACTTGAAGACAACTGAGTACATCGATGAAGGTAGGATTTATGAGTCAAGAATGAAGACTGTGTTACACCATGTGTTTCAGTACTGTCAGTCACTTTTACTCCTAATGTAGATTCGGGTTTTACAAAAGATAATTCATTATTTACACCTATTGCACTTTCACCATCCTTTAGGTAAGAACTTTGATTATGAGTGTCCTGAGTTTTGTCTTGGGTTTCTTGACTGCACGACTCATTTTGGCTCTGTCCACTATCAACATCTTTCAAGCATTCTACTTCCTTGTTTTTGCTATCTTCCACTTGTGCAGCATTTGAATCTTTGTGTGTCTCATTGTTCGTACATTCCAGGCACTCATAAGAATTATGAGCCGTTTCTTTGGCTTGTTCTAGATTCACCTGCACAAGTTCTGAATGACACTTATCATTATCACTCTCTTGCAATGCCTGACACAGGCCTATTGCAGTTTTGTAAGGATGACTTCTCCCACTTCCTGTTTTTTTGGTCACTCTCGGCCGACATCCTCTTGAACTATCGCTCACTTGAGAAGCATCACTGATAATAGATTCAACTGACTGAGATGTTGCACTTGAGGAAGCGTCACTATCGTAGCTTACTGAACCAAGGCAAATGTGTTCAATATCTGCCAAGAACTGACCACCAAGGAGACTCACAACACTTTCAACATCACTGCAAAGAGTACAATTATCATTATTAACAGAAATAAGTGACACAATAAGTGACAGCTGGCAAATTTCAAGTACACAAGTTTGCCTTGATATAAAAAATCAAATTAAAGGTGCTTCCCTGTGATATATTGATAATGTATGAGAAGATGATGTGCTGAGGCTGGGTTGGCCACTTTAAAGATATCACGAGTGATATTGTGGAATGTTAATATTTACATTATAATATTAATAGTAATTTTATTCAGCTAAAAATTAACTGCATTATTTTATATTTGGTACACAATAAAGAACTTGGCTAATTTCCAAAAAATCTTACTTGGTTTTGCAGTATTTATTTTTATTTTTCTACAGCAAAAATAAATGTTATCTTCACTATAATTTAAAATAAACAAATAATGTAAAGAGCACTCACTAACTGAAGTAATATGCTGGCTGCAAACACATTATGATAATCTAGTCTTCATAAAATCTTTGAAGCAGGACAGCAGGATCCATCCAGCATCCTGGATTCACCATCCTGCTTCAAAGATTTTCTCATAGATGTATCACATTGTGATTTCATCGTGTATGAATCTAGTCGTGTTTATAAGATCTTACATCATAATCATGAAAAAATAAAAAATTGCGACTATAATGGTACTTCCTCGAACAACCTTGGTGGGCCAGAACTGGCTAATATATCTATTAGCCAGTTCTGGCCCACCAAGGCTTCTGGTCCACTGTTCGAGGAAGTACCGAGGAAGAGAATCATAATATGGTGTCTGCACCACATAGCGGTCTTGGTACACTGACCTGACTCGGCTAAAAAAAAAAAAAAAAACCCATACAGTATTTCAGATTTTTCAAAGTTTTTACTACTCACCTGCCTTTAGTAGAAAATCTTAACAAAAAACCAGCGTTGAATGTAATGAAACGCCATTGTCTGGGTGTGCCCTGGAGGCCCCCCGAAGCTGTCCAGGCTGAATGGATATGTATATCTTTCTGGCATCAGTTAATGCATGGAGTTCTTGCCTACCGGGGGTCACGAGCCAGAACCTGACCACCTCTAGAGAGGCACAACGAGCAATGGCCTATAGAGACCCCCCTTGTGGTTGGGAGCATTGCCATCGACCGGGACAGGCAATCAGAAAGGTAGGCATCCCAAAACAAACCCCTATTCTGGTAAAACTATTACGAATGAAAGCCGAACAAGTGGACAGAACTCCCCAAGGAGCACCCAGGCATCGAAGATAGGCAAGGAAGGAGTATCCAGAGACCAGAGACCAAGTCAAGGAAGGAGGATACAAATCACGGGCCGGAGAAACGAAGGAGTGTCCAAATATTGAGAAAAGACCCAGGCGCCGAAAAACAAAACAAAAAGCACCAAAATACGGAGCAGTGCCCCACAGGATAACAAGAACAAGATACACAGACAAAATAGTCACCGTAAGACACGCAAAGTGGCCAAGCAAAACACAACACCGAACACCTCTGTTAAGTGCCAAAGACACTACCCTGGCAAGTGGGGAAGCGACAGGGTAGACAAGGACGGAGAATTGAACACGGGTGGCAACGCACAAGGGGACACAGGCGAAAGCGGAATACCCAAATGAGCCACAGAGACATAGAAAGAACTGTTACAGTGTCAGAAGGCAAGAAGTGGAATGCACTAGGAAGAGATGTAGTGGAGGCAGACTCCATACACAGACACTAATGTAGAGAAGATAGAGCTCAGTAGGTTCAGGAATCTGTACACCCGATGATGTGGGGAGGTGGGAGCAAAGAGCCAGAGCTCAACCCCGGCAAGCACAAGGGGAGGACAACGGGGCGAATACTTCACCAACAGCAAGACCTGGCCGACAGAATCGCCAGACAGTACAATCTCACCTGCAATACAAACACCCCATCGTGTCACGACACAGCCGAGCCGTGCAATGTAACAGGAGCATCCCTAGTAAAGAACGTCCAGAGGTGCGGGCCCAGTAGAAGATGAGGCGCATGCAGTACAGAGGCGGAGGAGGCGCCACTCAGAGCCGCCCCACACTCGCTCCAGAACACCGATTAACCAGGGGTTATGACTGGAGAGAAGGGGAGCAAAAACAGCATAGAATCCACAAAAAGGAACGCGGAACACCAACACACGTGCACACTCCCCAGAAACAAAACAAACACCCCAATCCCAGTGCCCAAGGTACAAACCACACCACCTGTCTTTCGGGCGGCGTGGCTTGTACACCAGTCGCATGTACACCTCGTACATACACCAGCAAGGCGTATGTACAGACGTACAAGGCTAGGCAAAGAAGAAGAGGAATGTTGAAACAGAAAGGAGAGACGATATGAATACAAAAGCAGGACAGGAGGGTAACCGCACTGTAAGTCAACAGACGTTCCAAGAACAGTGAAAGTACGAATGAGGTTTGCGAACCAACGAGAACCGTAACAAACAAGCACATACAGGCCCAAAGCCACCCCAGACCAAGGGACGTGCAGGAATCTCGAAACGAAGGGAATGACAGAACCGAACGGACCCAAACAGACACAGAACCAAACCCAGGGAGGGGGTAGACCCGAGACCAACACGAACGCAGAGGGGGAAGAGAAAAACCCCACTCTGAGGAACTGCAAGCCCTGCACCAAGGGAACAAAACCCCAAGCGGGGAAAAACGGGGCTAAGGCGCCCCAGACAACCCCTTCCCAACCTCGGGAACCCCTACGATAGGACCCGGGGCCGAGTCGTTCCCCCAAAGCCCCAGCCCCACAAGTAAAAGCCGGGGCAGCCGTACAAATCACTAAGGAAGGGAGCCCACTGGTCAGACCTATACTGCATGGCTGGAGGAACAGGCTCGAATGCCTCCGCCGCCACCCCGGAAGAGGAAAAGCTCTGAGACCGCCCGAGTCCCAACCCAAGCAGACCCTGCCCCAACCCTGAAACCCACCTACAGTTCGGAGCCAGAAGCAAGGGAAAGGAAGTATGCACAGCAGAGCATACTTCCCACCCCCAAGTCTGGACCCCTGAACCAAAATGAAGCAGTCAAGGGTGCATCCCGGGCTGCAACCAACCTAGAGCATTGCAACCTAAACCTAGCATGCAACGCCGCAGCTGCCTGCACCCGCACATCATTATCAGTGGCTTGGGTGAATGGGAGCACGCACAGATAACACACATCGCACGACTCCGGGTCAAAACAAGCATCGATCCAACAGGCAGCAAGGCAGCAAAACAGGTGAGTGTCACCCTGAGACAAGGACACAGAGCAACCTCCAAACTCACAAAACGCGAGGGGGGACTCAGGGGTCACATCCATCGGACCATGGAACCCCCGTGGGGTTTCCCAGGGTCCATAGGTCCATAGCCATGATGACACGCTAAGGGAAGCCCAGGCAGGGTACTGAGAACCGGCACCCAAGTCTACCAAACGAACTGCTAAAGCTGAATCCCAGAGGCATGACCACTCACGGGGGCCAAGCAGGGAGGACCACCAACAGAGTTAGATACAGTATATATATTCCCCAAGAACAGCAACGAGGGGACCACAATGGCAGACTTCCCCCACCCCCCACCCGGCAGAAAAACAAAAGAAAAACCCCACAAGTGGACAACGTACCTAGGCGGAACAGAGCCAGCCGCTGTGATAGGTGAAAACTAGCTGTGCAGTACCCTGCGCCCCTGCCAGTGGCGAAAACTACCCCTACCCAGAGACAAACAAGGGCAAGAAAAAAACCCAGCTGACTCCAAGGGCGGCCAAATACCGAGCAGTAAATGGCACAGCGGAGGTAGATCCCAAGGTGACTTGTGGAAGGAGGCCCCAAGCCCCAAGGGCAGTACTTACAGGGCACTTCAGGAAGGTGACCCTAGGCACATGCAGCCCGAGTTCCATGGAATCTCACTCCCGGCTCACACACCACCTGAAGGGACAGCCCACACCACAAGGCACAGAACTGTAATGAAAACTGGAGCTAGAGGCACGACCGCACCAGATCCCATCAGCCTAAGAACTGAACATTGGGTCGCCGGCGGGTAGGTCTGGAGCCCCCCCTTCCCCCTTCCGGGAACAGGGGGTTGCTCAGACATCGGCGCGGCGACATGACGACGTCATGCTAGTTTGCTCACTTTTGTTTGGGGAGTTCTGTCCACTTGTTCGGCCTTCGGTCGCAATAGTTTTACCAAAATAGGGGTTTGTTTTGGGGTGCCTACCTTTCTGGGTGTCTGTCACGGTCGATGGCAGACATAGAATGCTCCCAACCACAGAGGGGGGGTGTCTCTTATAGGCCATTGCTCCTCGTGCCTCTCTAAAGGGTGCCAAGTTCTGGCTCAAGGTCCCCAGTAGGCAAGAACTCCATGCATTGACTGATGCCAGAAAGATATACATATCCATTCAGCCTGGATAGCTCCGAGGAGCCGACGGGGCTCCGCCCAGAAATATGTATGTTGCAAAGTATTTCCTTACTTGCATATTTTATAAAAATGCTGCAATAAGATCTTACTCATGTGATTTTTGTTCTTGTGATATAATATAATAATAATTATAATGGCCCTATTATAACTGGATGTATCTTAGCCACATTTTTTTTTTTTACCTGTGATCATGTGTTAGGACTTCTCAATACTCTAAGTGATTTTTATCCATTTTTCTTCAGCTATTTCATTATTTGTGAATGGAAAAGATGTCTACTAACAGGAGCAGTACAGCTAAACCAGGAAGGGGCAAGGGGAGATATCTTAACATGGAAGAAAGGGTAAAATAGATTAAGAGAAGCGAGCATGCCTGGGAAGTGCCTAGTGAAAGAATTGGTGGCAATAGTTCACAGTTAAAAATAATCAAGAAATCGAGGCATAAGGAGTTCAATGAGGCAGCTTATAAATGGTTTATGCAATAGTACAGTGAAGAAATTTTATAATACATACAATATTACAGTACAAACTGGTTCTATATACCCACATTCCGCCTACAAAGATCAACATGGATTAATCAGCGGTCCTCCAAATAAACAATACAGATTTTTTATCTTTTCTTACCCAACTTTACCATTATGCATATTTAATACTGTATGCATTTAGTTTGCATTGCAGAAAGAACAAAAAAATTGTAAGAAAGAGAAGAAAATTGCAAAACTCTCAATGGTCCCAAATCTTTGGTAAAATGGAACTGGTCCAATCCCAATTAGTCCATTAGAGTGAGGTACCTCTGTGCTATAAAACAAGATTTTGAAACAGTAATTGAAAGGCCACCACACTACCTGAAGTGGAGGAGATTGGAAAGAGGAGTTTCCTCACTGGTCGATGACAACAGCAGTCCCAAAAATTCATCCAGATGGCTTTGACGCTCCTGTTAACAATATTTTTTTTAATAAATAACTGTTCGTGGTCAAATATTCTATAAATACTAAATTCATATATTGTGTATTTTAAAAATATTGTGCAGAAAATTAAAAATATCAGCAATAAGAAGCACATTCATCTATTATGGTTAACTGTAACTTTCTATCTGATTTAAGACAAATCTAGTCTTTTAAGAAATAGTTTTCATAATTGCATTATGATGTTGCAGAAGATGAGGATGAAGGGGGAGGGTGTGGAGGAGGAGGATGATCAGTAGCATAAAGAAGAATATGAGCAGAAATTTCATTTTTTTTATAAGGAATATGATAGCCAATATCAGTTTTATAGCTTCAGGGAACTCTCCACAGAAAAGAATAAATATGATACACTATACTGTAATTAATCTAAGTGACAAGTTTGCAATATTCCATATTTCAACACTTTCTCACAAGCATCTATTAAAGCTTTCAGCAATATGTAGTTTGAAATTTTTACCTCCAAGACATTATGAATTTTAACAATGTTCTTTAGTGCAATCATTTTGGAGACACGAAGTAACCATGTTTATATTGTGACCCACCACAAGAAGTCACACCAACTCACCAAAACATTTCCTGGTTCTGTCTGAGCAAAGGAGGTCCAAGTCTCCTGCAATTTCTGATCACTCATTTTTTCTTCATATTATAAATCTGAAAAATAAATTTTGTTCAAATATTGGAATAGACTAGACATAATAACAATAATAAATTAAAATATTAAATACAGTATATGAAAGTACTGTATTCTGTTGTATTTGTAATTTGTCTCAATTAACATTTGCCTCCTTGAAAAACTCAAATACAGTATTGGAAAAAAAAAACATTTCTTTAAGATGTTCCAAAGAAAAGGCAACCCATTCAGCAATACATGGCCAGCAGAAAACTAAAAAATAATACCATTTTTTATCTAAGAGATATTTCAACAGAGACAGTGCTGCAAATCAAAAATACAGCAAAGGAAATATAAGACAGTACTGTAGCGTGCATCACACAATAGCTTGTGAATGGTAAATGAGTCACAGTGTCTTCCTATTCTGAGATTAACAACACATGTACCAAATATAATTTTACACCTGCATGCAATTATTATAAACTGTGAATGTTACTAATACCAAAGTGTGATATCACTGATGTTTCCTTAACATTTTCTGCATAAAAGATAATGGGTTTTGGTAGTTCAGTGGCTATGTTCTTGACTCCATCTGAGGATCCAGGGTTCAATCCCTAGGTGGGACGGAAGTGTTAAACGGTGGGCACATTTTCTTTCACCTAAAGCCTCTGTTCACCTAGCAGTAAATATAGTAGGTACCTAGGAGTTAGGCAAATGTTGTCTGGTTTCATCTTGGGTTGCGTCAGTAGTTCGACCTTTTTAGGTGACCCCTCGACAAAAGCGTAATTACCTAAGTGTAGTTACAGGATGAGAGCTACACTCGTGATGTCCTGTCTTCCCAGCACTCTGTCATATAACGCTTTGAAATTACTGACAGTTTTGGCCTTCACCACCTTTTCACCTACTTGGTCCAACCGTCTACCACTCTGCTTACAAAAGTGAATTTTCTTGTATTTCTCCGACAGCTTTGTTTCGTTAGTTTAAATAAATCTATGACCTCTTGTTCTTGAAGTTCCGGGTCTCAGGAATTCTTCTCTATCAATTTTATCGATTGTTGTTACTATTTTGTACGTAGTGATCATATCGCCTCTTTTTCTTCTATTTTCTAGTTTTTGCATATTTAATGCTTCTATCCTCTCCTCGTAGCTCTTGTCCTTCAGTTCTGGGAGCCACTTAGTGGCATGTCTTTACACCTTTTCAGGTTTGTTGATGTGCTTCTTAAGATATGGGCACCATACAACTGCTGCATATTCCAGCATTGGTCTAACAAAAGTCGTGAACAATTTTTTTAATATTACTCCATCCATGTATTTAAAAGCAATTCTGAAGTTAGAAAGTGTAGCATAGGCTCCTCGCACAATGTTCTTAATGTAGTCCTCAGGTGACAGTTTTCTGTCTAGAACCACCCCTAGATCCCTTTCTTTGTCACAATTCTTTAAAGATTTCTCACATAATTTATAGGTTGTGTTGGGTCTTCTTGAAGGGCATAACAATCATCTAGGTTTCTTATATTCCCTATTATGTTATCATCGTCAGCAAACATGATCATATAATTCTGTATTCCATCTGGTAGATCGTTTATGTAGGCAATGAACATTACTGGTGCAAGAACTGAACCCTGTGGTACTCCACTTGTGACATTCCTCCAATCTGATACATTGCCTCTGATTACAGCCCTCATTTTTTTATCAGTTAGGAAATTTTTCATCCATGTTAGAAGCTTACCTGTCACCCCTCCAAAATGTTCCAGTTTCTAGAACAACCTCTTATGTGGAACTCTGTCAAAAGCCTTTTTTGGGGACAGATAGATACATTCAACCCAACCATCTCTTTCCTGTAAAATCTCTGTGGCTCGATCATAGAAACTGAGTAAATTCGTTACACAGGATCTTCCAGATCGAAAACCATACTGTCTGATATTATATAATTTTTCTCCAGGTATTCTATCCATTTAGTTTTTATTATTTTTTCCAATATTTTGACTATTACACTTGTCAATGATACAGGTCTATAATTGAGGGGATCTTCCCTGCTGCCACTTTTGTAGATTGAAACTATGTTAGCCTTTTTCCACACATCAGCTACAACTCCTGTACACAGCGATGCCTGAAAAATCAGTTAAAGTGGAATACTGAGCTCAGAAGCACATTCTCTCAGAACCCATGGTGAAACTCCATCTGGACCAACTGCTTTGTTCTTACTTAGCTCCTTGAGCATTTTTTCCACTTCGTCTCTAGACACCTCTATGTGCTCTATGTTGTTCTCTGGAATTCTTATTGTGCCTGGTTCCCTGAAGATTTCTTTTTGTACACACACACTTTGGAACTTTTTGTTTAATGTTTCACACATTTTATTTTTATTTTCTGTGAATCTATTTCCCATTTTCAACCTCTGAATATTATCCTTTACCTGCAATTTGTTTATTATGAATTTATAGAATAGACCTGGTTCCGTTTTACATTTGTCCGCAATCCCTTTTTCAAAATTTCTTTCTGCCTCTCTCCTTTTCTGCCGTGTAGTTGTTTCTCGCATCTTTGTATCGCTGGTATGCTTGGTGGTTTGGCCTCCTCTTGTATTGATTTCATTTTTGTGTCTTTTGGTCTCTGGCCCTCTTGCAATTTCTGTCGAACCAATCCTGTTTTCTAGTTCTGCATCTCTGCTTTGGTATAATTTTTTTTGTGCCTTTATCATTTCACAAAACTTGACATACATCTCATTTACTTCATGTCCTAACAGCAAGTCTTTCCAGTCAAATTCCTTTAAAGAAATGTCCAAGTTCCCCATAATGACCTCTCCTGAAATCAGGCTTTTCAACTGCTTCAACCATATTTTCTTTCAGACTATAACGCATTGCATACTTTATTCCCAAAAAGGCATGGTCACTTTTACCCAAGGAAGGTACTGAATGTCAAATATCTCTTCCTCATTCCTGGTAAATATCAAATCCAGCATGGAGGGAATGTCCCCTTCCCTCATCCTCATAGCTTGTTTAACATGTTGAAACATGAATGTTTCCAATGAGGTTTACAAATCTACAAGTCCAAAAATCTTCTGTTCAAGCTTCATATGCCTCCCAGTCTATGGATTTCAAGTTGAAGTCGCCGACTACTAACAGTCGTGATCTATCTTTATCAGCTCTCGCTATAATCTCTCTCATTATTGTTATAAGACCTTGGCAAGCAGACGTCGAGGTAGGCCAGAACCCACACACCTAAAAGATGCAGCTGGGCCACCACAACCCGAGTAAGGCGAGTAAGCACCCGAGGCGCCAGATTCAAGCCGAAGGGAAGGCAACAAAAGCGGAAAACTTGACGCCCCACAACAAAACCGAGCCAGTCCCTGAACCCCGGATGAACCGGGATGTGCCAATACGCGGCCCTGAGGTCCCGGGACACCATCCAAGCGCCTGGCTCCAAGAGAAGACGGACCTGGGATAGAGTAGTCATCCTGAAGGACGGGCAAAAAACCCACGGGTTCAAACAGGACAAGTCCAAAATGAACCGGAAGTCCGCGCAGTCCCATTTCGAGACTGGGAACAGGCGGGAAACCCCCCAGAGGGACAAAGTCGTTTCGATTATGCCCAAGCGAATCGACTCCGAGATGACTTGACAGAGCGCAGGAGAGGAAGCCTGCCCCGCGAGCCCCTAACACCCCGAGGGAGGAGAAGCCACCCAACGCCACTACAGGCCATGCGAAACGACCCGAAAAGCCCATGAATCGTGGGACCAGGCGCGAGCGAACAGCGCTAGCCTCCCCCCATCTCCCTATCAACGAAGCGAACAGAGAAAGGGCCGACACACCTTACGAAAACCTAAGCAGCGCACAGGGCAATCCCCACGCCAAGTAGAAACAGACGGAACCAAAGGCTGCGCCAGCCGTGAATCTGACACCACTGGCCTGCCACAAGAGACCGAACCCTGAGCTCTGGCACGACCTTTACGGGAAGGCCCCCAACAAGCCCCCTGGAGAACCAACAAGTTCGACAACAGCCTATAACTAACCAAAGCCGCCTGAAGATACTGCACCACCGCAGACTCTGCAAACAACAATAGATAAAAAGAAGAAGACAACCTAAGTGCCAGGGCCCAAGTGGATTCCGAGGAAGAAGCAAGCACCGCCTGCCGACACGCGAGGCGAGAAGCATAAAACCGCGAAACCACATCCTTCAGGATTGACACAAACAGCTTCAACAAGGCAGACAACGACTGCACAAACCTGCGATGGCCCCCAGCGCTCCCACATCCAACTAAAGCCAATCCGAGGACAGCTCGAGGAGGGAAAAGAAATGCAGAGCTGCAGCCAGCAGACCCTGAGTACACAAATCTTCCGCCACTAAAGCAGCCGAAAGGGAGGGAACCTTAACATGAATCTGCATAACGCCCACCTCCCGCGGAAGGGCAGGAGCGAACAAACACGCATTGAGGTGTTGAAATTCGCCGCCCAGGAAAACCTGTAACGCAGTAGGAACCTCCCACCACTCAAGCGTGTGGGACTGACAGAACGTGCGCCAAACCTCCAACAAAAAGAGAGGGCAGTCTGCCAACCAGAATGACTCTGGAACCTCATAACGAACCCAGTACGGACAAGCTGAACCATACACGAAGGAGCGCGGATCCATCACGAAGGCATAATCCAGGTTGCGCAGGAGGTAAGCTTCAAGGGCCACCCGCAAATCCTTGGACAGAAAGCAGGAGGCCGAAAACCTCTAGAAAGATGGAACCAAAGAACCCACGGGATCATGGAACCGAGCCCGGGGAGGGGTCAACACCAAATCCAATTCGTAGAAGGAGGGATCGAAAGAGAACCCCTTACCCTGTAACACTAAGCCATGCTCAGAGGGTAGAAAAACCCAGGCGGAGTCCAACGGGGCCCAAGGCCCCCAAGTCAACCCCTCCCCAAGAACCCCACCCAGAGGACCCGGGGCCGAGCCGTTCTCCAAATCCCCCGCCCCTAAAGAAGAAGCAGGAGCAGCCGCAAAAGCAGGAACGAAGAAGGCCCACTGGTCAGACCCAGAAGCTCTGGCGAGGACCAGGCTCGAATG